ATGATGTTACCTTGAACCCTGCGCACTTCAGAAACCTCACCGCTTCAGAAACTACTTGGTAACCATTGTCTTTTTCCTTCACTTGATCTGCTGTTCAAATCAAAAGGAACTTACACCAATTGTAATACAGCCCAGTATGCAGATACATAAAAGTAATTGTGTAAAAAAAAAATTAGAAGTAATAATATAAACCAGTTCTTGTAATCAAGATTGTAGTCAGACTTGCACATTTGCATCCACCAGGATCAGCTTGCCTTCATGGCCATATCCGTTTCTCAAATCCTGTTTCACACAATAGCATTAACTGTGTGTTTGTTCTGAAGGCAGTTCTATTTCAGAGTTCAACCCCTCTTCATGGAATGAAACACTATTAACCTTGATGACCTTTCAAAAGTTGGTTGTGGAATTATTCATGTTAGAATCAAATACAAAGTACACAATGCCCCTTTTGAATTTGGAAAAAAAGGGATAGGAAAGGAACTCCCGTATGTGTGGGTTAAGGTTGGTTTCGATGTATGTAATAATTTAAAACTTCCTCTTTTTACATGCATTTGTACCAAGTGGCTTCCCAGTACGAATGTCAAATTTAAATCAGGCAGAAATTAATTAATTAGCATATATATTATGTATATATAAGCAATGTAGTGGTATGTTGCAGATATTTTAACCAGCCAGACCACTGATTTTTAACTACATGAGTGTGAAAAATGAAAGTTAAAGAACTGATCCGATTTTTACATACATGTACCTGCTGAACAAACAGTGTTTTTTTTAAACAGTTACATGTACATGTGTGGGCTAATGGCACTTCATTTTTAGGCACAAAACCATCCTGTAAAGTTCATTGCTTAAGTTAACCTTTAAATAACTTCAGTAATTCTTGACACTCCCGTGAACAATTTGATATTTTTAAGTACAGAGGGCTTTTGTGGCACAATATGCCCTATTACCCCTTGAATAAAAAGCCATGCTTGCTTGCACCTTGCATGTACATGTTCACCCCTAGTAAGAAATCGTCTACCCCAAAACTTTTGGTTTATACATATGCAAAATGCCAACACTAGATCAGTATCGCATAAAATATGGACACCCGTAAAAACCAGTCTATCTGACCTTATATGGACTCCCATGCTTGTTTATTGGCAGTAGGTCTGTTTTTTATGGAGTCCATTTTTCACAATATACTGCATTATTTGTACAGCAGGATGACGGAGCAGAAATCAATGTGTTCTCTGTAAGTTGCTGAATCATCAGTTGTCACTGAGGATTACTGTGTGAAAGCTGGTGACATTTCTGAAATAAATAAGGAGAAAAGTGAACTTTTGTCATTACTGCCATTCCAATAGTTGCCTTTGTTTGTGTTGATTTTGCAAGATACATGTAGATTACATACCTAGTCTTTTAGTCTTTCATAAGATTGTCAGTTTATTACTTTATCATTATTATTATTTTTTTAAAGCAAAACCACTTTCACACTACAGAGATGATAAGAGCAGACATAAAGTGGCCAGATCTGAAATGCCTATTGAATATACAGACAAACCACATTCAACATTCTGCTGTCATATCATGACATAAAAAGTAGTAATCTTTTTTTCATCAGATCATGCACTTCAGGTACAGAGTTTCAATTAAAAACAGATTATTCCAAAAATGGTTGCCTTTTCTCTATGAAAACTTACAGATGTACCTCGATTGGTATATATCATTATGGAATTCCCTTTGGGATGCTAAAGGATTTGAGAAGTATCACAGATTTCTTCAATATCTACCTACATGTATACCTTTGCTATTGTACAAGGTGGCACCTCAAGTGACTGGAGTGTACTCAACCCTGAGTGGGCCCCATGGCTGATTGAAAAAAAAGTTTTGAAATTGTAATGCCTGACCAACCAGAACCTCCACATGCAACAAGGGTAACGTGTGCAAAACAAGCCTCGGGCTGCCCCAACTTGTTTTCATGTTCTGGTACCAAGTGTCACAATGAATTGATCGTACCGGGTACATGTTGTAGACATTGTTTGATATGCTGTAATGAAATGACCCCATAAGTCACTACCTGAATTGTTGGTGAACCAGTTCAGGCGTAAGTAAAAGATTGGCCTAATTTGAGCAGAATAGCCAGATTTGTGGTTTTAGAAAAGGGTTTGGAAATGGGTGTGTAAGCTATTATATCTGGGAAAAACATCCAGTTGAGAATAAGTAGAGAATGTCACATCATATAAAATAAAAGCCATTGTGGTGCCCAGCCCACTTCATGTTGTTTTTACATAACGTCCATGAGCAGGACACTTTACCACAATTTCTTCTTTCCAGGAGTAAAGTCTGTACTCATGAGAAGTGGTTTTGTGATGTTAGTGATGGTGTTGATTATGCATAAAGTGTTCTTTCATAAGGAGGCCTTTCCTAATGCCCTCTAAATTCCAACGATTGAAAATTCATTCTATTCGAATGAAAGTTCACTCCCACCGACTGAAACTAGGAACCAGACGTTTTAGAGTGAAATTCATTAAATCAAAAAGATTGAGTTTTCACTCAAGCTTTGACTGCATTGGCTCTTTTTTATCCAAAGTATTTTAATCTAAAATTGGAGTAATGTTCACTCTAAATCGTCTAGAGTGTTAACTTGCTGTACTTGTAGATTGCAAAAGTTGACCTGGGGAATAACAGTTGACATAAAATACATTCTGAAAAAGAAATGAAGTTATGTACGTAGAGTCTAAATTACACATTTAATTTACTTTGAATGGATTTTAGACTCAGTTTTCAGATTTACCTTCAACTTTAATTTTGAGATATGACCCTACACTTTCAAACCATTCAAACCAAGCTACATGTAGATGGGCTAGTTACTTTGAGGTTTTTCAAATTTTTTTTTACCACTGCCAAGTTGTGGGGGGGGGGGTTTGGGGGGGGGGTTGTTTGGCACTCTCAAAACATAATTTGTGTCCAGGAAGCTTAAGTAGTAACAGACAATAAATGTTGAGCAAGTTGCAATTATAATTTCGTCATTAAATTTAAGAAGCTTTTCTGCTCTCTGAACCCCAAAGAGTGAAACTAGGGACGAGATGTTGAAGAGTGAAAATCGCTCTCATTTTAGATTGAAATAGTCTGGAAAAAAATAATCACTTCAGTTGAGACTTGACCTGAGTGAAAATTTGATCTTTTCAATTGAATGAATTTCACTCTTAAACGTCTAGTCCCTAGTTTCCACCTGTGGGAGTGAATTTTCACTCTTTGGAATTTAGAGAGTGATGACTTCAGCCTCCTGATTGGATGGGATGATGGGGCACAATTGTGGGGTCACTCCACTTTTGGCACTCTGGGGCTTTGATGTTGTGATTCTATACGAAGCATTTAGTCCAAGGACTTTGCTTTGAAACTAGTTGAACAATTGTCAGGCATGACTTGGTTTGAGCAGAGAGAAAGGTTTTTTTTAAAAGAAAGTTTTCAGTTGGTGTGGGCTGTACCAGCAGGGCATGTACGTGCACTAATCGGTGGTTTGTGAAAGAGTGAAAAGAAAAATACTTCTCAAACAGTATTTTTCTTTTCATTATTTCACAAACAACGGAGCAGCGCTTGTACCTGGTACAGCTCACATCGGCTGAAAACTTTTTCCTAAAAATCTCTTTGAAATTAACTGAATAGTCGTTAGGCATGGGTGGCTTGCGGGGAGTATGGAGAAGGTTTTGTGAGAGTTGGGATTTTAACAGCTCAGGTTCCAAAACTGTTTGGTTGTTTGTGATTTTTGTTTGTGGATGAATCTCATAAACCCAGCGGTGTTCTGTTGAACACTGAGGCAATGTACAAAAAAACACAGTCCAAAACATACAAAACCTTAACTGGTGACACAAAGACAATGGAGTATTTTAACTGTAACCACCCCGGAATCCTCTAATAACTATCACGTTTATGGTTGTGCGTGACTTTGAAGGATTCTGTAATTGTTAACTGTACAGTGTTGGGTTTTTGAATGATTCAGGAAGCTTCCTTGGTAAATGCCTTTTTGAGAATTACACTAACTTTGGTAATGGTGGCAATGCATTCACACCTGTTTGCTACATTTCATAAATGTGTTTCACATTGGGTAAGGGAGTGCAAAGAAGAATGAACACTTAAGACATTCGAGATAACATGAAAGATACAAATAAGCAGCAATTTAAGGATCTGTTCTTAAGACATATTGTCAACAATTTCGTCAGTTACACCTAACTTGGAAAGATGCTGACGATACATCTCTGGGGTTCTGTTTTGGATATGGTCCTATCCTAATTAACTATTCTGTATTACGGAAGAAAGCTGTATCCATGTTGTACCTTTTTTATTTAGATGATCAATTGTTGCATTTACATGTAACAAAGAAAATTATGTGATATCCATAAAGTACTGTTATGATGCTTGCAATTCGCTCTTTTCACACTTCCGCCATGGGCATGCAGAGCCTCAATCTGGCAACTTTACACAATAAATATAGCCGGTTCATTGATTCCCGTGTCGGGGTTCAGATCACTGAACCGGCTATTTTTATTGTGTGGAGTTGCCAGATTGAGGCTCTGCATGCCCAATGGCGGAGTCTGAAAACAGCGAATGACATCACATGAGTTTTGCTAAGCTTTAAGCAGTAACGTAGCAAGAAATTTTTCATGGGGGGTGTTTACCAATTTTTCCCAAACAATTTCAATATTTGCCGGATGGACATGCTGATGGTTTAAACCACGTCCGCAAAGAATGAGCCATACGCATACCAGCCGTGTGCAGAGAGGCCATTCAGTGCATTGATCAGATGCACGGCTCTATCCCTCCCTTCTTCCTCCTCCCCCCTTTTGTGTCATGTCACTGCAGGCTCTAAAATATGCAAGAAGTTAGGAACAAGCCTTAAGTCTGCCACCACAACAATCCCTTCCCCACAATGCAGCCTACCATGGTTGTCCATTGAAGCTATGATTGCCACTCTATTTCTCAACTATTTGTTTTTCACTTCTGTTTTGTTCTTCCACCAGGCACCAGTTCTCCTTGTGATTTTGAGAATGGAGGCTGTAGCCACATTTGCCTCCCGGGGACGGCAGGGACAAGGGTTTGCTCCTGCCCTCAGGGTCTGTTACTCAAAAACCAGGGGCGTATTTGTGTCCGTAAGTAATTACATTATATAGCCCTCCTATGCAAACATACATTCTGTGCCAAGTAGTCCTTTCAGTCAAAATCAATCAAATGAGTGTTTTGAACAGTTAATAATTCCCAGCCCATAAAGCAGGATTGACAGGCTCATATCCCATAACCATTCCTCGTGATTCCGAATGCTTATTGATGTCTTCACTCTAGCTACGAATGCAACGTGCAGCGACACTACTCAGTTCACCTGCGCCGATGGATCATGTATTCCAGAAAGCTGGGCCTGTGACGTGGATAATGACTGTGGTGACTGGTCTGATGAAAGTCCTAGGTTCTGCTGTAAGTATACACAAACTAGAAGCCTTTGTTCACACATTTCTCAAGTGCAACTCTCAGTGATGAAACGAAGTTCACGGTTTAAAAAAGTTTAGAGAGGTCACTCCTAAGATTCAGGTGTGCAACTTTTCCTCGGATCTGCTGATTGCCTCGTTTTTTACTTCTCATGAAAGTCATTACACAGGTCCGTCGCCAGCCCTGTGCATCAAGGGGGGCCTTAGTACCAACTAGGGGGCCCACTACCATCAAAAATACATATGTAAGGCTTTTGTGGTTGGGGGCGGGGGGCAATTGCTCGCCAAGGGGGGCCTGGCCCCACTAGGCCCCTTCCCCCTCCTTGGCGACGGGCCTGTCATTACAACTTGAACAAGCTCGACATGATCTCGGAAGCTGCGGGACAGTGAGTTTGTGTTCATACATGTGTACCTTCTGCCCAGTCTGTATGAGAGAGATGGCGCTCTTGCATGCACATGTCTCTGGCATTAAAATATGGGATTTCCCATTTGTTGAATGTCACGATGCAAACTTGACGTCAAGCAGGAGGTGGCTAAGGTGAGTTATAGTGCCCAGGTGCGCATTCCAATGTTTGCTATTATTAACTAACTAACCTACGGCCTAATGGAGAGGCATGAGTACTTGTAGAGCTGCTATCCGCAACTAAAAACTCTGTACAAAGTTTTGTGTGATTTGGAGTTCACTCGTTTTTCTATTAATTCCCAGTTACATGCCTGTAAGATAAGGGAAAATACTGTTTTGATGAATTGCTTGTTCTTCCTTTTCACAGTCGATCACACCTGTGAGGCAACAGAGTACCTGTGCAACAACAGTCGTTGTATCCCGTCCTCCTGGCGTTGCGACTTCGACAACGATTGCCGAGATAACTCAGATGAAAAGAACTGCCGTAAGTCCTTAAAAATCTGCAAAGGCCATCATTCATGTCAGGCATCAGCATTGACGATCTGATGTTAAAGACATAAGTCCAACAATTTGATAACGTTTTTTTTTAATGGTCCTTTTCATCTGATTTTCTCTACAGCTTTCCCAACCTGCGCCGTTGGTGATTACACCTGCCCTAATTCACGCTGTATCCCAGAGGCGTATGTGTGTGACGAGGATGACGACTGCAGGGATGGTAATCACACAGACGAACAAAACTGTCGTAAGTGTTCAATTAAGTTACATTTTGAAGTCATGTATTTAGGCATAGAATTATTTTGGTTGAATTTTTCATTTCTGTGGTTGAACATGAGTCAGTTCTGATTGAAAACATTTTTAGTTAAGTTTTTTTTTAAAAAGTTTATAGAATCCAATATGACAATGTTTATGTACAGTAAGAATATCATGGAATATCATGTTAAAGGTAGAGTATATCATTTGTATTACTCACGAAAATTTTTAAAAATGCATCGCTTGATGTACATGTACATGTATCTTTGGAAATTGCCCTCTTTTTTTTCTTCAAAATGACAGCATGCCACAAAGAATAATTTCACATGGAGTTTAGTGCCATTACTATCTTTAAACGAAGTATGCTTTTCAACAGTAGTTTCGTCAGTTACTTTTTGGATAGCTGCAAAGGATATACTCTACCTTTAAACATCTTTGCAGCACGAAGGTTAATGGTTGGCATACTCCATATAGTTGCAGAGCTGACATACCGACGAATAAGCAAAAAGCCTGTTTCGAGTAATTCGCGTATGAAGTTGGACATTTTTCTGGGCGTTGTATTTTACCCTTTATGTTTCGATAATAACCCTTTTGGTGTATATTCGAAATAAAATAGGAAACGTAGTATCCATCAGGTTACTTATTTAATCAGAGAAGTTGTGCGATATGATTTTATTTGATTGTAAACGTATTCGTCAGTTCGTCAAATCACAAAAATCTCTGTATGCTATTCGTCAGTTTGTCGGATAGCGCGCGCAGCAAGGCATGGCTGGTATCTTATTTTGGATGGCGCAATGTAAAAAAAAAAAACAGTTGACTGCCCCTTATCTGTGAGACTGTGACAAGTGGTTTCTTTCTTACACATGTGAGGATGCATGGCACCCTTGGCTTTGTCTCTGATGCCATGCATCCCCCTTGGAGAAAACAATGTCACACATTAATTACTGTAGTTAATTGTCAAGCATAATTTCAGATGCATACATAAAAAATAAGTGCAAGGGTCATGTCATTCTAGCTCATTACAAATGTACCTTGTGCTTAGGGGCCGTTCACAATTATCAACATTTTCACAAGTGTACAAAGAGTACACTTTTTCAAGACCCCCCCCCCCCCTCCCCCCTAAAAGTGTACGAAAAAAATGTTGATTTTTTTTCACACAAGTCTATATATAGACACTTGCATGTGATTTAAAGGGTTTTTGTAACTTTTGTAGATCAAGTTTTTGGCCATGACATGAACCCCTATTCAGTGTGAATGAAGATGTATGTATTATAATTTACTTGTAGAAGTTTCAGCTTCATACAATGTAAGTCGTGAAGTTTTTGAAAAAAAAGTGAAAATCACAGAGCAATTTTTTCCAGGAGAGTCGCGTAAATCCGTTGTACATAATTTTCTTCTCATGAGACGAAAATTATTTGCGTGAAATTGTTTTACTTGTTTCTCAAAAACTACAGCACCTCAGCAAGTAATATTTTAAGGGAAGCTTTCTACCATTATTATCTATTAGGATCGTTTGGGGAGAGTGACCTGTCACGTGCGAGGGATTAACCAATAAAAGGGAAAAAGGGGTCCGATTTTCATAGGAGTCGGATTTTCATGTGACACCGGCCGTTAAAAACACGCAGTGGATACGGACTATACATGTACATGTACATATGTACTTTTGTACATGTACATACAATACATTTTCATGTACGTGTGTAGGACAATGCCGCGCATGCTGTACACAATACGTTCATGGGATGCAATGCGGGGCCTGGCGCGGGGCGCGACCGGCTCGGCAAGTGCTCGATCGGCATCGGTTGCGGCTGTGGCGACGGGCGAGAAAACAGATCGACATTTAAAAAAAAAAAAAAGCGTTAGGCGGGCATTTACGGGCGAGAAAACATATCAACATTTAAAAGAAAACGAGAAGCGTACGGCGGCCATTAACCCCCTCCCCCCCAGCGTACGGTTTGTACGCTCGTGAAAATGTTGATAATTGTGAACGGCCCCTTACAGGTTGAGGTCAAAAGATATTTGGGTCATTCTCTAATTTTGGGGTCCACTTTCTATCTGAAATCTATGATTTTATAATGCTGGATGCACTCCTTAATAATGCATTGTCCTCCAAGAGTGATTATAAGAAGCAAATTACACTGTACAATTTGAAGTCACTTTTAATGATACTTTAATGGCAAATTACAAAGTTTCGAGGTGACAGGGGCAGGAAAAGAGTCACATTTTGGACCCTAAATTTATAGAATGACTCATTTAGTAGAAATGATCAAGGTCAGTGAAAATCTTGACTGCGTCAAAAAATTGCAGATGATTTCAAACTGGCAAATTTGATAGGGCTTCCCAGCGGTGACAACAAATTACCCTGCTCTTCAAAAAAACAAAAACAAACCTTGATATATATTTTTTATTTTTTTACACCAGCCGAGGTAACGTGCCGACCTGGCTATGTGAGTTGCCCCAACAACCACATCTGTATCAGTCCCTATTGGCGCTGTGATGGGGATAATGACTGCTTAGATAACTCCGACGAAAACCCTCTGTACTGCCGTAAGTATCATGACATTCAGGGTCTCAAAAGTCTTGCAAAAAAAGGGCTTGGCTGGATTTGTTACCTGGTAAAGATTGGAAACTCAGTCGACTCTGTGAGTGCTTATATTTTACTATTCATAAGATGAATTTGCGTCAGGGTGATGTCAACCAGTATTAGGTTTTGCCCTTCACTGTTACCCCCCGAGTGAAAGTTGGAATAGTTTAATTGCGGTACCCGCTACAACATTATATCAGATTCGAACCAGCCAACCGATCCCGCAAGCACTGTGGTCGAGTGGTAAGGCGTCTGCACTAGAAAGCAGAAAGTCGTGGGTTCGAGTCCCACCTGAGTTATTTTTTTCCCAATTTTCATTCGGGAGGTAACTCATGCGCTGAGTATGCTTATGTTTTGCTAACCACACTAATTTTTCGGGTGCGATATTTTATTCATTTTTGTTGATCAGGTATAGTTTTGGTGATGATTTTGGGTTTTTTTTTTGCAGTCCCAATGGCTTAACAAGTTCATAAAACCAAGGATGAATCCAGAGAGGCTTCTAGCGGGGTGCTGAGGCTGTGCTGGGGGGGGGGGGGGGAGCAGAAGGGCTCTCATAAGTGAAAAATAGCCTTATTTAAGAAATAAACCCCACAAAAAAACCCACAATTTTGTTGATATTGACAGAGCAAGAAGAATGTCCGAGTTCCGGTCACAAGTGTACCTCAGGCCAGTGTATATCAGGCTTCTGGCTGTGTGATGACGAGGTAGACTGTCTGGATGGGTCAGATGAAGGGGCCTTCTGTAGTAAGTACAAAAAATGTTTGAGATGTTTTTAATGAAAAATACTCCCTAAAAAGGCAGGAGTAAGTTTGCAAAAAAGTACCTTCATTTTTAGCCACATATTTATTTGTGCATTTATTTGTCAATAAACATATTCTACGGGCATTGGAAACACAATTAATGTATCCAGTTATTATTTGGCCTAATTTTGCAAGAGTAGTCAAAGTACAATACGTTACTGTTATTGAGGACAAGCTCCTAGTTTTTCTTTTGTTTTGGTGAAAACTTTAAACTTTAGAATGGTCATAATTCGTCACATACATTTATATGACATGGACATTTGTTTCAAGACATCTTAACCCTAACGCCCTATTTTTGTTTAAATGGAGGATTCAAGACTGTTGAAAGGGTTAAATTGTCATGTTCTAAATTTGATTGTTGTTGAATTTTTTATCCAAACTAAAAAAACAGATGAGGAGGATTTCACGTGTTCACCCAACTTTTTCACTTGTGACAACAAACGCTGCATCCATGAGAGTTGGATCTGTGACACGGATAATGACTGCGGAGATGGGTCTGATGAGGACGAGCGTCACAACTGCGGTATGTCCACACAGGGCTGGAATTTGTTGGGGGAGGGGGGGGGATGGAGCGACAGTAGCTGATCCAGGAGTTTGTAAAGAGGCAGCTAAGTTGTCACAGAGACTAAACTCCCACGTTGCTCTCCCTGTGCCATTTTAGAGTTTTACCCCGGAAACTACATTTTTTATTGCTATTTTTCCAGCAGTACAAAAGTTATTTACTTTTGAACTAGACGTCAAAAAAATCATCCAAATTTAGTTATGGAGTAATAACTTAACAATTTAATTTTTTTTTTGCAGACCAGCAATAATTCAGGCAGATTTTTTTTTTCCATGTTGGAGGCAAAAAAGCAACCCAAAACAAATTTCACTTTCGGCAAAAAAAAAACAAATCAAAAAGATACCAAGTTTTAAATGGAATTTTGGACTTTTTAAAAGTTTTTACCTCAATTTTGTTTGTGAAAAAAACATCTTTACCGGTAATAACTATCAGTAAGCCTTGCACTGTTAACTCTCATTCAAGCCCTCTTGAGCCCAAGCCCCATCAAAGTCTCTGTTTCGGTTCTCAGTCTTGAAGTACAATTACAACAGACACACTGGTTGTTACTGAGGATTGATTCTTTCTTGTCTGGCTGTTCCTTCCATACAGACACACACCAGTGTGCCCCTGAATACTATACCTGCCGTCAGAACCGGCCCAATCACAACCGATGTATCCCAATGGTCTGGCTGTGTGATGGATTGAGCGACTGTGAGCATGCAGATGATGAAGACAACTGCAGTAAGTTCAAAGTCCAATCAAAGAGTTAGAATTGCGGGAAGAAAGTCCGCTTCCACTTACTCCTTCCTTCATTTTTTTCCCAATAAGTCTCTCTTATCCCTACCCCCTGTACATACTTAAAAAAAAAATAATTCCAGAATGCTTAGTTGCCAATAACATGGAATTGCAAATGTTTCATTAAACTGAATATCTTGATAAAAGTAGTTGATAAAGTCATCTCCCCTTTCTTATTTCTGTAAGTCTTTGAATCTTGCCTGCTTTTTTTTCTTATTGACAGCCTACAACTTACCCTAGTCACTCTTGACATATTGGATGAACTTTTTCTTTAATACAGAATGTATGTTAATAATCGATCCCATGTTGAAAGATCACAACCTGATTTCGCAGAAATCTTGGGCTTTTTTTTCAACCAAGAGACCTTCTTGAGTGTTTTTTTTTTGGTAAGCCAAGTGTGCTGGGTCAACACTAGACTTTGAAAGATTCTCTCCGACAGTGCTTGAATGACAGCGAGTTCTGGTGTTTTTGTGTGTGGGGATGTTTGGCCAAATGTATGTTGTTGACACAAATTGAGATTATGAACAATCGAGATGATGCTCTTCCATTTGTTTGTTAATTTTTCAGCTAGAACCACCTGTGTAGGTGGTGAATTCACCTGCACAAATGGACTCTGCATTCCAGAATCTTGGGAATGTGACCATGACAATGATTGCGGTGACCAGAGCGATGAGGGTGGCCATTGTGGTAAGACCAAAGATTTAGAATGTTTTGTTGTTTTGGGGGCAGGAGAGTTTAATTTGATTAATGTAACACTTTTGCAATAGTAAAATTAGGTTTTGGCTAAATTTGTGTGCATACCTATACACATACGTGTTAATGTTAAAGCTAAAGTCTCACCCACGAAACAACCAAATTGGAGCCTCCCCTAACCGAGTAAATTTTAACTTCCACCAGCTTGTGACATTTTACCTGCAACATACTCGATCTGCTTTAGGGCATGTGGAAAACAAACTGAGATGTTATATTACCCAGGTCTCTGAATGAGATCCGTTGTGTATCTGTTTGGTTGTGCAGATTACGGAACTTGTGGTAACAATGAGTTTACGTGCAATAACGGCCGTTGCATCCCGGCTGTCTGGCAATGTGATGGGGACAATGACTGCCGTGATTACTCCGACGAACAGAACTGTGGTAAGTTTCCTCTGCTGAATGTTACACAGATCAGACTCAAGGTTATTTAGTACTTCATGCAAATGTTGAGATTATGTCAAGATATATTCACGACAAAATTTGCCGTAGAGGAAATGTGTTAATTTTTTGCAAATGAGCAGGTTGCAGCGATAGCACATTAAAGCATGTTATTAGTCTTGATAGTATAAGTTCACATTTTCCATTTTGTCTTGACATTAAGTGTGAAGTGAATTTCATATTATGTAAACTATGTGCAGAGGAAACTTTAATCCTCTTATGCATACATACATTCTGTGCCAAGTAGTCCTTTCAGTCAAAATCAATCAAGTGACTGTTTTCAACACTTAAGAATTCCCAGCCTGCATAAAGCAGGCTTGACTGGCGGTGACTGTTAAAGTAACTTGATGCAGCTTTGCTTTGACTGCAGGTAACTGATATGGCAGCCATGCCCACAACTTGCCTGCTTTGTCTGTTCAAGGCCTGTTGACTGAGTTTGACTTGGCACAGTGTTTGCTTGACATGTGATCTGACTGCTGGTGACTAGCCTGTGTTAAAAGTATAGTAGGGGAAGTGGAAGGACATTTTGACTTTCTGCGACTGTTTAAATGGCAGGAGGGTTAATGCCTCAAAGAAAAGTCCCTGTATAGCAGGTACAAGTTACGGAGAAACTTTTGTTACTTCCCGTGTCTGTTTGTCAAACCTCGAAATGTTTGGGCCCTTAATTTTGAGAACCCGAACTCCTATGCCTGTACACTGCATTCACAGTGTGTGTTTGCAGCTCTGTTTTGTTCATTTCTCAGGAATCAGAATTCTCCTCTTTTTTTTTACTCCCCCTTCCCCACAGCTACCACCCCGCCTTGTGAGGAAGGCTATTTCACTTGCTTGAACCGTGATTGCATTCTTGATGATCATGTGTGCGACAAGACAAATGACTGCTCTGACATGTCGGATGAAACGCATTGTGGTAAGTTTAGCCCTGCAAAAACAAATTAAAGAGACAACATAGCCCATTATTAGGACAACACGCAAAATGGGAAAACAGTAATTACCATGATGAGCTGGGGGAAAAATGATCATTGATGTCCACAAACAATGAAAATTCATAACATGTGGCAGTACTGGACATGTCAGTCTCAACTTTGCTCCAAAATGCAACATTGTTATTGTACCGTAATTTCCTGCGGATAAGACGCGTCTTATCTGACTTTCTAGACCACAAAAACATCGCTGCGCCTTATCTACAGGTGCGCCTTATCTGGTGTCGCTTGAGTTCAAAGTGACGGTCTTTGTGTGAAGAATTCTTTCAATGCCGCAATCAATAATGCGGTCAACCAAGGCTCAACTCTCCAGACATTGTGACCGTATTTTCATTCCAACAATGCCGCGATGTGTTGATCCCCCATTATCGTGCTTTCATTCCAACAATGCCGCAATGCGTTGATCCCCCTTAGTGATCGTGCTTTCGTTCCAACAACGCCGTCATACAAACGTTTTTCTTTGTGGCCGTTTTTTCATTCCGAAAATGCTGCAATCAGAATTACTTAAACGTTTGGAAATCGCATTCACTCAAGTTCTATTGTGTGAACGTTGAGGGTGTTTATTGTACAGGATATCTTCGAAGTCTGCTTTAGACTTAAAATAATATGAAGTACTAATGTTTATTTGTTGCACTTTCGTTTGTTTCATTAAACGTTCAAATCGTTCATTTATTAATTGCCTCTTTTTAGACGTTTGTTTAAAAAGTATTATGGGAATTTGTATTATTTAACACCGCGTTTCCACTTGAATTGGGAAAAGGTGGATCAAGATCCGGCATTTTGGTGTAATCGTTATCTTACCGCAACGAAACCGCAAGTCGCGTTCCCACTTATGCTTGAGCCACCTTTTCGTACGGAAATGTTGGGTCCGAAAGGTCACTGAGTTCGGAATTACGCGCGCTCTGTGGGAGTGCCATTGTTGCATGGTTGCATGCTAGGCCAGGATGGGTCAGTTTTCAAACAGCACTATCAGAATTCACAGACAAAAAATTACGCGAATTCACCAACATAAATCACGGATCCGTAGAGGATCCGTGCGTGCATAAATTAACAGGTGAAATCCAACAGAGCCGCTCATTGTGTGACATCACGGCAGAAACCAATGCATCGATAAGGGATTCCCTGGTTCTGAAGCTTCTCATTGGTTAGAAACGGTCACATGATGTACTACGACATCATTTTCCAATTTTCTATAATCAATACTTCAGATTTGTCACCTCCGTACGTACCGCGTTATCGGCACTATTCTCATCGCATACTCGTAAGCTTTTCCATGATTCTGTGCCAAAGTGAAGTCTTTTGGTGAGTGCGGACTCAGAGTCATTTATGGATGGAAAAATAAGTAAAATTTTAGGAATGAAAAAGGTTTAGTAATGGACGAACACGCAACAAAAATAAGGCCTATAGTGTAGTTTTAGGATACCATGTGCGCTTTTGCATGCGCGGTGCTAGCCCGTAGTTCAGCGGTTGTTTATTGTGCATGTTGTATACGCTGGAAATGTTCACATGAGCTACATGCCTGAAAACGTGTTTCTTCGTTCATGAGACCGCAACATGTTCGTGCCACTCGTGCACCGGGCGGATGTTAACAGGTCAAATTGCCGGATCAGAATGGATGAAGGTCGGTATCAATTTACATTGGTCTTTTCTTCATTGGCTCTACATGTGACCAGCCAATGTGGTTACGGTTTAATTCATTCTCCGAATAGTGTGATCTTTCTAAGGCAACACAATGGCCCCTTTGTGGCGATGTACCGACACCGGGTGACGCCTGGTGTTCTTCTGTGTGCGGTCAAACATGCGTCTTATGCGGCGGTGCGCCTTATCTGTTGGCGTTTGAATTTTTGGGGGTGATTTTAGGGACCTGCGCCTTATCCGCCGCGCGCCTTATCCGCAGGAAATTACGGTAAGTAATAATGGTGGAAATAATCTTCATTGATTCTAATTCACTCTGTGCTCCAATCCTATGCATTCTAAACTGTTTAGTTTCTAGTTAAGTTTCACTTATCATTACCTGGAGATTATGTTGTATTTATTCACCAGAATATTTTCACTGAAATATGTTTTTTGTTGAGAGAGGTACCAGTCTCCGTTGCGGCTTAACCTCTGCATATCACACTTGATCAATCTGTCTAACACCCAGACTCTTTCCCTCTCCTTTCAGATATCAATGAGTGCCTCACATTGCAAGCTAACCAGTGCGAGCATTACTGCAACGACACGCGCACTGGCTACTTCTGTTCATGCCAGCCTGGTTACTCACTCAATGATGATGGCAAAACGTGCAGAGGTAAGGAAATAGTTGTGCTTCATGCAAAATGCCTTCATACATTTATCCAAGTACATGTATTTGTGCTTGAAAACACTTCATCATAAGACATGCATCTTGGCATGTTCACATACGTATACGTTTTACATCACAGCCTCCAATAAATGCTTTCATATTGTTTTGCTTGTTAATAATAATAATAATAATAATAACAGGTTCTTATTTAGCACTTCTTAAGCGAAGTCTGACAGGGTGGAGTCGGAGGGGCAATCAGCGGTCCTTCCTTTAAAGCCTAGTTTCCACATCGACGTTAATAATAATAATAACAATAATCGGCATTTAAGAACGCTCTTATCAGTAAACTAAGATCAAAGCGCTTTATATTATTATTACCCCTGATCACTGGGCCAATTAAACATTCCAAATACCATCTCAGCTCCCTGGGGAGTGTACAGCTCGATGCAGCCTGTTAGGCACAAGGAAGCTAATTCAATCACAATAACCATCTCTGCTCTCAATTGTTTCTCAATTTCGAAACTATATCTAATATTTCTTCGGTTGTAATCCGTTTTCATTCCCCTATGATAAAGTAGATCAAAAGAAAGACAGTTGAAGAATTGTCAATTTACATGTGCGTAGTGACATGTAGGCAGTTAGAGTAACGGTCAATCTATTTTCAGTTTTTTGGGGCACACAAACTGTCATTAGAGAGTAAGTACTGTAAATTTTGAGTTTGTGATTTGATTTTGAATTAAATGTCATATTTGTGTTTATCTATAATGAGTCAAATCCATCATATATCTGGGCCCAATTTCATGGCTCTGCTTACCAATAATAAAAACTTCCTGCTTACTGTAGCAGAAAATCTGTGCTTACAGTAAGCGTATATCACTACTTAGCGAGGAATTTTGGCTTCTGCGCATACTTATATACATCACATAGCTAAGGATCCTGTGCTTAAAGGGTCAGCGCATAATTCTTCTGTTATCACTGTTAGCAAAAAATGGTTATCGTAAGTGCGGAATTTTGTGGTAAGCAGAGCCATGAAGTTGGGCCCAGGTCACAATTATATCAGGAGACAATTCATGAGTCCGGTCACAAGTATACAGGGTATGAACAACACCACAAGGAATGTGTATGTCTCTCTTTATTTGAATAGCTAATTTGATGAATTCTGGTGACTATTACAACTGTGGTCTGTTGTATTTGTTATCTTTCACAAAATTATTTTTTTGCCGACTTCTCTTCTGCCTCAGATAACAATGAATGCAATGAGATTCCTGGAGTGTGCAGCCAACTATGTGAGAACACGCGCGGCTCGTATTTCTGTAAGTGCGCAGACGGTTACGCCCGAGAGCAGGATTTGACCACCTGCAAGCACTCTGAAGGTAGGCAGCAATGGTGGACATAATGGTCCATAGGAGGTGGCACAGTACATAACCCTTTGGGTCCTTTACCAAGGATATTCTAGGTTTTGGTTTATGGTTTCAGGTCATTCATTTGGTGGTCTTTTTCATTATTGCTGCTCAGTATACAGAAATTTAAGCTCACAAAAAATGCTGAGCAAAATTAGGTTACCAGCTAAAATGACATGCAGTTTATAGGGCTTGTGGCTGGTTCACAGCTTATTTTCTTTCGACTTCAACACATAATTTGCTGAGCAGTATTTTCTGCTTAGCAACCCCAACACATTTTATCCCTGGATTCCAGGATTGTAAGGCTGACATTGTACATTGCTTTCTCCATAGCTTGAGCACAGCTGGCATAAAACATTCACAGTAATTTTGTTTTCTGTTTTTATCATAAGAATATACATGCTTTACTCAAGCTTGTGGTTTCATTACCCAAATGAAATTGCCTGACTCTGAAATTCAAATGAGCTGCGCACCATCCTTGAACAGTTTATTAGCAATGAGGAGGTATTTGAATTATCTTGGCTTATCTGCCTGTGCATGACAATTCAAGGTGGAGACGCATCCCTGGTCTTCAGCAACCGCTACTACATCCGCAAGCTGAGCTTGGATGGCCAGCAGTACGACCTTATCAAAGACGGGCTGTACAACGCCATCGCACTGGACTACGATTTGAGAGAGAACCGTCTGTACTACCTGGACACGGGTACCGACAAGATTTCCCGTATGTTTCTCAATGGCACTGGGGCGGAGGTTATTGTTCCTTATGCTGTCACGAGTGGACAGGGACTGGCAGTGGACTGGGTTGGCAGGTATTGCTTATGTTTGATGTAGTCCACACTTTCAAGAATCACAGTACACCTGGCACAATTAAAGAAACTAAGCAGTTCTTATATTCATCCTTGTTTGGATATTTCTCGGTGAACAAGAGGAACGTTTTGTCACGGAAACTTTCGGTTCAATGTGATACCTCACTTATACACACTTTGTAAGAAATAATGAGAGTGCAAGCACTGAAACTCCTGAAACCTCGAAAACTTGTTTGTTCACCGAGAAATGTCCAAAGAAGTATGATTATAAAAATTGCTTAGTCTCTTTTGTGCCAGATGTAGACTGGATAGTGCTTTTTGGCAGCTCTGGTGTCGGTCAACTAAACTTAGAAAGAAAAACAGTACTCTAAATATTGGCTGGCCTGACATTGTGGTCTTAACAAGACTTTCAGAGGCAGATGATAGTGGTACAAGACACAGACATCAATAAGAACATCAAGCTTATTTAAGTTAAGTCATATGTTTCAAATTTACTAATGGTGTCAGTGTGAGTGTCAACAAATACTTATAATTGCTGAATGTATTATCCCAATTCGTTGTACTGGCACTAATATTACATGTTGATTTTTTTCTTTGAAATAATTGTTTGGTTCTGCTGGTTTGATTACGTTAATTCCTTATTGAATTACTGGTCTAGAATCAAAATTCTTAAAGCACTGCCATTTGCAATAACGTGGAAAGTGATTCTTGTAACATTTGATCCTTTTCTCTTTTGTAACCTACAGGAAACTTTATTGGCTGGAGACCAGTAGTGATGTCATGGAAGTCTCTGAGCTGGACGGTACCCTCAGGAAGACTATCGTCTATCAGGATATGTCACAGCCACGAGCCATGTCCCTAGATCCCCGCAATAGGTAAGGCATGGAGGAAACCCTTGCCCCATTTCCTTGGCAAACACTCAGGCCTTGCAGTCCTGATAACTGATAATCCACCAAGGGAAGCAAGGTTCAATGTTAATCCACATATTGGTTGAACAAAGAAATGGATTGCAGTGGATTTAGACCTGCTACCTCCAAGACGGATACCTTATTTGACCAAAAGGTTGAATCTGGTTTCTCCATAGCTTTGAATTTGCAGCAGTCTGAATTTGTCGCACTCTTCATCTTTCGTTATTTCTTGAGGTATGCATTCGCAATGCGCCTCTGGATCAGCAACTTAAGACCGGACATCATGGTCAGGGCTGTTGAGCTCCCACATAAATAGCATCCATGAAAGATGACACTATTAAAGATGCTACTTTGCACTTAATTTCATAACTATTCAGCAAACTGTTTAAACATTTGGCCATTTCACAAAGGCTGATGCCTTCCATTATGTCTGTAGACTGGCATAATTGACATGATAACTAAATAATGATTGACATAATAAATATCAGTAGTCATTGAAAAAGTCAAACCTTAACTATGTTTGTACCCTGAATGTAAGCACTGCGGTGTACATTCAGGTTTTGTAACTTCAATAAGTTTGAAAATGTCTTTAAGTATTAACTCAAAGGAAGATCGCAGAAACGTAGGTTCCTATTTTGTTATTCGGGTTTAGTTACAACAGTTTGGAAAACTTGTAAATGAATTTAGAACTTTTTGTTTAAACGTGTGAACGTCACATCCTGTGTGGCCTAATATGTCTCTTTTTTCATTTGGACTGGATTTTACACCACAAAGTCAGGTTGTCTGCTATAATTGCATAGTTAACATGCAATGTAGGCCTGCTTAAACAATAACATGAGGCCTCACTTGTTGGGCTTATTTCAGATACTTGTACTGGACTGACTGGGGATTGAGATCCTACATCGGCAGAATGGGAATGGATGGCAGCTCTCCCATGAGAATCATCACTGAGGGGCTAGTCTGGCCCAACGGCCTGACCATCTGCTATGCATGCGACAAGCTGTACTGGGCTGATGCTCATCTCAACTACATTGGGTGAGTCTGGAAAATTCCTGGGGTGGCCTGTCATATATATACATGGTGTAAGAGGGACATTACCCCTCCCCTACCCCTACTCCCTGCCACTTTTGTTTCCAGCTTTGCCTGCTCACTTTGGTTTATTCCCCTATAGAGATGTTGTCCTTGTTTTTCACGAAGGATAAAAACCTCAATATCCTGCAAAAAGGTCATCCCAAGATAATTGCATTTGGAGTTGATCCTTTATTCGAAACACATATTTGGACTAGTTTGCAGTTACAGATACGGGGAATTTTGCCTTGTCAAGTATTGTATGCTTTATTCCTTGCTAATTCAAAGTTGATTGTTAAAAGTCTCTCTTTAATTAAACGGTAATTCATCAATAAAGATCTTTGACACTTTGTGAAAACAGCAATGCGAAGAGGTATTTAATTATTCCCATCACTTTGTACACACTCTTGGTCATTTTGTGAAAACATAAAATGTTGAGGGGAATTGTTACATGTATGTACCAGCCCCCCCCCCCACCCCCCCTTTGGTGATGGGTGTGAGCGCATGCACGTCTGTCTTTATCAACATCGTTTGCGAGCGTGCGTCCTCTCCCATCCTATTGCGTGTAGAGCAATGCATAATCCCTCAGGCCTTGCTAACGAGGTGACTTTTTGTCACTTTGTTAAAACAAATAAAGCACAGCTTTTTGTCAAATGTGTGTTTACAATAATTGCAGTAGTAAACAGTATTTCACTTTGAAATTTGATCAAATTGTTCTTTTTGTCAAATACAATTAAATGGCCAGCAAAACTCAACATCGGAAAATGTATTGGTTTTCCAAGTTTTGTCACTTCATGAAAACACTGACGATGTGTATTATTCCCCTCAGAAGTGTTTGCCGCCATTAGTATCAGATTTTCTGCTCCAGTCTTATTTAACAAACTTTCCTTTACCTCTTCAGCTACTCCAACTTGGATGGCAGCCACATTCACAAGCTCCCCGGTGAGGAGCTAGCCCACCCATTTGCCGTGACTGTCTTTGAGGACTACGTCTACTGGACCGATTGGAACCACATGGGCATCTATCGAGCCAACAAGTCCACGGGAGCAAACATGACATTGATGAGGGAGGTTCTCCATCGGCCGTTTGATGTTCATGTCTTGCATCCACTCCGGCAGGACCAAAGTTAGTCACAACTTTAGCATTGGTTTGGGGTACGGTGAAGGGACTAATTCTGGGATTTTTAAAAGCTACTTTTCAAAGCGGCAAGCCGAAGCATAGATATAATGAAAAACATAGTTTAAAGGGAAGGTACAACATTTACAAACATCACAAAATTAAATGATCAAATTATCACAAAATACCTCCCTGGATTGTTAGGGAATGACAGTCTAAAGCATCCTGTAAAATCGTGGCTCCTGGTGTGCTGACATTTTCAAGAAAAATGGTATTTTTCCAACGCTGGTCGGCCGACCAGCATCGGGTGGTCGGCCGACCAGCGTTGGAGAAAACTTGATTTTTTTTTCTCAAAAACTGCTCCTAATTTTTCCTTATTAGTTATTCCGCATTTTCTTTGCAATTGATGACACACACATGTGAAGGGGTTCAAGCCTTCTGGACTGATTCTCTGACCTTACAATTCCCCAAAGTCTATAAACTGCTCTGATTCATCTTAAGTAGGGTCAGGGAATCAGACTACAAGAACATGATGGGTTTTCTTGGTTTCGCCAGAACATACAAGCCCAAAACGTGAAACAAGTCATTTTAACAATATTTGCTATAACATACTGATCCTCCAAATTGAAAATTGCAGCAAAAGCAAATGTTGTACATTCCCTTTAAGAATTAATAACCCCAAAATTAAACCCCAAAATGGGGGAGCATTATTTTTCTGCTCACATTGAGTTGTGTTCTGTCATTTCATGGCCCTTGTTAAGTCAAACGTTTTGTCAATTGATGTTTTGTTCTTGTAGGTCTCATGAACCCCTGTGGAACCAACAACGGTGGCTGTTCCCATCTCTGTCTCCTGTCCCCCAATGGCGACTTCACCTGCGCCTGCCCAGACAACTTCATCCTGTCCGGCAGCAACAGTGAGTCCTGCCAGGCTAACTGCTCGGTGCTGGAGTATCGCTGTGCCGACAACAGCGGCTGCATTCCAATCAACTGGAAGTGTGACTCCGAGGCGGACTGCCCCGATGGCTCGGACGAGCCAGCATCTTGCCCGGTCCGCCACTGCGACCTGGGTTACTTTCAGTGCGACAACTTGAACTGCGCCACGGGCCCACAGCTCTGCAACGGTCAGGATGATTGCGGGGATGGCTCGGATGAGCGCATGTGTGACCAGACTCACTGCCAGGCATGGGAGTTTCGGTGTGCCACAGGGAACTGTATCCTGCACACTCTAGTCTGTAATCAGAACAATGACTGCAGCGATGGGTCTGATGAGAACACACAGTTGTGTCGTGAGTTGCCATTTCAACTATTATTGAATGAGCCGTACTTAACAATTGTATTAGACTTTGCAAAACTTAGTTGTTTTTTATGATCTCTTTGTTTGCAGTTGCTTCAGAAGTCTGGCTCATATGGCTTGTGTTTATTTCCAGTTTCCTTGGTGCTAAGTAAATTCTGTTTTTTTCCTTCATGTATCTGTACAGAGAGTCGGAGCTGTTCACCTGGCTATTTTCAGTGTGACAACGGCTTCTGCATCCCAGAGGCCTGGTACTGTGATTTTGACAACGACTGCGGTGACAACTCTGATGAGCCTCACAGACAATGTCGTAAGCAGTCAAGCATAGTTCTTTACTAAGCACTACCTCAGTTTGTTATATGAATCAAGTACATGCATTTACATTGTCAGCAACACCACATGTAACACCCATGTACATACCAGTAAAAACTAGCAACCGGAGAAAACGGCATCTAAAGTTGAACGCCTTCTAAAACAACACTTTGTGTCAAAACGGAAGAGTATTTTCAGTTGGGTTTCTTGTTGTGGGCACTTGATGAATTGAATTTATTAAATCAACAAGAAATAAGAGCAAAAAGGTGAGTGTTAGTTCGTGATACCAGAAAAAGCTGCGAAACTGTAAATGTTCTTTTTCACGAAGTAACACTCTTCAATGTATACAACACCAGAAAAGTGCAACTTCAGGTCAGCGCGCTCATACAAGGAGAGCGTTACATTGTGAAAACGTTTTTGCTCACATTTGAGCAGAGTGCGCGCCATGCATTGCAATGGTAAATAGAACTTGAGTGTTACTTCGTGAAAAAGAAAATTGTCACTTTTGCGCAAAAGTTGCCATGGATAATTAGCGTAATTATTAAAGTAAAGCTCTTGAGGCTTTGAAACTTCGTTCAATGTTAGGCCTTTATTAATAATGTTTGAAAATGTGAAAAACTGAAAATCGAAAAAAATATGGTTTAACACGTGGAGTGTTACTTCGTGGTGTCGGTGACAACATGTGCACCATGACCAGTGTCTTTTACTCAGCGGCAATATGAACAGATCACCAAGGATAGTATGAAATGTTCACTTTGAGAAATTGTCAACAGTAAATGCTGTGCTTTGTTTCTGCTAAATGCAGAGATTGCTTGAAGAGAAATTTATAGCCCTGAAAACTTTCTCAAGATATTTCAATTCTGCTGTAAGGTTTTTCAAAGTCAATTTTACATTGTTAAAATTTAATTTCCTTTCATGTGAGGGTGATGTGGTTTTATGCCTAATTAATTGTTTTTAAGCTCTGGCAGGAGCTTCTCAGTACATGTCACTTGGTAGGCGGTCTGTCCATTGGTCTGTCCCCGAAAATTGACAAAAAATAATTGATTTATTGACTTAATGCCATGCCGTGGTCATAAAATGCATACTTGCTGACGATTTTCGAAACAGCGATATTGTTTCGATCGATGCGCATGCGCGTTTATTTTGCATATGTCTGTCCCCAATAATTGACCAAAATAAGCTCCATAAAGTTCCCACAAAAGATAAGTACCATATATTTTAATGTTTAAAAAAAGCAAACAAAATCAAATAAATACCTAACAAAAATTGTTTGCAACAATTTGGAAAGACGTTTATGAAAAGTTTGTAAATGGAAGGAAAATATGTGCAGTAATGTTATAGTCACGTGTTACTTATGACAAATAACTAGCTACATGTATACATCTGAAGTATGGTGTTCCATATGTGCCATCGGCGTCGCATTTTTGGGCGTCGCATTTTTTAAGCTTTGGCAGGGATCATTTTGATAGATTTCATGCAAGACTTTCGTGCAAGACGGCCAGAGCTTATTGTGCACTCGCACTTGTTTCTTTGTTTGTCTTTTACAGAGCAAGTCACCTGTCCTACTGGTTGGGAGCCATGCCGGACCAACTACCGCTGCATCCCATCCTGGGCCTTCTGCGATGGGTACGACAACTGCCGGGACAACAGTGATGAGGAGAACTGTGAGGCAAGGACCTGCGACCCGGGCGAGTTCCGCTGCGACAGCCACAGCTGCATCCCACAGCGCTGGGTCTGCGATTTTGAGCAGGACTGCGCAGATGGAACAGACGAGGTGGCCAACTGCCCGTTTCGGGACTGCAGCGAGTCAGAGTTCCGCTGTGACACGCAGCAGTGCATCCCTAAGCGCTGGATCTGCGACCACGACAATGACTGCGGGGACATGAGTGACGAGGTGGCGTGTGAGGACCACAGCTGCCTGGAGGGTTACGCCAAGTGTGCCAGCGGGCATTGCATCCGTGAGAACTATGTGTGCGATGGTGATCGAGATTGCCTGGACTACTCCGATGAAGTCAACTGTCGTAAGTTTTCAATCATCATTCACTCTTCTTGAAGTTTGAACCCTAACTCCCAAAATCTTTTTTTTTTGTGGGGGGGCACGGGGCATTTTGAATCCTCAAAAATGTTCCACTTTCGAAGAGGGAATGGCAACATACAACTTACAACATCTTGGCATCATCTTGACATCGTTGTTTATATCTTTATTTCTGGTGTAAAATCAAGGCAACACTTTTTATTAAATAATTAAATTTACACAAATGGAATAGCCAGATATTTTGTGACTTGATTCAAAAATCCAAGGCCAAGTTTTGATTAGATTTACACAGTTGGTTTGTTCATACTTCATGTAAAGTAAAGTTTCAATTACAAAATTTAGTTCCATAACTTTCAAGAATTGACATGTAGTCAACTCGTGTATTAAAATTCACAGAAATATTTTCATGTCGGCATTGTCTCAGTTGATTTGTTTAAAACAGACGTAAAACACAGACTTTTCAATCATTTCTTCAAAATAAAGTTCACTCCCCAAAACAGTCAACAAAAATATCTTGACCATTGTGTGTCATTTTATGTGTTTTCCGTAGCCACCCGACTTCCCAATGGTCTGTACTGCTTCGCAACAGAGTTTACCTGCAACAACACCTTGTGTATCTGGGAAGACTGGGTTTGTGATGGAGACAATGACTGCGGTGACGGGAGTGATGAACTTTTGAGCGTCTGTGGTAAGGGCACAAATGCTTCAATGGGGAGTGCTGATAAAATCCTACAATCAGGCACACTATATTAACTAAAAGTGTACAAATGCACCCTTCTCAGTTAGGGGGAGACCGTTCCCATGTACGTCAAATTCTTACATTTTGCTAGTGAATTTTTTTTTTTTATATGGAATTTTTTTGAGGGGGCAACACCCCCCCCCCCCCTCTCGGTAAAATCTGGGCTTTTCCATTTCATGAGGCGAAAAAAGTCCAGAATTTACCTTGAGATAATATTCCTCCAATTTCACTCTAAGCCAATCAATATTTAACCAATGCTGTTAACTTTATTGCGGGAAGATTGCAGGGTAGTTGTTTAGAATCCTGCAACTTATACCCGATGCAATGTCCGCAACTTGTCCGGACCTCGACCCGGATATGAATTGAGATGGGCCCCTAGCCTGTCAGAACCTCACAAAGGTTAACTCAAACATTTTCCTCAGTTACTGCATTTCCAAATTATGGTTTTGTAATTGTTTTGTTTGACAGAAACTTTTAAAGTGTGCAACAATCAGTTTGAGGAAGAAAATTGGACGTTATAATTGCTGTTCCCCCTTTAGTTGCATTTATTTGCTCTCTTGTACTCCTCCCCACTTCTCTCCCCCCCCCCCCCCAATCAGCCGGGCGCGAGTGTGACCCTTCTACCCATTACCGATGTGCCAATGGCCGCTGTATCCCTCTGTGGAAGACCTGCGACGAAATTGATGACTGCGGAGATGCCAGCGATGAGAACAATCACGATTTTTGCCAGGCCAAAGTGCAGTGTCAAGATGATGAATACAAGTGCCCCAATGGTCTGTGCATTCCTGGATTCTACGTCTGTGATGCGTTTGACGACTGCGGGGATGCCTCTGACGAAACAGGATGCAGTAAGTGTGTCATGAATGGCGGTTATTGTTGGGGTTTTGAAATGGCACCAAGCGAAGGGCTAATTTGTGCGAAGTGTATTCTTCATCCTTACTCTGCATCAGCAGGCACATGATTTTTTATTTTTTTAAAAATCCAGAAAATGCATGAAAAAGTTAAGATAAGGCCCCCCCAAAAGACTCCGGTTTCTGGTCTGCACGCGCATCGCCGTAGCCGTACTTTTTTTTAAGGGGAGCCCTTATTTATTTGGTGGTGCATTGATAATTTTCAATCCCTGTGGAGACACTTTGAGAGTATTTGACACTTATTTCATTGTTTGTTTTTGGAAAGATGATGGTGCATGTGCAGACGCAGCCTGTGAGGAAGACTGTATGGATACCGCAACAGGCCATATCTGCACCTGCCCAGCAGGCCACCAAGTGGGACCAGACCATCTTGGCTGTGAAGGTGGGTTTAACACTCACTACATATAACAGGCAGGGTTCCTGACCAAAACATTCTGGTGTTGGGGAATGGATAAGTCGATACACAATTCTTTTGTTGAGGACTGTGTTTGCCGTGACCGTTTATTCCACAACAATATTTGAATAAACATTGATTAACTAAACTGGTCAAAGTGAACTTAGTCAAAGAGAACTGTGCAAACTGACTGGATGAGCAGAATGAATTAAACTGACTACATGATTGGATCGTATCATACTGAGTGGTTGGAATAGAATAGAATAGAATGGAATGAGGAACTGCTCACAGGGCAGTACTTATATACTGGTGAAAACCTAGGGGAAAACTTAGTTATGTCTTGGTTTACTTGATTCTCAGAAAGATGACTATGAATGAGTAATAGTACAGTGAAGCGCTGCTATAACTAACATCGTGGGATCCACAGAAAGTGTTCGGAATAACGATCGTTCGGTATAGCGATTTTGAACCACCGGTACCCTCTGTGAACCTGCATTTGTCACATCCCATGGCCGCACGAGGAGTTGGAAACTTGAGCAATGGATGGTTTTCCCTTTTATTCCTTGGGAAAATAATAGCCATCTATCGCTCTTCAACGTTCAAACACGATGTAACTATGGGTCGTTTGATGTTTGGGAATTAAAATTGGCCCAAATAGTGTTAAATACAAGTACAACCGGTACATTTTTTGTTAGTCTGTTGACTTTTTCCAACAACAATGTTCGGTACGTTTTGTACATTAAAACCGGGAGCCAAGGATGATGTTCGGTGTAGCCGAATGTTCGGTATAGCGGTGTTCGGTATAGCGGCGTTCCACTGTACCTTAAAACAATGATCAAGTAACTTGGTTGTACTGCAAAACTGACCAGTGACTTGTGTGTGGGCAGTGAAGGTCATTTGCTGTGTATAAAACTATAGGGACTACACATTGCATCTAGGCACCCTGTGGAAAACAATGAGTAATGCATTCAATAGAATAATTGTTATGCAGGAATGATCATTAAAAAGTTCAAAAGGAACATTGATAATTAAAGAGTAATAATTAACTGAAATTAAGATGAATTCGTAATTAAGAATTGACAATCTGAAAACGCTACACTGGACATGGGAGGGAAGTGACCGAATGAATCCATTCACATGTTGGATATTATAACACTCACCCACAGATTCTGTATCTTGATTGGCCGAAAGCCAATCACATGGCATTTGCTATTTTTGCTATCTTGTTGTTCACAGCCAAAAGTACTATACCGGTAGCAACCAAAGTACTACATGTTTATGAATAAAAATAAGTATTGTATGCATATGCACATACGGGTGTGCGTATGTTGTTCCAAAGCGCTACAGGTGCAGAGCTGGATTCAAACATTTCTAGAAGGGGTAGTTTAGAAAAGTGCAAGTAAATTTTCAACAAATTTTGTATTCAAATTGAAGTACACTTTAATTGTATTTAGATTAAACCAATGATTTATCGTCTAAAATCGAGCAGAATACCGGTATGTGGGAGAGATGTTATAAACAAGTATTGAATAAAGGTACGTGTTCTTTCAGCAAAACGAAAACAATTTGCATGCATCCCTATGAGAATTGTTTTTGTTTTGCTGAAAGAATGCTTACCTTTTTTGTGATCGGTGAACAAACTTTAAAATGGTGATTGTGTTCAAAATTTAGTAACTTGAAAAGTGCATAAGCCATTTGAATGATTCTTGTACTAAAAGGTAGCTTAATGACTGGGCTTTCATATCCTACATTTTAAAAGTGCTTATGTCAAAAAATCATTCAAAAATTGGTCCTGTCATTTGGGTTTTGTTGTTTTGACTCGCCCTGTGTTTTGTGAATTTTTTTCCGATGATGTGGGATAGGTTGTGCACAGGTCACAATGTAGATATGGTGTAATAATTCAAATCAAATCACATTTATTTTCCTCTTCATGACAGAAATAAAAAAAATAATATAAGTATTGATACAAAATATAAAGGCCTCTAGAGGTGGCAAGCCTTAAAAGCATAGCTTGCATCAGGCATGCCATTACACAAAACAGACGAATAATAACAGAAAAAACAACTACACACATGTATAATTCTAATGAAAAATTAATAATGGGCTACGAGTAGGATCGTGGTGCATACAAAGTCCAAGGGCAGAGGCACATTACATAATTCAGCTGTGGCTCTCCCCTCTTTCAATTCCTACAGACATTAATGAGTGTCAAGACAACCCATGCCCACAGCTGTGCCGTAACACCAAGGGAAGCTATCACTGCCAGTGTGCTTCAGGCTTCACAGACAGGGGCGCAAAGGGAATGGACTGCAAGCCAGATGGTAAGGGTTCGCATCCCACCCAGCCCAGGCTGAAATATTCAACCGTTCTTAATAATTCCATAACACTTGACAAGTTTACAACTTTGGGAGGGCGACCGGCAGGCTAGCCAACCCTTTTGTTCCTGCTTATTTCCTTTGAGTTTACCACATAATAACGATAACGTATCTCGCATAATATTCATAATTCTGTCGTTACTACAGCAACGCTTTCTTTGCCTGCTTTCTTACAAGCTAACTATTATACTTGATAATATATTTTAACATAGTATAGTGACTGTAAATACTTCTGGATTTCATAAACACCCATGTTAATCCAACACTACAACATAATTCTGTCTTTGCTACAGGAGCTCTCTTCACTCAATTTCTTTACAGCTTAACATTATACTAGATAATCATAATGCCTACACCAATCCGACACTACAACTTCATTAACATTAGTTTTAGGATATAAAAACCCAGTGGGAAAAGCCTTGCAAATAATACAAATAAGTTGCAATACTTGATGTGAAGTGTTTGCCTGTTGGAACGCAGATGGCACATTCTTGCCACACCCTTACTTATATACCCAAGACTCATAACTCAGTGCACCTCTGCGCTGCGGCGTGATATTCCACAGTAAGAACTTAATTTCATTCTGGTTTGCTGCCCCGTTCAACTGAACGAAATTATATTTGTATTCAAGAACTGTGGTACCCAAAAGTGCAGGTGTATCCAACAGTGTTTGTCTTGCATCAAACTATCCATTAGACCTTCTACATTATGTTTCATGTCCTGTATTTATGGTATTTGTTCACTCGTACTTCCGGTTTTGTTGAGTCGTATAACCACTAATAACCACTTTGGATTATAAAACTAGGGGAATACAGTATGTCTTTAATTCAGCTGTTCAGTAACATATTTTGTTGAAAAAACCTGAAAATTAGAGAGGAAAAAGTGGCTGTATTTGTCCTTTTTACAGGCAATCACCCGACGTTCATCTTTGGGGATGGTAGTGACATACGCAGGTATGATAACAACACCAAGAAGTACACCGCGGTAGCGTCGCAGGAGGGCCTCATTGAAGATGTGGATTACCACGTGGGACAAGGTTAGTCTTTGTGTTCTTGGGCTGGACACTTTACTGCAATTGCTTCTCTCCAGCATTACACTAATGCATACCAGCAGCAGCAATGATAGGTGGTCATTTTAGATGATGCATATTTCAGTATTTCATCAGCAGTTTATGAACAAGCAGGTGCCCAACTTTTATGGCAAAGGGTTTCCCATCCCAAAGTACACGTAAAAAGCACACACCTACATTGTCAATAACATTTGAACTTCGGTTATCTTTTTTATATCAGATGCGCTGTACTGGGTGGACATAGCTCACAGTGCCGTCAAAAGGGGGCGGTTCCCAGCCAATGAAGACCAGGAGGTAGTGGTGCAAGAAATCGTCAGTAACATCAACATCCCTCAGGGTATTGCTGTGGACTGGGTTTCTGGGTAAGAATGAGACCCTAACTGAAGATCAAAATATCATCAACAATTCTTGAATGCCACTTTAAATTGACGTGACAAGAAAAAGAAATTTAGTTTCAGAAGCTTGTAGAAAGCTTCATCCAGGGAAAACCTATACAATTTAAGACGGCAGAGCCAGTGCAGAGCCAGTAGTTTTTAAAGAAGAGGCTAAAAAAAACCTGCAGCCTCTTTCCTATTATTGCATACCACTTTCTTTTGTGAAAATAATTAAATCAATTTCGGCACGCAACATTTCCTCGAATCAGCTGAGTTCCTTGGTTTTTCACTTCACACTTATGGCTTATGGCATTGAAAAATAAAAAAACACTGTACAAAATCTTGTAAAGATCGGAGTTTCCCCCTTTTTTTGTTTCTTCCAAGTTGCATGCCTGACAATTTAATCATTTATGGAGGGAAAATTGATACCAAAACACTGAATTTAAATAAATGAATAAATATAAATATTTAACATTCAGAAAAATTACATGTAGATTGCCCAAACTAGTTTGGCCCCTCCCTCCCCTATACCACTTCTTGGACATCTTCCAGAATTGAACAGTAGTCAACAGAATTGGAAGGCAGGGAAAACGGCTTGTATGGCCATCAGACTGCCTTTCTTTCTCCATTAGCGTTAACTGTCTTGTTTCCTTCATTTTTTTCCTGCTCAGAAATGTGTATTGGACAGATCGGGGTATCAAGCCCAACCCTTTCGGCCGAAAGAGACGACAGGCCCCAACCCCGAGCCCGCGTGTCGCCGTGGCCAAATTAGACGGACGCTATGTCAAGGACCTTGTCACCACTGACATTGGCAAGCCCACTGCTATCGCTGTCAATCCGTTTCGTGGGTGAGCGAAGAGATTATATGAAATAAAGATGGAATGACGGTTGGACTTCCAACATTATTTACCAACTTTAAACCGTATATTCATCACATTTGCACAGTGACTGGCTCAATGAACAAAGAACCACTAAATTCATAAAGAGAACAATTCTTCCATCGCCTCATAACTGAACACCACCTGACATGTTTGGCTCATGAGTATGGAAATTTGCCTGATGTGCTTGGTCTGAGAACTGACTTGAATGTCAAGTGAACACCTTTTTGTTATTACCAGGTTGATCCTTTGAAAGTTATCCAAACTTTTACTCATCACCGTAATAAGCCTGAAATTACACTTGAAATTATGTAAAGGTTTTAAGGTTCAGTTCACTTTAGTTAATTTTTCTACATTTTCAATTCCAACTGGTGAGAAAAATTACCATTCAAGTAAATTAGAGTCAGAAGAATACTTCAATTACCCGTCAGTGTTGTTTATTGTTGAACAGTCTCCTCTACTGGACCGACACTGGGGCCACGCCCAAGATTGAGATGGCTTGGATGAACGGAGGCGGTCGCACGGTGCTGGTGGCTGATGGCATTTCCAACCCCACTGGGCTGACCATCGACTTTGCCAACTATGACACCATCTACTTCTGCGACAACAAGGACAACAGGATTGATTCTATGTCCTGGAATGGGGAAAACCGTAAAGTTCTCAAAGCAGGAAGTGGTAAGTTCTCACAACAAATTTCCGATTTCAGCAAAATAGTCATCATAGACTGCCAAAAGTCATCACAAATCAACAAATCAGTCAATTGTAAATCACCTGGTCTTATGTCAAGTGACAAGCTAATGAACTAAGCTATTTACTTGTCATTTGTTGGTGATACTTCTTTCACTACTTTTTTGAACCCTGTTATCTTGATAGTTTTGTCAATACAGTGTGCAGTAATCTTTGCATTCTGGCCAATGTCCAACATATTCCATGCTTGCTTATTTCTTTACATTATGTTCAAGCCTTGCAATGGTAAAAAAAAAAAGTGAGCTTTACAGCATTACTCAACTTACCTTCATATGTTTTAGATCTGGCAAATCCGTTTCAACTGGAAGTCTTTGGATCGTACCTGCACATCACCACCGAGCCAATCGAGTTTGCCGGCAAAATTCTGAACTTAGACAAGCTCGGCCGCGGCATACCCACCACCTTAATTGACAATATCAACCTGCCGAGTGGGCTGGTGGTGCGACAGGACCAACGATACCCAACATCATGTGAGTTACTATTTGGTATGATGGATTTTTGCGTTAGGGAGATATAACTTCAGGTTTGCATTTCTGCCTTCACCGACGTGATTTCATAGGCACAGTACATTCATTGCAGTCTATCTTGTAAGACCTTTTTTTGCATGAATGAAGGGCAAACGCCACCATTGATATTGTGTGGGTTAGGTCATAAAGACAAACTTTATTTAAGGTAGCGTCCATCATTTGTAATTTGTGCATTATGCTCGTTTGAAGCAAGTGACCAAAATCTAAAGAAGGGTGCTGAATAACTAACCTGATGAAGTTTCAGCTCAGTGAATGCTGTATATTCCGAGAAAACAATATTCTAGGATCTCGATTTCAAATCAAAAGTTACTGAGTCATGTTTTGAATTAGGCCTGAATTCAGCATCTGAGACAGGTTCTCACTGAGCCAATTGCAGCTACGCGATGTCACACACTGAACCGAGGAATTATAGCAACCGCGCGTGAGTATGCGCGTGAGTATGCATGCATCGTGTCAACGCTTGCGCGCTGTTCGCCAAATTAAAAATGTAGTATACGAAAATTTCAAAGAATGCGTCTTTAGACGCATAGTTGGAAGTGGCCTTGTTTCATTGATTTCTTCAAAATGACAGCTTGCCAGAAAGAATAATTTCACAGGGATTTTAGTCCGGCCCATTGCTATCTTTAAACCAAGTATGCTTTTGAACAATAATTACATCAGTTACTTTTTGGATAGCTGCAAATGATGGACTTAAGCTTTAAGGGCTCCAATGCACAAGTCCATGTCCTCCCTCAAGGGTGACTAAAATGAGAGATGTAACAGACACTTCAATGCCGTTACTTCCGTGTATAAGATGTTATGTATCCGTGCTCATTCACATGCAAATTGTTCCAATGGCATATAATTGCATGTATGCAGTCATTGTTTAAAATTGTGGGTTCTAAACACACAAGTTGTTCACTAGATCATGTGGGGACAATTATAAGTCATCAGGGAAAAAATCCCACATTTCCTTTTTTCAAATAGCATTATGCAATATTGAAAATCTCAGGTCCTTACATGCCTTTGGTGTACCTCAGTCATGTCGGTCTGTGGTGACGTAACACCTCAACCAGGTCAACTACCTGCATAAAAATTCTTGGATCCACCCCGGCTACTACATGTATGTCCATCTTTCCCATCTGCAGATACCAATCGGTGCGATAAAAATCCTTGCAGTCACCTGTGTCTCCTGACGCCCACAATCGCTGGAAATCGTGTCACCGATGGCTTCTCATGTGAATGTCCAAACAATGATGTCTTTGAGCGTGGTAGTACTTCTGTTTGCAGAGGAGGTAAGTGACTTTATAGTCAGCCGAAATGTCACAAGTATGACAAAAGTAACTCCAAACAGTGACAATGACATGTTTCTAAAAGTTGGGCAAATAGCATGGAGGAGGGGGGGGGGTAATGTATTACTATACCTCATACATATTCATGATCGAGAGCCGAATTCTCACTGGTCAATTCACCATCACGTACCAGATGTTATTCTTGCTGTTTATTAAACATGCGCGCGAGGATTCACGCACAGGGTAAATACGCATGCGTAGTAGACTGTCGCATGGGTTACCCGTGCGACAGTCTACTACGCATGCGCTTTACAGAGCAATCGAGGAACTGTCGCACGGGTGCAGTACGCATGCGCGAACATCGCCCAGGAGAGATGCATGGTTGCATGGTTCGCGTAAATGTTAATTTCCAGAGCTCAATGATGCCGTACTGGAGAAAATTTATAGACCGTGTAAAGATGTCTCCTCTACAAAAGAAAGTTGTACACAAACACTGTATTTACAATTGTAGTAACTGTAATATATTGCAAAAGAACTAAACTAGTAATTGAAGTTGAGCAACAATATTCTTTTGGTGAGCTGTACAAGTTTCCCCAAATTTTGTTTTAGGTGCATATATAAAAAAAATCAGCAACTGAATATGTATGAAGTATAGTAAAACAAATATAACATGGTTTATTTCGGGTAAACAGTCGATATTAGCTCCCCTCGACCGTATTGGAAGTTGATAAAATACCTCGGGGAGCGAATATCGACTGTCCACCCTCAAACCATGTTATATTTGTATAATGTTTCATTTATTGATGTGTCTGTAGTTGGGAATGGAATTGGGGTGGGGGAGCACCAAACACATGTGGCCATACAGTGCAGACAGTCTGAATTTCATTAGAATTATTTACTGGTACAAATGTTTTTGACAGCTGTCCCAAAAAATGCCAACAATCCTTAATCCAGACAACACTCCTGAAAAGCTATTTTGAAGGGAAAAATATACATATTTTTGTTGGCTGAAATACTGAAGTATACACATTTAAATGATTTCATTGTATAAAAAATTGTTGTCCTTAAATCTGTTTTCTTTTGTATGTTTTTTCCCAGCTCAAGTTGAACCCAATCCATTGCCTGGTCTCCCCATCTGTCAGTGTGAGAATGGGGGATCCTGCCTTGCCCCTGGCAAGTGCCAGTAAGTTTCCCCAATGTCTGTCGTTTTTACATAAAAAAAACTTTAATTTTCAGGGACACGGGTAGGAATAAATTGAGCAAGTCTGATTCTCTAAAGCTTGGGATGCTTAGGCCAAAACAAAAAGTCTCCGGTTTCTTGTATGCGTGGCCGTAGCCGTGTGCGTCGGCAAAATGTAAAAAAACCACCAAACTTTCAATGTAAGATAATGTCTCAAAACCGCCAAACTCACTGGTTTGATTGGAATCCTGCTGCTGCACAATTTTAACATGTTTTTAGATGGGGTTACGATCGAGTATAAGCTTTATGTGGCCTCTCTGGGTTCCCATATATCGTGCACTAAATTTAGTCAGGCACCATTTTGTAGGCAGTGATGTAATTTTGTAATTGTGCGTCTGGAAGCCAAACTGAGGGAGCAATGGTCATGTATCTGAAACCTGTAAACACTTTTTAATTAGCACAATATGTAGGGCAGGGAGCAGACTAATGACCAGCCTGGCAACGCATGCACATGCACGATGTCAATGTCAGTGTCCAGATAAAAACATGTCTACATTTCACCATGGATTTGCAAGTGCCCTTTTCAAGAAATTTCCCCCCCCCAATAAAAATGACAGTGCTACGCCACTGCATGTACAGTCTGAGCAAAAGCTGGTGATGAGTCAGTGGTGTAGTGTAATAAAAAGCCAGATTTCTATTATGTATGAAGTAAACATTGAGGTAAAGCATCAATTGGCTTGACAAGCACAGTAGTGTCATGCAGGAGCCTCGATAAATTGCTAATTCTGGACCGCTGTTTTTCCTCTTTATTTTAGATGTCCATCAGGCTTTGAGGGGGATACATGCGGAAAGGCTTCTCCACGTTCAGGTGGCCCGGGTAAGAAATTGTTTTTATTGATTAATTTTTTTTGGTTTTTTTTTTTCAAAACGTTAACTCTTTCAGTGCCAAACTCGTACATGTACGAGGTATTTTTGTTAGTCCAAAAGCGCCAACCTCGTACATGTACGAGGTAATGTTCGTGCTTAAAATCGCCAAACCTCGTACATGTACGAGGTAGAGTAACATGTTATCAAAAGGGGGCGCTCTCGCTCTTTCTAATGGTACCAATTATATGCATGTACGACCTGTATTTATTTTTATATTCGAGTTCTTGTGAGAGGGCGTCACACTGAGTTTCGATTTGTTGACAAAATGGCGGCGCCCATAAACCGAGCTCGCGTGTTATCTCCAGAGAAAATCAGTGTATTTTTTCGCCGATTTGGACAGGGTAAGGGATTACTTTTCTGATTCAGAATAATCCATGGATATTTCAGAACTGGATGGTGAGTCAGAAGACGAACTTTGGGATACCGATACAAATGATAATGATGGTGCTAAAAGTGACAATCATGGCAATATTTATGATAATGAACAGAGTTTGTACGAGGAGGGGTATCAGACGCGACACACGTATATTCTGCAAAAGTGCGGAATTCCCCTGTGTTCAGGAGAGTGTTTCAGGGTTTATTACTAGGTGCATGACTAATATTGACTTTTGAAGGTAACAAGAATATACCAGAGAGTAAGATACAACAAGTTTGGTGATTACAACTTATTTACTTTTTTTTTTATAGAATTTTGAATAATTAACACAAAAGCTCGAAGTTGGGCGCTTTAGGGTTAAACTTTTGAAATGTCGCGGGCACTGAAAGAGTTAATACCTGTTATGGTTATCTTATTATTATTATAAATCATTTCTGTAATGAAACCAAGGATTCCTCAAAAGCGCCCTCGGCACTGTACCTCGCAAGCCTGAAGAAACCTGTAGAGAGGAGACAATGAGAAGAAATTACAGTTTTAGAGTTGGAAGCAAAACCCCATAATGATGTTCTAAGGAAACCCCACAGAATCAGGTAGGGACTGAAAACTCAGTCCACATGTTGGCCCAAGCCGGATTTGAGCCTGGGTCACAGCAGTGGAAGGCGGGAAAAGAACCGCTACGTCTTAAATGTTGAATGAGAACATTGTATGCTTGAAGTTTGTGCCATAATACAAATTTATGGAATTTAAGCTACTATAAGTACACAAGTTTGATAAAACGCAGAAAGGTTTTGCTTAAGGGGGGGGGGGGAAGGGGCTGGTACCATATTTCAATAGGGGGCGCTGTTCTAATTCGACGATTATTAACACTAGATTACAGAATGGTGTACAATTGCCACCTATCTAAGTTGCCTCTGTCCATATTTTGAACAGGCGGACCTTACACCAGTATTATTTATTTTTGGGTGTCACAGCAGGGAGATGGGGTTTCGCATTATTTTTTAGGAATTTGTGAATAGGAATATGGTGTGACTGATGTTGAAGTCAGGTTATGCTTATGTAGTCATTTGCATATTTTTGAATTATTCATGAAGGTGGTGGAGCCACAGCTGCGATCATTGTGGTGGTTCTACTCATTGTCATTGCCGTGGCTGTCCTGGCTTTCATACTCGTCCGTCGCAGAAGAAACAGGTGAGGCATATTCACATTGTATATTTTCCCAATTAATACTCACTCAGAAATGATAAAAACACACACATTTTGCGCCTGTTCTACAAAAAGATCCATAGACGCTGTGTTCACTGACCTGATCAAAGAAAAAGTTTGACTTACGACAACAACTTGATCGCAAATTGTAACAATCACAAAAATCTATTCATCGTACACTCTTAGTCTCCTACTTTTACATTTATTTTTCATACCTGAACTGAAACAGCGTTCAACAGAATAGTGTCCTGCCCCATTACCCTGCATTTGTCACAAAAACAAATGCAAAAACTCTGGTTCCACTTGTGATTGACTGGTCTACTATCAACCTGAATGTTATGTTTTGTGTAGCCCCAAGCCTGGTATAGATGGAGCAGTGAGTTATCGAGGCGGCGCCAACATTGAAATGCCAACTCAACACCCTGGAACCGATGGGGCTGGGGTCATTGAGAAAGGGGTGAGTAAAGCAGTAATTTCAAATCTGATTTCAAATTATTTTCTGAAATGTGACTAGTATCAACAGAACCAATTCACCTATAGGCCTTCACAAGGAGGCTTTGGATCGTCCAACTTTAGAATTTTATAGGCAAATTAACTTGTAGTAATTTTTATGCCTTAGGAGCCTCAATGTGCACATGCTTAGATGGAATAAAGAACTGACATCAATTCCTTAAATAATTTTTCATTCTTTCCTTGATTTTATTCTGGCAGCCCACTGCTGGCAATTTTGAAAACCCTGTCTACAACATGCAGTCCCCCACCCTGCAGGCTGTGGGTGACTATGAGAACGCGACCCCCATGGCCCAGGCCGAAGCCCTGCCCCCTAAGGTGGACCTCGGAGCTGACCAGGCTGGTCCCTTGCCGGAGAAGACTGGTCTCCCAACTCACGCCTACTCCCCTACTGAGGCAGAAGGAGACACAAAGGTGTTAGTGACGAAGGACAAAATGTAAGAACATGGCAGCGTTTTCCTGAGATGATTTGTGTTTTTCATAAGTCCTTTCTCATAATCTCTGTTTCAGTGTAAGCAGCATTTGTACTAGGCTTTTAATCTTTCTACATGTTTTTTTAAGCCATTTGCATTTGTGAAGTCTTCTGAAGCACAATGTGCGGCTTGTTAATAAGACTGACCATGTCCATTGGATCCACCCCTAAACATGTACACAGCTGAACTATCTTTTTGAAGTTATTAGGGTTTTTCATTGGTAGTTGTGATAATGAAAGGCTTTTATGAATTAAAAATGAGTTGTGGTATAATGGGTGTATATTTGACGTATTATAGTACCGAATTGAAAATGGGTAGAAAGTAAAAATAATGCAAAGAAAGCAATGACAATGCTTAAGTGTAGAAGTTGGGTGTGAGGAAGTAGAATAGTTTTTGACTGAATGGTGCTAAGAGGAGGGAACAGTAAGAAGGAATGTGGCTCAACTTGCATAATGAAATGAAAATGTGCCAACAAAAATGGTTTCTTTCCTGATATTTCCTTTTGAGTGGAGAGATTTATGTGTTTCAAGTCATATTTTGCAGTGTTGGCTATGTGAGAATTTGTGATTTGCATCCTGCTTTTAGCTGCACAGCTGTAAAATAGTTAGGATTAAATGTACTTAGCCCATCGAGATTATGTTTACAGTGTACTTAAAGACCAACGATACTCAGAACCTAAGGATGGACATTTTAAAGTTGCTTTATCAATTTTGGGCACATTCTGTTTTAAATTCAAAACGCACCGAACAAAACATGCAAAGAAAGTTCCATTTGGTGGCTGTTTTTATTTTCAAATGCACATTGAAAGCTATTAAATAAAAATGTGTGTGGCTTTTATTTTTTTCGATTTCAAATTTCCATTTTAAGTTTGGAGATTAAGAAAGCTGACATAGACGTTACCTCTGAGAACAACTTAACTGAACACCCATAGCCCATCCACCTCATGTACACTTGCATTATATAGAGTAACAGTGGAGAGCCAAAAAGTCTTCTGGTTGAATCAAACGTATCCTTCTCTTCACACACAAAACAAAAAAGTACATTGTAGTGTTGAAAAAAGGTGTTCTAAACAGTCCTAATAACTTGCAACAAGTTTGATACAGTACTTGATGGGATTTTGCTGAAGTTTTGTACACAGTCATGAACTGTATTGTTATCTCTCATCGCCAGTTATTTCATTCAATAAAATATGTGTATTCAAATAGCCCAGTAGGTATACATGTAGCTGGGTTTTTTTATAAAGTCCAGTTAGGTATTCATTTAGATTGGTTACTACTTTTCCTGTTTTCTGTTTGACAGTTTGAACACCAATTATGCATGTAAAAAGAACTTATGGAGATGAAAGGTATTTTACGACAATTTTTATAGTGTATCTAGAATACTTTTTTTATAACTCTTTTAAACAGCACATCTTTTAACATTCCTTTTTCTAAGAACAGTTTATATCTGAAACATATCTGTACATAAAATTCATACGTTTTACAGCAAGTAACCTGTCATGACTGGGGTTTTACTTAATTGATTTACAGAATATTGTATCCAGCAGTCTATTTTGCTTTCATACATGAAATATTTTTGTATACTTAAGTTGATGTTTCATTACTGTTGTTTGTACTAGAATAGTGTTCATTGTTTACATTAAATGTTTAATGTTTACGCACCCATAATGAAGACGTGGTCTATTGTTTAGCAATTTTCGAGCACCGAGTCATACTGTACATGTATATATACCAGATGGATATGGTAATATACTCATTCCAGGTTATTGACAACTGTTACCTGTTAATCAGCTATTGAATTACAATAGATATGGAGCTCGAAGCCTCATAGTTTTGATGTTGCACACATTCTGCACTGGACACTTGCAGGTACATGCATGAATGACAATACAGGGTGAGTAAAAAAAACTAAACCTAAATGTTGGAACTATTGTTTAGTGAAGTTTTGCATGGAGCACTTTCCAAATCTAGGATATGAAAGCCCAATTCATATGCTTTCTTTTAGTACAAGAATCATTCAAATCACTCATGTTCTTTTCAAGTTACAGAATTTTAAACACAACCACCGTTTTAAGGTTCTGCCCATGGATCACAAAAAAAGTTCAGCGTTCTTTCAGCAAAACGAAAACAAATCACATAAGGATGTGTGTGAATTGTTTTCGTTTTGCTGAAAGAACGTACACCTTTTTTGTGATCCGTGGACAGAACTTTAAAATGGCTGTTGTGTTTAAAATTCCGTAACTTCAAAAATACTTAAGTGATTTGAATGATTCTTGCAGTAAAAGAAAGCTTATGAATTGGGCTTTCATATCCTAGATTTTGGAAGTGCTCCATGCAGAACTTCACTAAAACAATGGTCCCAACATTTGGGTTTTGGTTTTTTTACTCACCCTGTACTTTGAACCAAACTAAAGACAAACGCTTCAGCCAGTGTTTTACATTTGGCAAGTCCAACATCTGTTGATAAGTCAATTGCTTGTATTTGCTATTGCATATCATTATATAGTGATAATTGTTTTTGCATTTTTTTCTGGTGTTTCAACGTTATATGGCAAAACGGTGTTTACTCATGTCATTGCTACTGTTTACTGCTGTTTGTTTGCCCTGGACATGAACGTTTTTTGAAAAGAAATGTTGCTTTTGGGTTAATCGGGAGTCCAAATGTTTTGTAAAAAAATAAAGTACTATGGGATTGATATTGTGCAAATTCAAGTGTGGAATGTCATGATTGTTGATGACAAGTGAGTATGTTCATACTGCGCACAGGTGCACTTTTTCCCCGTGCGTATTATGGATATCGAGATCCCTTATTACCAAAAAGTGAATAGTGGTTCCATTGCATGATTTCTGCTCCACACCTAAAGCTACAAAACACTACTGAGTAGTTACCTGTAGTATGCATTTCTTTCCATACACGTGTGCATAACACATGTAGTATTCTGTAGTATTTGGTCCTTGGACCCCCAAAGAGCCCTTAGGACGTTTTAAGGGTTAATGAAATACCCCCCCCCCCCGCGAAATTGCAATTCCAACCATAATGTCCCAATGCGTCATGTACTAAGATTTCTCATGTACTGAATCACAAACGTCGACACGTGGGTTTTGTTATTAACGCAGAATTAATGCCAAATATAGAACTAAAATTATCGTTGAACCTTACTTTGTGGTAGATGTTTTTCTTGCTACAGGCCAAGTTCCAAGCTTTTTACCAATAACCGACTTCTGTTCATGCACACACACAAAAAGTATAACCACCTGCATGTACTTATTTATTGACCGATATTTCTATGACAGATGTCGGTTATTTGTCACGACTTTACCGTGATAAAGAGGCAGGATTTATCAAAGGCGCCGCCCAAACTAATCTGAAAGTCAACACCACAAGTCTGAAATAAATTAACAATTAACCAGGATCATGGGATGAATTCTGTCAAGTTACGTGGGCGGGCGAAATGACCCAAGTGTTGGATGAAAAAAAAATGATAAGCGTAAACAAGTAGCACAACTTCCGTTTGTATTAGCGTGATATGAACGGCTAGCGGCAGTGACAGAGAACTTGGCCGGTGATAACGTCTTTTGTGCGGCAGACTTTTCAACACAAGGAGCAGGTAGCTGTTGTGTGGAGTATTTTGTCGCAGGTAGGCTTGTTTTTGCATATATTAAAGTCGTGGTTGAAGGTGTTAGTAATGTTAAATATTTGGTGGGGTTTTTTTTGTTCAAAGTTAATTAAGTCGGACCAAAAAAGTACACTTTGCAAAAATCCCTCCACCATCTTCATTGCAACCAATTTGCAAAAATCCGCATGCGATATTGCCTGTCTTTGACACCGTGCGTTTGGATTGCATAAGTTGATATTTTGTCAATTCTGGTTATGGTGCACTTTGTTGTGCTTCATTTGAGTGCACTTTTATCGTGTGTAAAGTACTCGACAATGCTGCAACTTGGTGTCATCAATTGTAAAAGTTAACTTGGTTATTTATTATGCTTCAAATAAGAGTAATACATTTTGTGGTTGTTCGTTTTAGTTTGGTAAATGCATAGGACATGTCGCTGGCTAATATGATCCGACAATTCTACGTTATTTGAGAATGCTAGACTTAATGAACCTACCAGATAACTGACAGCTTTTTCGACATGTTGCATGGATCTGATCGGGTGATGAAGATCAGGGGATAATTTCACTATTTTTTGTCTGTTCGGTAGAGATGAAAGCCGATGAAGTAGTTTATATGTGCCGCCTGTCAAACTAGCATTACAAGCGTGTCAAACGGGCTGTCAGCCGGTTTAAGTTGCCACTCAAAAGGCCTTGCAGTCCTGGTATAAAGGCCTACTAATCAAGCCGTTTGGCACTTTTAGATTGATAATTGTTTTATACTGATGCCAGAAGGTGTTGTATTCGACAGGCCTACAACTAGTGGATTGGTAAGCAATTACAGATTTTTGAAAAATAATAATCGTATTATTGTCGCAGGTAGGCTTGTTTTTGCATATTGAAGTCGTGGTTGTAGGTGTTACTAATGTTAAATATTTGGTAGTGGGTTTTTTGTTCAAAGTTAATTAAGTCGGATAATAATCGATAACCCAGGTTATCATATAAAGGTGTACTACATGTGAAACCCTCGATTTCTGGCTTCAGGAAGTTTTGTCTTTTTGTTTGTTAGGTTGAAACGTGGGGATTCAGAGTGTTAAGGAGGCGTACAAAAAGTACAGCGGTGATCGATCAAATGTATGACGCAAGAATTCACTACCGTAATTAAAGGGAATACAATGTATACATGTACAACATTTGCTTTTGTTGTAATTTTCAGCAATGGATGGATTTGGGGGTTACTATTCATAGCAAATATTGTTACGTTGACCAGTTTGAAGTTTTATATTCGTATATGCTGGAAACACCCAGAAAAACAATGATGTTCTTGTAGTGTGGTTCCCTGACCCCACTTAAGATGAAACGGAGCAACTTAAGACGCCGGGAAATTGTAAGGTCAGGGAACCGGTCTAGCTGGCTTGTACCCGTTCATAATTATGAAAGTAATCGATTGCAAAAAAATGCGAACTAACTTAATATGTTAAATTGGGGGCAGTATTTGAAGAAGCAACAAAAACATTTTTTTTCTATTGTTGGTCGGCTGACCAGCATTGGAAATTGATACATAAATACCACTTTTCTTGAAAATGTCAGCACACCAGGTGCCAGGATTTCACAGGATGCTTTAGACTGTCATTCACTAACAGTCCAGTAAGGTATTTTATAACAATTTGGTAGTTTTGTTTTTTGATGTTTGCAAAAGTATATTCCCTTTTAAAAGGAAGTGCGCGTGACCTCTGCATAACCGTCAGTGGGCGGTTTGTCTCCTTTTGCTCGCAATGGACGACCAAAGACCTAATAAAAGAAGACCTAGGCCTACATGCCTACGTACGCGAGAAGCTAAAATCGTATTTCAATACATTGATTTACTGAATGAATGAAAAAGACACGACCACTGGTCATTACCAGCACGCCAATCGATCATTAATTTGTTTGCGCCTGTCGAAATCTAACGGAAACGTTGAGAAGATTGACAGATCCAAATAATTACCGTGTATTGGAACGAAAAACATTATTAAAAAAAAAAAAAACCATCAAGGTTTTATCTACTCAATCAAGCTAATCATACAGACTTGTTTGTTATTGAGTATATAAGGAAATCAATCTTTGATTACAAAAAAAAACAAAAAAAAAACATTGACGCACGAAGAGGTCCATGTGGTCCATGGAAATAAAACGTAATTTAAAAATTCGCATGCTTTTCTCATAGAAAAATTCGAACGAAAGTAAGGATGAAGGCAAAGTTGACCACATCAGGAACGTCTGAAATCGGGTCTACTCAACAGCATTCCCACAATAAGAAAATACCTTTTTTTACATTAGGCAGGGACGTCCTCGAGTGACTTTTTTCCTATGGGAAATAACCTGGTGAGGAACAGGGTAATTTTACTTCAATAACTGCATGAAAACTCAACCTTGTATAAAACACGAGAATAATTATGACCTGACTGTTGGTGACTAGCCTGTGTAAACGGCATGACACAGGAAGAGGATTGATTTGTTGACTGTCTGTGACTGTTCAAATAGCATGAAGGTTTTAACTGTTATGTTCCCATTCATCATCTTTACCTAAAGAAAGAAATCACGTCATCCTATAAGTGTACCTGTTTGCAGTTTTCTATACACGCCTAATTTGATCGAACCATACATCATTTTTTTTTTACCCTTAACGTTATGTTTTGTTACCGGTATCATTTTGATGACAAAACATGACGTTGAGATAAACGTTGTATTTTCTTTCCTAGGTACGCACTAGGCATGTCAGCTTTATGTCTTTGAATATGCTAATCAGATGTTGATGATGATTTTTTATTACATTATTTATTCATATTATTTTTAGACAAGCGGTTGGTTCTAGAGGTAAAAAAAAACAGGTTGCACCAATTCTATAAAATCTCGTGCATGGGTTTTATAGGTTTTATTTTTAGGTTTGTCAATATGGTTTAACCATGTTGATCTGATGATGATGGTGCTGATGGTCAATTTTATTCATATCTTTTCATATTAGGTAAGCCGATATTTAAAATGATACGGTTCCGCACACTGTTTGCGCAGTCTGCATAATTTTAACGTCGATATGGAAACTAGGCTTTACAAGGGAAGGACCATGCGGTCCATGGTAGTAAAACGTAATTTAAAAATTCGCATGCTTTTCTCACAAAAATTCGTTACAGTAGAAAAACAACTGGGCTGCAGTGGCGTAGCCGGGGAAGGGGGGGGGGGGGGGAGCTGCAGAGTGGCAGATTGCGACGAACGTGTTAAACGAGACGAACATTCTATTTTGCCCCGGGCAAACAAAACCCTGGCTTCACGCGCCTGTTGGGCTGTCCAGTGTTTGTGTAAAGTAAAACCTGCCACGAACGAAAGTAAGGACGAAGGCAAAGTTTACCACATCAGGAACGTCTGAAATCGGGTCTACTCAACAGCATTCTCACAATAAGAAAAGACCATTCTTAACATTAGGCAGGGACCTCGAGTGACTTTTTCCTATGGGAAATAACCTGGTGAGGAACAGGGTAATTTTACTTCAATAACTGCATGAAAACTCAACCTTGTATAAAACACGAGAATAATTATGACCTGACTGTTAGTGACTAGCCTGTGTAAAAGGCATGACACAGGAAGAGGATTGATTTGTTGACTGTCTGTGACTGTTCAAATAGCATGGTGGTTTTAACTGTTATGTTCCCATTCATCATCTTTACCTAAAGAAATAAATCACGTCTTCCTAAGTGTACCTGTTTGCAGTTTTCTATACACGGCCTAATTTGATCGAACCATACATCATTTTATTTTACCCTTAACGTCATATTTTGTTACCGGTATCATTTTTGATGACAAACACGACGTTGAGATAAACATTGTATATTCTTTCTTAGGTACCTACTAACCTACTAGGCAGGTCAGCTTTATGTCTTTGAATATGCTAATCAGATGTTGATGATGATTTTTATTACATTATTTATTCATATTATTTTTAGACAAGCGGTTAGTTCTAGAGGTAAAAAAAAAACAGGTTGCACCAATTCTATAAAATCTCGTGCATGGGTTTTATAGGTTTTAGTTTTAGGTTTGACAATATGGTTTAACCATGTTGATCTGATGCTGATGGTGCTGATGGTCAATTTTATTCATATCTTTTGAGAGCAGGTAAGCCGATATTTAAAAGGATTATTTTCCCAACAGTTAAGACTTTTTAAGACTTGTTTGTTTTACAGTTCTTGGTAATGTGCAGGCCGTTAACGACCCTTACTCGTCAGCATCGGCGCACTTAAGCCTAGTTTCCATACAACGCAAACAAGACCCAAAAGGCAAAGTCGGACATATGGAAACATTTCATCCAGATACTATCTTGCGCAAGATCGGCAAAGTTGAACCCGGTTCAACTTTGCCGACTGTTCTGCACACTGTATGCTTTCTGTATGCGCAGTCTGCATAATTTTATAGTCGATATGGAAGCTAGGCTTTAAAGGAAGGACCGCTGATTGCCCCTCCGACTCCACCCTGTCAGACCTCGCTTAAGAAGCAGTGGGTATAGGTCGGGAAAAATTGAAATTTCTGACTTGTTTTGATATGAATTCCTTTAAATGAAATCTCTTTGTTTTCAGTGAACCATGTGGCTCCTTGCTCTTTCCTTGCTCGTGCTGCTCACCGAGGGTCTTGGTATACTTCACGAAGCACCGTTATACCGATCCAACCGTCCTCCAAGTCCAAGGGGATTGGAAACAAAATACTTCATAAAATTGAAGGTAAAAAACCCCAAAACATTCTTCATTGACGGTGTCACACACGAAAATCCTCGCCTCGTCGTTTCCCCTATTTCTACCGATTGGGCTAGTATGGTGTCCCATCGATGATTGATCGTGTCGCCTCCGAAACTGGACGCGACGGCACGTGCAATGGTACAACACGATGGCACAACGGTTTGTCGCATCGTGCCGTCGCGTTAATTGTGCATGCACTTCCTTTTCTATGACTTTATGGTTGACTATTGCCGATACGACGCGCCGCCTTTTCAACGCGCGACGTGAAGCCAAGATCGCTTGTTGCGTCGTGCCGTCGCTTCGTGCCGTCGCTCCCTCTTCATTGGTTTGGTACGGTGTACTATAGACGACACACTGCGTCGCCTCTTCAACACGCAACGCGATGGTACGACGCGTCGCACGACGCGACGCCAGACTGTGTACATAAGCAATGGAGAGGGAGCGACATCATCGGACGCAACGGCTCGACGCAACGGAGCCGTCGTACCGTGCAGTGGCGTCGCGTGTTGAAGAGGTAACGCAGTGTATCGTCAATTGGTTCAGACACTGGCCTCGCGTCGTGCTTCGCGTCGTGTCATTGTATGTTGCGTCGTGTTACTCTCCACTGCTTTGGAGCAATTAATATATGATAATACGTACATATATTATTAATGTCAGCCGATATTGTGTTTTAAATATGGGTATTTGAATTGTAACACTGAACTGCCATACGCGTTATGATTAATATTTAGAAAATGTAGGCTCATTTCAATGGCATTAATTCTTTCATATTCAAAATGCTTACGCAAATGGCACAAAATGTTCTTAAACTGAGTTATTCGTTAGGCCTTTTTTCCATTACTGCAATAAATGTTCGTCACTACTGACGACCACACCCACATGTATACCTCTAAGGTCGCCCCAGAGGTACAGAATAATGACGACACAAATATGCATACCTCTAGGGGTGACCATTATGATACATGTAGTAACTGTTATGGTCGCCCGTTGAGGTACGTCAATAACAATAGCACCAAAAATGCGGAGTTCTTGTCTTTTATTTTTGGAGGGGGCATGAGGTTGCATTTTTTGGGGGGGGGGAGGTCTTGCAGCTGGATTGAATTGCTAATTCACGTACAAAATCTGCCTGAGGGCATTTTATTTTGAAACCCTCATCATTAATCTTTGTTTTCTTTCGAAAAGTGCCTTTTCAGGCGAAAGAAATTCCACCATGTATTTGATACCATGCAGTCTTATCTTCACTCCGAACACGGTTTCTGTCATTAAATCAGTAGATACATTTTGGGGTTATTGCAAATACTCAGACGACGCTTTAAGGTAATCGTATTTTCACTTCCATTAGGATGGACATGACATGGACGAGTTCATCTCCTTCCTGCCTGCCTCTCGTGGTATTTGGCCGGATGTGGGCGTTACAGTCTTGAATCAGCACAAGGATCTCCTTGATGGACTCGAAGCCAGTCTTCCCTCAGTATTGCTGAATGCTGTAAGCGTAGGCTAAATGATACTTGGTACAATGTACTCTCCCCTTGTTTGGTCTTCCAAATGTGTTTATTATTCGCTCGAAGGTTGACTTGTACATCTCTTATTGAGAGATTGTCTCATTAGAAAGTTAACAGCTAGTAATAGGTCATGCCAGAAATACTTAATTCAATTTGAACAGTTATTTTCGATATGCCACGCACGACGCACGCCTTATAAAGGTATAAGAAAAGGGGATAAACTAGGGAGAATGCTGATTGGTGGGTAATAAATGGAACCGTGGACATGCATTCTAAACCGATTAGTGATTGGCAATCCGTCTGAAGAAAAACCAATGCCGCGATTTGCTATTCAATATATCATTGCCACTATTTACCAACTCTCAAGTATATACCATCACTTTATACCATCAATGGATAATAGTAATATAGTTGGTAATAGTTTTTGTTTCATATTCAAAATGATGTGGATTAATCACCGTCAATAAGAATGATAATTAAAATCAGCATTTTTGAAGCCGTGAGACGAGGTTTTGTACGAAGGATTAAAATCAGGAAACAAAGAGAACGCCTTCTCCTATAGACGACCAGAGTACACTGATCGAAACGTCGGGTTAACCAATAAATCTTCTGAGAACCTTGGAACCTTTCCCTTCTTTTTTTAAGATTCGCCGCATTGAAGATGTGGAGTACGTGCAAGAGATCGGTACAGTCAAACTTGGCCAGACCATCTGGAACTTGGACCGTATCGACCAAGATCAGTTGCCGCTAGATGACAACTACAACGTAGCAGGTATAGCACTTTAATACTTTTGATACATTTGTAAGAGGTCTATACTCTTCTATTTAATAGGGCCTTTTTGTTGGTGCGAAATATACATGCCAATATAGATTGTGATTCGCTTCCTGATCAATTTTGTTAGGCACTGGTGAGGGGGTTACTGCTTACGTAATTGACACCGGAATCAACCCGGCCCATGGAGAGTTTGGTGGGAGAGCCAAAATCATGTTTGATTCCTTCAATGCAGATGTGAGTACCTTGTAATGACTTTCTGTACGTGAAAAGGACAATAGTGGTTACGACAAATTAAACACTAGCAATCAACAACAATAATGCCGTGTCGGCTGACAAAACACTACCATGGGGTCTGGATCCCTGCCCCTTTTCGACATTGAGACGTATGACGTTACATGGTGTACATAGTCTTACATTATGGGGATCAGATGGGGGACATTTGGCAAAACATTTTGTGCCATCGTTTTGTATGTTTTAATTTTAAGAAATTCCGATCTGCAAGTAGCACATTGACATAATGAACATGATATAGACCTACCATGCACGCCCTGTACATATCAAACGTGTTTTACAAAGTGATTAGGTGATTATATATTACAAAGTGATCTTAGATTTATTAATTGGACTAATCAAAGTCACTTTCTTATGGACAAAATCACACTGCATTACTTTTACACACAATTTTTGTCATCCATCCAGTCATATAGTTACTGTCATGATGGTAATATATTATTATCATTGACAAGGATGTGACAGTCCTGAACAAATTTTGGTAAAGCGAGCTGTACTTGGCCTGGAGATTTGCTGACTAAACCAAAGCCTCTCCACAGGGTAAAGACTGTGTGGGCCACGGTACACAAGTAGCGGACATCATCGGAGGAACTTACTTCGGAGTGGCTAAAAAGGTGAATCTGTCCTCACTCAAAGTGTTCCCTGCGTGCTCCATGGAAGGGGATGAGAGTAGCATTGTGGCAGGTACGGTAAATACATGTATTATAAAATCATGTGTTAACCCACAAAACAAGATTAGGCCCTATAACATTAAAACAACTTTTTTGTACGCACTTTATTATTTTATAGCTTTGAGTTTCTCCCCAAACGGTAGGTTTTATTTCGTGTCCAACATTTTGTGAATACGTGTTTATTAAAATGCAGTAAATCAGTTCGTGTTGTCATTGCAGCGCTATCAAATCTCAACTTACAAGTCAGAATACTATTTTTTCACTGTGAAATCAAATAGTACATTCAGGCAGGCACCGTATAAGCAGTTTAATACTGTCAAGTGAAGACGATAAAAAAACAACATGTTTGTAATAAGGTGAGAGAAAAAACTCAAAACAAAACAGAGAAATCAATATGCCTTACATGACGTCACGCTGTGTTTACATGTGCGCATATTCTTGTGGGGACGAAAGCCACCCTTGCAAGTACACATCAAACAAGGCCTGACGCCGTCGTGTCTCACATCCTTTAAGGTCTTAGACCCCAGTCCATATCCACAAAGTCAAACCCAGAGACAAAATGGAACTCCTGCTCCAAACACAGTTGGAAAGCAAGGACAGTAGCTTTTTATCGCCATTTTGCCGAGGTGATTATCACCGAGTCCGAGGATTTTCAAGCGATTTTTTTTTTTGCACTGGTAAAAGGTGGTCCTGGAACTATCACCTCAAAAGTGCTGGAATTCTTTATAGCATAAAACAGAGCTGTTTGTAAATAAGTTAGAAAGGCTACTTGTTTGTCGCAGCGTTTAACTATCTCGTGACAAGGGTACAGCAGCCGGCGGTGGTGGCTATTTCGGTCTACGTTCCCGGGGGTTCAAACTACCTGGATGACGTTGTACGTAACTTCATGATCAAGACTAATGTCACCGTGGTCACGCTGGCGGGAAATGAGCAATATGACGCCTGCAATGACTCGCCAGGAAGAGTGGCAGAGGTATGGTGTTCGGTCATTATTACTGGGACAATTTATCAGATCTATTGTCAAATTTGTCATTCACCGACTGTCACTCATGCTATAAGTTGAATTGGGGACAAACATCCTGGCTATATGCCACTGGGCCATTTGCATACCCATTCCTAATCGATTAAATACAATCTTGTGCACTCTGGGACCAGCTTTACCAGGCTTACTTTGTCTTGCTGAGAAAACATCTCATGGTCAAAGAGAGGTAAATGATTCAGTAAGTCAGGTCACAAACACCATGCAGGTGAGCAATGACAAAGGAATATTTTTGTCATAAAAAAGTTCGAATAGCTTACAAAGTTCGACTTGTCATGTATGTAGAATGTTGTTAAATACATGTACTTAAAGTTTTATTCCCTGAAAAATATTCCTTCGAATCACTAATGGCCTATCAGAAATAGGCAAGGAGTCATTTTTTTTAGGGGGGGGGGCAGGCCACTCCCATATAAATGTTTAAAAATCGGGTATGGCTTTGACGAAGTAAGTTAAAAGATACAGAATTCCATTTAATATGATAATGAACTTGTAGGGTAAGCTTCTGTACCAAAAGTGCAGGACAATAAAGATATGTCCAATTTATTTTTAACTTATCGGTACAAACGATGTATTAATGACTGAGAAACCGAGCAAACACCCGGGATTCGTTAGGTCTCTATTATTGCCCATTATGAGAAAAAAATGGAAAATAATAGGTAAATAGCAGATATTTGAAGATTAAAAAATATATATCTCATTCTAAACGAGTTTTAGAATATCTGAACGTATTCATACACTCTCTTTCAAGTCATCAATCCACTTTTAGTATACAATCATCTTGTGTTTATATATATAATATGTATTTTCAAAATCATGTAGTTCATAATGAAAAGCCGTGGAACAGACAGATGAACTGATGGTCATTTTCGAGGTCATATCTGAGTCCAGGAGACACACACTGTTGTGTTAATATTGACAAGTTCGGATAAAGATTGTATAAAGTGGATCCTTATAAAGGAGAGAGTTCCAAGTTCCAATTTGTTTTGCCCAATTAACATAACAAATTTGCAGGTTCTGACGGTTGGTGCAACGGACGAACAGGACAATCGCGCAACTTTCTCTAGCTATGGCTCCTGCACGGATCTCTACGCTCCTGGTGTCAGCATCCTTAGCGCAACTTACACCGGAGAGTGGAATGTCGCTTACATGACCGGGACGTCTGCATCCTGTCCGCATGTGGCCGGTAAGTTTGTAGGCGTGGCAAAACACGGCCGTGGTACCGGCCTGAAATCAAGTGAATAGACCCCTTGTACTGGGCGCCCTTTCTGAGGGCAGTTTTTGTACGACAATGAAGCTGGAACAGTGCACTGCAGTGTCAACTCATGCGTATTACATAGGACCAAATACCTGCCCTCAGATGCAAGAGGTCACACAGGACCAAAGAGGCAAAGACCCGCCCCGATTTCACGTCAGATGCAAGGGGTCACAGGGGATCAAATACCTGCCCTCATGTGTCACGTCAGGTGCAAAGGGTCACACAGGTTTAAAGATCTGTCCTCGGGTGTCGCGTCAGATGCAAAAGGGTCACAGAGGACCAAAGACCTGCCCCCGGTTTCACGTCAGATGCAAGGGGTCACAGGGGATCAAATACCCGCCCTCATGTGTCACGTCAGGTGCAAAGGGTCACACAGGTTCAAAGATCTGTCCTCGGGTGTCGCGTCAGATGCAAAGGGGTCACAGGGGACCAAAGACCTGCCCCCAGTTTTACGTCAGATGCAAGGGGTCACACAGGTCCAAAGGCCCACCCCAGTTTTCACGTCAGATGCAAAGGGTCACAGGGGATCAAATACCCGCCCTCATGTGTCACGTCAGGTGCAAAGGGTCACACAGGTTCAAAGATCTGTCCTCGGGTGTCGCGTCAGATGCAAAGGGGTCACAGAGGACCAAAGACCTGCCCCCAGTTTCACGTCGAATGCAAGGGGTCACAGAGGACCGAAGACCTGCCCTCATGTGTCATGTCAGATGAAAGGGGGTCACAGGGGACTTCCCTCCGATGTTGTATCCGGATGCCCGCCCGTCCCCCCAAAAGCGAAAATGAACAGCAGTTAAATTTTACATGTAAACGTTTCTGAGAAAAGGCACGTGCTTCAGAGGGAACTTTCGTACTAAGGCCAAAAAAAGTCTTCGGTGTCTGGTATGGAGCTTGCCCAAAAAGGGGTACGGCAACGCGGCTTTTTGTTTTTACTTGTTTTTTCGTCAAATGTCGGCTGATGACTGCAAAATTAATGGTGCCCGACTAACTTTAGTGCAAAATGTATCGGAGCCCAGAGGGGCCGCATACTCGACCGTAACCCCATCTAAAATCACGTTAAAATTGTGCAGCAGCAGGATTCCAGTCAAACCAGTGAGTTTCGGCGGTTTTGAGACATTATCTTACATTGATTTTTTTTTAATTTTGCCGACGCGCGTGGCTACGGCGACGCGCGCACAGACCAGAAACCGGATACTTTTTCTGGGACCTAAAGTAAGTGGAGATTCAAAAACTCGTTACTCTGCTAGATCACATGATCAGTTTCTCTGATGATCATTTTTTCTCTTGGATCCACAGGTGCTGTGGCTTTACTATTGGAAAATTCCCCAGGCCTGACGCCGAATGAGACCCACGAACTGATCGTCGAGCAGGCCACCTCGGGAGTAGTCAAGGACGCCAAGGGGGGTCCCAACCTCCTGCTCCGGGTAGAAAATCCTACGTCCAGTGGGTAGACCCTCGGAATCCATCACAATTAATGCTCATCTCCAGTATTTAACCATTACGGGTGTTTGGGAAAACAACTCTCTAACTTCCCTAGTTCGGTGCAAGTGTGACGTGAATGTGCAGTGATTGCACTCTCTGAATATTTATATATTAATTGTGTAAGAGTCAATTGAAAAGGGATTTAAAATAACAATCTTTAAGTTATATACAATGTAGTAGTTTTGGTTGAATGGTGCGTTTCTTGGATTGGTGGGAATTTTAAGCAGGCTAGTACTAGGCCGAGACTGTTGGTAAACAGAGAGGAGAGGAATTCTCTGCAGTGCCCAACACGAACCAACTTCTGACATTTCCATGGACATCAGTATAGACGGAAGGCAAATGACGTCGAGTTTTGCTTACAGAGATGCCACTAATATATCAATAAAAAGCCCGAAACACTACTAAAATAAACTCTGAAACTACCCTTACCCCCTTTCATAAATGTGTCTTCTGGATGTTTCAGACCAAATCCAGAACTTTTAATTGTCACATTTAAGAAAACCTCTGAATTCAGGTTAAAACGTGAAAAAATGGCATTGCTGTGCTTACACGTGCGCTTTCGTGCCGGCGTCCCCATCTGGCTCTGGCTCCCACAAAACGTGACGTCATGATGTCTTAGGTCTTTTTCTTGACAACTTGAAACATGTTTCAAATCTGTTTTAAAAATTAAACTCGAATGGAATGGCAGCCAAACAGTAGTAAGGGCTTCTACAGAGTGAGCACAAGTTATTGATGAACAGTACGAATACGTGGATAATTAAACGGATCATTTACCTTTCGATTTTAAATTAATGGTAGGGTAATGTTTAAAGAGAAGATTTTGTTTTCCTTTTTAGGTGTTAGCCTATTAAAAAAGTTTTTTTCTGTTTAGGAATCTATGGTTGATCTGATGGACAATTAAACAGATCGCGCATTTTTATTAGTGGTGGGGAAATATTAAAAGATAATTTAACTTTTTAGGTGACACATTAACCTAATTGTTTTTCTCTCACTTGCACCTAGTAATACCACTTGACCTCACTCATTCATAATATTGCATGATTTTTGACAGTCTGAATACAACCACTGTGAGCATTTTCTGTATATTGACGGAGGCTCCTTAAATGGCATAAGAATTGTGCCAGCTGTATTGTGAAGATACACTGTAATCCGTCATGAGGCAGTTAAGTTGTACAATAGCTTGTAAAGTGTTTTCGCCATTGAAGGGGGCCTCAGTGACTGTACCATGATCACCTGCTTTGGGGCGTGTTTCCGCGACCGTGACCAGAAACATGTTTCGGCTTTGGTCATTGGTTGAGCGTTTTCGTGACTTTGGTTGGCTGGAGTGACGTCACTGTTCCGACCGAAACCGAACCAAGGCCAAGGGTCGGTTACGGAGTGCATTTCAAGATGGCGGAAAGATAAATACACGACATGTGACAAAGCAGTGTTGGGGGGAAAGCTTGTTAATGCTTATTTTTAATACGTACATCGTAAGTGTGTACATTTTATAAGTGGCCTGTAATAAAATGTCTATACAACTTACAAGCCCACAAGGTATTATCCCGAATTTCGCCGGGACAGGCCGCGCACACCAAAAAATTATCGATGTTGTCAAAATGTCTGCCATGTTTGTTTACAACTTTTTGACACGGTTTTCGGTTCAGCGTTTTTGTGCGCATGTGTAAACATGTTTCTGGTAATCAATTTGACCTCACAAACATGTTTCTGGTCGCGGTCGCGAAAGCACGCCCCAGGTTGTAGTCGTCACTATGTCTTTTGTAGGCTTCTTTTGGGGTTTGAAGTCCCCAGTTAGTTTCCAGATTTAAAACTTCAAAGCTAGGCTCGGTGAGTTTTGGAAAATTAAAACCGTAGATAAAAGTTAAAAAGCATTGATATTTAATAGAAATTAAGCTTGGACAAGGTTTACTTTCCTTATAAACGTATTTATTTATTCCACTCCAGCACTACCTTTTCAGAATCATTGTAAGGAGTAGCTAGATTTTGCCCTTGTTATTGCAGTGATATTCACAGGACTCATGCACTAAGCTTTTGCTGTTTCTCAAATGAAGATTGTCCTAACAACTGATCGATCGACAATTCACTAAAGTGAAAACAAAGTTTGCATTCTCGCTGGAAAACCATCTTGAACGAATTCCGCTTCGTTTGTAATCACTCTAAAGGTTATGTGCTTAAATTTACACTTCACCTGTCTAATACTTGACAAAATAAAACAAAAACTGCTTGGAAGTTGCCACGTGGAGGATATATATTTTTGGAGCATGTTCTCAGTAAAGGAAGTTGTATGAATATCAACCCCTAGCCTACCATGTAGCATACCTGCTGAGATGTGTGACATGAAGAATCTTTTAGTCATTATCAAATCTATTCCACAACTCAACATGACAAATATGCAAAGCATATTAAAATGTACTTAGGCCTACACTCCATATTCAGGTGTCATCATGCACATAGGGAGGTGTTGACTTGGTCACCGAGTTAACACAATTCCTCCAATGAGAAATCAACATGGTTGACCCCATGGGTCATCAGTTAGACAAAATGCATCCAATGAGAGCTCAAAGAAATGAGGTAACCAGCGCCTTTTGGACAGAGTGCCGTGGGGCAAGCGAAATGCAGGCTAATTTGAGAGTGGCCTCATGAAATGCTAAAGGTAAGAATGGAACTCTGTGACTTAATACAAACCACTGACATGATGCATACAGATTGTTCTTTATGCTCGCAATATTTCCACTCGTATTTGCACCCTGTATCCTTTGCATTTTTATAAAAACTCTGCATAGGAATTTATCAACCTGTACTAACGGTCTTGGTTGAGACAGGATGGAACAAGTGAATGAGGATGTGAGGTTGTGTAGATTCTTATGGGACATCATAACAAAAAAATAGGTATACCAGGGTAGTAAAAAAAAAAACCACATTTCCAACAACAACAACATGCAGCATCCTTCCATGATTCTGGCTAAAATTAGCCTTACTGCAGAAAAATCAGCAGTTGCCAATTCTGTTGGCAAACATTGGAAGGACAGGGATCGCCAAATGAAGATAGTTTTGGTGTAATGCTTAAGTAATTTATATTTCAGGATTTCAAGTTGAAGATGAAAGCTCCTTCATATGCAGAGATGGTAGGTAGATAACTTTAATACAGATCATCACAATGACCGATGCCCTCGTTGGTAATTTACAAGTCGACAACATACCTCCCAGAGATCCCTGACACAGTGTGCAAAGGGAAACACCACCACGCTATGGAAACACCTGAAGCCTGACAGACTATCCACATATTTTGCAGAGAGAAGCCGAGCTACTTCAGTGTGGCACTTGTGAGAGTCTCTGCTAGATGAGCCAAGCTGAAGGTATGTCGGATCATGTGGGAAATCCAAGGATGGAAGGCAGTGCGCTGTAATGCCCATTGAAGAAAGACTGTCCATCGCAATGTCACCTTCTGCTAAGACTCCATCTCCAGGCTCCAGCAGTGTCAGTACCCCACTTACCTTAAGAAGGTCACTGTTCGAGGTAACAACCGACGCAACATCCGATGAAAAGGTTACCTCACCAGATGGGGAGAACCCTACCAGGCCGTGGAGTTTCAAGGAGCTCAAGTGATTCATTACAGACTTCTGTTGAACCTTGATTTCCATGCGGTGGAGGAAGAGTTTCGTATTTCTGTACTGGCCCTGGAACCTGACAGAGTTTGAGGGAGTTGAGTTGCTCTTTGTGCCTTCTAATGTGCCCGGAAGAGTGGCTTTTAGGTAATATATCCACCGTAGTATGATAAACTGGGCACAATCTGTGTTAGGTAATGCAAACCTTTCTACCAGATCTTTTGGGGGAAGACCCAACCATACATGACACAAGAAAAGGAAGAGCTCATCCATGTATGGAATTACCTTCCCTGAGAAGTCCCCACTACTCCCACATAAGTGAAGGGTCTCTGTTGCAAATGTCTGGGCATCCTGCCACTTGTTAGACCTCTCAGACGTCAGATCATCAGGTTCGATGCGCCAGAAGAATCGCATCAATGTGTCAGCGGACCTGAAACCAGTGTAAAACATGATTTTCTCATCGGACCCATAGTAACGGTGCAGACCAAACCTCTGCTCACAGAGGGCTTTTTCAAGTTCCTTGATCCTGTCCACAGCCTGAGTCAATTTCATGTCGGCCTTCTCTGGTGGTCTCTGATGATCACAGAGCATATTAACAATATCCACTTCAGTTTCCAGAGAAGTTCCTGTCTGAACCACATCTTGGGGAAAACGGGACCCAGGAGTCATGAGTTTATTAAACATTTCCCTGTACATGGTTTCAGAGGAATTATCTTTATTGACATTCACCGCTTCTTCCCTGCTAACAGAAGCCTGGGAAGAGGCATCCAGGTGAAAATTTGTATCAGAGGCAAGACTTTTACAACTGACAACTCTAATTGGTTTCACATTGGAAATTTTAGCCCTTGGAGTTTTATTGCTTGGGAGAACAACCTCTGGGCTTTCTTTTTGGGTGTCATCATGACATTCTTTCCTGACAAATTGAGCCAACTCTGACAACTGCTGATCATGGATTTGGTCTTGATTTACATCGACAGACAGAGGATTTACACTGACGATTTGTGGAGTGACTTCCCCATCATATCCAAGAAAGCCATCATCAGACAAGTGACTGTCATTGGTCTCAAGTTTAACGTTTACTGGTGAGGTAGTCTGTTGCGAGCATATCACTCTGGCAATGGGAACAAAATCATCTGACGTGTCAACTTCTTCATTTTTTACACCCTCCTGATGGATGAGGTAACTATGTGAGCTAATGTCTTGGCTGCTGTCATCCGAGTCTATCACTTCTATAACCTCACAGACATCAGGATCCATCATGACCTGCTGATTCCCAGTATCTTCTTGTTTATTATTACTTGTACTTGTACTACATTGTGTGCTGGGTAACTCAACGTTGGGATTAAAATACTGCTGTTTGCTGGGAGTTGGTTGAGAGGTGCTTGAACCAGTCGTAGAGGATTCATGGGTCAGAGAGGCTGCTTCATATTGTCTTTCGAAATAGTCTTTGACCTTCAGTCGTGGCATTCTTGGAGATCTGAATCTGGACAGGAAGAGCAAAATATCATTGATTACCGGTTTGCATACAGTCATCTGGAAATTGCTTGCACTACTAATGCAAAAGACTTAGGCCTGAGTTAACTTGTTTCCAATTGGTGAACAAGGTGGATTGAGTGAAAGACCAAATAATTCCCTGCAAAGTTCAGTCAAAATGCTGATAGAGAAAAGACTGTTAATGTCCAGTGAAAAAGCACAGAGTCTGAAAATAAGTGTGGGGCGGTCCCTAAAGTACATGTACAATGTACATGTACACACGAAGGGGTAGTTGTTGTTGTTATTAACAAGGCATACACCATGCATACGGGGGGGGGTAATTCAAAGCCAATGTTTTTTTGTTTTTTTATTATTCCATAACAACTTTGTTTGCCATCCGTACAGGTGAGAGGGGGAGTCTAAATAGTGTGCATTTCGTACATATGTACTTTATGGATTACCCCTGTCAGAGATCCTAAGATAAGTACAAAATTCTGCACACTTTGGACTACACATATATACAATACTGTTTATGCCTCAACTAACAGTGGGCCAGCCAACATGGAATTTTTACATTTTGATGTTTTTTTGGCCAAAACTTGAAGGCACAATTTCATCAAACAATGAAATCATTATCAGAAAATCATACCCACCATATGATCCAGCATTATTATACGCTCCTTAAACATGTTAAAAAAAAATTTGACCTAGACCTGCACCAGTACTTACAGTGAAATGCCTTTCTGTTTTCTTCCTGGATGAGACTGCAGTGTCTTCCTTTTAGATGCTGGTCTTAAGTTGCTCTCTACAGGTGCGTTGTGGGAACTCGCAACAAACCAAGGCCGCTTGAGACCACACTCTTCAGAAATCTGATTTCAAACCATAACAGATCTTGAGTTTGAGGAAGGTTACATACAGTGTGAACACGGTGCATAGACCGATTTGATGGGGTGGTGTGGCCACAAAGTGCCTACCTAGCATGACAAGCAGTAATATAGCCAACAGTTTTTTACAGATCCCTTGAAAATTGAAAATATTTGGGCTGTGGTGCTGGACATGCTGTAACCATGGGGTGTCGTTCAAGGTGGACAGAAGTGATACCCAATTCCTTTGGGTTATGATTACATGGCAATATTTCTGAGTACATGGCTACCTGTATGTGCAATTCCAGTTTATAAAAAACAAAACAAAATGCTCTTTCTAAACTCCATTTCACTGAGACATACCATAGCAAATACAAAAATCAGGGGTGTTTCTTTGATATATTCTGTCATGTGACCCATCTTTTGAACAGCAATACATAGAGATTAATACAATGACTTATTGGAAGTTCCAGAACTTTGATGGCTGTACATTTTTTTGTACAAAGGCCTAACTTCTTCTCTGGGCTGTTTCAATTTTTTTTTGGGGGGGGGGGAGTCTCCCCTATCCCCCTTTGAATCCCCCTTGATCCCCCCTCCCTGCTCTCATCAGTGATTTTCAGCTGGCCATACATTTTTGTTTTTTACAAAGGCCTTATTTCTTCTCTAGGCTGTTTCAAAAAAAAATTGGGGGGGGGGGGGGCGGGAGGAGTCTCCCCTATCCCCCCTTTGAATCCCCCTTGATGCCCCTCCCTGCTCTTATCAGTGATTTTCAGCTGCTCTCCCCTAATGTGTAAACATGGAAGGGAAGTTCAGAAACTATCAAGACTTACGGTATCTATGCATACACCGTTACTGGCTTGTTGTAGGTGTCCTGGCGGAGAAGAGGCTGGTATGGGCTGGTGGTCAAAATACACAGGCTCTTTGCATTTCAGGCCTGCAGCAAAACATGGACGGGATACAAAGACATACAAGAAATGTCATCTGTATTCTTATTTTTAGAATAGCTAAATGCAGTTTAATCCAAATTTTGGCACGGTTTTGGGTCAACTTCAAAGACGTGATGTTTACACGTACATGTACAAATAAACAAAATACACATATGTAAAATCTAAATCTGTTATATATTTTCCGAAACGTTTCAACAAAATCTGCATTTTAAAAAAATAGTGATGTATTTTTGATGTGCTTCTCACAAAAATACTCAATAAAAAATACACAATTACTGAATTAGGCCTGCCAATATTTTCGGAAAGAACATTACAACCAGACGCCACTTTTTTATATGAATTGTTGAGAAGACATGAATCTGGGACTGAGAAACAGTTCCAATTTTGTTAGGAATTGCAATATGTAGGTCCTACTTAGAAAATGTTCTTCACTCTTCATACTTTATAGACTTTGTACTTGAAAATTTTGAAATTGTACACAACCGCTGAAGTGGCGTCTGGATTATGCACCTATCAATTGTTTCCCCCACCCCTCCCCTCCCGGGCTGCCCCACCCAAGACGTGGGGATTGTCACTTTTGAAGTGACAAAATCCCCACCCCTCGGGCAAAATTTAAGTGACAATCCCCGACCTAGCCCCATAATGTGGCCAGTTTACTGGACTGCCTCCGTAAACATAGGCCACACGTCCGCCATCTTGGAATCTGACTCGCCGAAATTTTGAAAGTGATTTCCACATTGCGACTTTAAACCCAGTTCATTTATGCTTTAAAAATACACTTACCCTCTTAATAACAAAATTAGAACCTGCTGCCAGTGTCAGTTGCCCAGCTGCTGCGTAATTTACGACATTTTCTGGACCATTCTTGGCAACTTGGTCCAACCGTGGAGCTATCTCCATGGTCCAACTGAACAATGCCCTCGCGCAGATCGTTCACCTGTCAATCACGCGTGCAGGACGCACGCCGCAGGCCCAGTGGTAGTCCGATTCCCAGACCAAAAGATTCTGACTATTCCTAGGATCAGGAATAGTCAGAATCTTTTGGTCTGGGAACCGGACTACCACTGGGCCTGCGGTGTGCGTCCTGCACGCGTGATTGACAGGTGAACGATCTGCGCGAGGGCATTGTTCAGTTGGACCATGGAGATAGCTCCACGGTTGGACCAAGTTGCCAAGAATGGTCCAGAAAATGTCGTAAATTACGCAGCAGCTGGGCAACTGACACTGGCAGCAGGTTCTAATTTTGTTATTAAGAGGGTAAGTGTATTTTTAAAGCATAAATGAACTGGGTTTAAAGTCGCAATGTGGAAATCACTTTCAAAATTTCGGCGAGTCAGATTCCAAGATGGCAGACGTGTGGCCTATGTTTACGGAGGCAGTCCAGTAAACTGGCCACATTATGGGGCTATCCCCGACCATGCCCCGACTTACATACGTGGGGCACACTACTAGTGATTGCCTTTCCATTAGTACGCCAATGTTAACAATGTAATTTGAGTGACCAAAACCCCCACCCTGGGGCATGAAAAACGTGACCAAATCCCAACATCGGACCTGGGCTAGCACAGGGGGGGGGGGGGGGGGGGGGGGGGGGGGGGGGGGGGGGGAGGGGGGAGGGGGGAACATTTGATAGGCGCATTACATTCGTTCCATATTTTCAACCTGTGAATAGGCGTCACTGAGGTTAGGTAGTGGGTACCAATAGGCAATACCATGATTGTTAAAACAGCAGGTTTACTTGTCCTACCTCCCTTACGAGACTTCGGATCCCACTGATCTTCAGGTCTGAAATGGCAACTGCACAACTTTGTATGGGCAGTGTCAGGTCGCCACGGACTCCCATCCAGGTTCACTCTGTTGATACGCAGAACCCACAGATCGTGCCACTTTTTCCAATCTGGCCCATCATTTGGCGATGGGAAATTATAAAAGTGACAGCCAGAACCTGATCTATGTCCACAACCAGCAGCACAACACGCCATTTTCGACGGTATCGCCAACAAAGTAGGCCTAACATTGACCAGTAGTCATTGACCAACTGTCAAAGATCGTGGATCGGGAGAATAGGTACGGCCAAAACTGTTCCTTGCTCTAGCTCATGCACCAGTACACCTACAGGCTTTGCTTATTTTGTTATTTTGTAGTGACCTATTCAGAAACGCGATGACATTTATTAGGCTATGGGAAGGGCGCCCCTAGCGTTGAGTAGGTAAACGCGTGTACGTCGCATAATGGTCGCATACTCTACGCATCGGGTGTACAATGCGAACGGAAGGAAGCGCGCTTACATGCACATGATCTCTAGCAAGCATGTCAAAATGGACCAAAATAAGCCTCCTAAGTTTCCCATAAAAATATAACAACCAAATTTGAATTTTCAAAAAAAAAAATAATTAAATTAAATACTTAACAAATATTGTTTATAACAATTCAAAAAGATGTTTATGAAAAGTTTGTAAATGGAGGCAAAATATGTGCTGTAATGTTATACATGTATTAGTCAAGTGGTATTGACGTCTCGTAGACTTAATTTATTCAATGACCTCCATGCGACTCTTAAACATCCATTGCCTCTCATTCTTGCCAGTTAGCGCCTCTATACGAGTACCTGATGTTTAATGGTACACGTATGTCTTGTTTTTTTGTCTTTTTACTGCCAATGTAACAACCTTGATTAACCTTGTCTCATTTTACTGTTTATAAATCTTCTTAATATGTCTTTGTAATGTTTTTATTGCTTGTTTTTCTATTTTTATACTATCGTATGTTTGTTGTATAACTGCTGGGCACCATTGAAAAACAGTGTTTCACTGAAAGGTCTCCCAAGGATAATAATAAGAATTATTATTATTACGACAAATCGAAATTTAGGAACTGATAAATCTAGATTATGGTGTTCAATAATATGTACAAATAAGAAAATACACAGATTCTGATTTCATGCAAGACTTTCATGCAAGACGGCCAGAGCTTATTGTGCCTCACGCACTTGCTGAAAAAGATGACGAAATGAAGAAATGATCTCAAATAAAGGAAAAAATGAATAAACCAATAAATGCATAAAAGGGATATAAAAGACCTGTCACTAATAGCATGCTTATGTGATCCCCCTTCATTTATTGACGGTAAAACAATAATTAGGTATTGTTTTAAAAACGCTTGACATGTCACTGGGATAATACATCACAAGTGCTGTACAAATATTCTGAAGAAAGCAAAACTGAAGTTATTCATTATTTAATAAATTAATTTAACAATCACAAAATATATATCTAAATCCTGTAAATGCCTATACAATGTCCAGTTAACAGTCAGCTCATTTATAGCATAATACTTTTTACTCTTTTTTTGACGCATGAATTAGAAAAAAAGTTTAAAGTGGCTTTGCACAACTAAGACATTACCAAAGATCTTTACGCGTACGCTGAGGGTTGCAGACCAGTAAATAGGCCCCAAATTGCCTACGCCAGCCAAATCACGATTTGCATGCCCTCAAAATCTTCAGTATTTGAGAGTATTGTGGGCCATGAACTTGAGGGTTTGTAAAAAATATGGGTGGAAGCCGTGCACAGGACTGGGAGCTTGCAGTTGTGTGTAATTTGGATGTACATGTAATTTGGACCCTAAAAGCGCTCTATTTTGCAATGGAGTGTAGCCATCGTTTTTCAAAATGGCGATGGGCTTCAGGACTATTTTTAGGGGTGATCATCTTCGGATGGAAATTTCTCCTAAAAGTCATCAGTTGACCCCCCGAAAATTGAAAAGAAAATGAAAGGTGATAAAATAAGCTTTAATTTGATGTGTGTCTCGAACACCTTGGAGAGTTGTAAGTATTTTTCCCGAATTTCTGAAGTGGGAGCATTTACCATTGGGGTCTATGGTAGTTTATTTACTGGTCTGCTACCTGAGTGCATGGAGCAAATCTATTTTTTCTTCACCTATCCAACACTTGGGGCTTCCTTTCCATGAGCAACTATTTTCTATTTCACTTTTTTTTCAGCGGACTGTCCAAACTTCCTTCATGCATGTATACGGGGCCGTTGGGGGTCCGAATTGTGCACTTTGTGACTAAGGCATGATTCGCATGTCAGGTCTAGTCTTCATGCCATGAAGAAATGTTCATATGTGTGCAGCCATATTCCATATCTGACCTATTATTTCTTTCGCACTATTTTAGACTTAATTGGGTCATGAAAAGTGGCGTTTGGAAGGTTAAATAAGATAAATAGTGGCAAATTAGGTATACAAAGTTCATTGACCTGTCAAGGGTCACCAGAGGTCAGATATGAAATGTCCCCACATCTGAAAATTCCTATTATAGCGTTTTGAAGAGTAAATCTTATCTATAATTTAGGCCTATACAAAGTTCATTGACCTCTCGAAGGTCGCCAGACAGCTATGAAATTTTCCCACATCTAGAAAAAAGTCTTCATTGTATGAATTAGCTAGACGTATATGGCGTGTCAAACGTTGCAATATTCAATATTTTGCAATATATATGTTGGATGTTCAATATGTGTTTGTTATCTTTTACATTTATGTGCGATGTTCAATATAAGTGTGCGATGTTTTTCATTATTTGCGCGATGTTTAATATATTTGTGCGATGTTTTACAATATATGTGCAATGTTCAATATATGTGTGCGAACTGCGATGTTTTACATTTATATGCGATTGTCAATTTATATTTGCGATGTTTTTGACGATATAATTATATGTGCGATGTTTTCAATATTATGTTCGATTTTTTGCATTAAATGTGCGATGTTTTTCGATACAGTTGTGTGTGTTGTTTTACAATATATTTGCGATATTCTCAAATATGTGAGCAATGTTTTACACATATGTTTGACATTTCGAGCTATTTATTCGATGTTTCATCGGTATGTTTGCATTCGATCTTTTGCAATATGTATTTGATGTTTCCCTCTTCATTTGATGTTTCGTTAAGAGTCAAAGTCTGGTTACTAGACCGTGAAAGTCTGACTATTTTGCCTAAAGTCAGTGTATCAGACGTCAGGGGATCGCGTAACGTGATTAGAGCCAGACATAAACGGTAAAAACCGGAGTTGTGGGTAATTCTTTAAGCATACGCAATGCGTTCATCATTGTTTGGGCAGTACCCCCAGCTGTGTCTGTACTACCCATAGTGTTGTGTGCATCATCTATGCATTGAGGAGTGCATGACACATGGTCTGAGCTCCAAGGCCGATGTGCACCTGTCCCGTTTAAAGATCCAGTTACCTGATAATTTGTTAGCATAAGCTGATGTAAAATTGGGCAAAATTAGATGTTTATGAAAAAAAATCAAATTGTAAGGGGTTAACCTTGCATGTTTTAGCAAAATCGGGAAAAATCAGATGTTTCTGGAAAATTGCAGATTGTATGAGGTTAGATGTTTATGAAACATTTCAAATTGTAAGGGGTGAACATTGCATATTTTAGGGAAATTGGGCGAAATCAGATGTTTCCGAAAAAATTTCAGATTGAAAGGGATTAACCTTGCTTTTTAAGTGAAATTTTGCAAAGTTAGATGTTACGAAACATTTCAAATTGAAAGGGGTTAACCTCGCATTTTTTAAAGCCAAAATGGTAACAAATCAAATGTTTCTGGAAAATTCAAATTGTAAGGGGTTAACCTTGCTTTTTGAATAAGATTGGGAAAAATTAGATGTTCATGAAAAAAATTCAAATTGTAAGGGGTTAACCTTGCATTTTTTTTTAGCAAAATAGGACACAATCAGATGATTCTGGAAAATTGCAGATTGTTATAAGGCTTAACCTTGTATTTCTGCAAAATTGGGCAAAAGGAAATGTTTATAAAAAATTTTAAATTGTAAGAGGTGTACCTTGTATATTTAGTAAAATTTGGCAAAATCAGATTTGTATGAAAAATCTAAAATGGTAGGGGTTAACCTTGCTTTTTTAGCAAAATTTGGAGCATATTTTACTAAAATTGGGCAAAATCAGATGCTTCTAAAAAAATCCAGATGTAAAGTTCCGCAAAAACAGCTGTTGAAAAAGAGCCCAATGTTGGACTTTACTGAGTCTGAGGTCTATCGAGGGGACGATCCTTATATCAACTCCCGGAGATTCGCTGACAGTCTCTATTTTTCTTTTTAAGAAAGTCGAAATAGCTGAAGAGGGAGGTGAGAATCTATATGTGCCCAGATACAAAGAGTAGAAATCTACGCGTCTGCCTTTTGAAAATACACAATTGCGGTGTTCATTGTTGCGTAATGATCCGCCTAGCACATGCACACGACTGTTTTGCACATTAGGCTGTATTATGCAGCTTCCTAACAAACCAAACACACTGGGCTCATTATATCGACTTGTTTTTACCCATTAAGGTAAAGCAAATGGACCCAGTAATCTTCCTGGCGCGTTTGCTCACCTATAAAGACAACTTTTCTCAGTTTAAGGAAAATTCCAAGGTAACGAAATGGCCGAGTGGTTACGATTCGTCGTCCACGGTTAGCGGGGTCCCGGGTTCGAATCCCGCTGGTGTCTTTTTGGTTTTTAACGTATGAGTTCAATCATTTACTATAAGAGATTTAATTTCCCGTCGTAAAGGTACCAACAGTACCTTAGCTTAATCGGTAAGCACTGCTGCTGGTACTGTCCGCGAGTTCCAGGTTGGCGCCTTCGTACAGGTTCAGGGCATGTGGTCCACTCGGAGGATCAGGGCTTAGGGGCCGCCCTGTTCCTCCCTTAGCTCTTTGCTTTTACATGGTGCCTGGCCCTCCGGGGTTATATGGATGGATAGGGAAGGAAGTGTGTATTGGTCGGGGACACCGAGACCCCGGAAGAGAACTAAGGGATCGGCTGGGGCATTGTTATGGCTCAGACCGATCCCTGAAAGCTTGACTAGCACATAACTTTTTGATTTTTTTACCCCCTATCTTGTATACTTTGGTTTAGTTTGATATCTACAGCTGCTCGGCAGGTCTACGGGTAGTATCAAATTGAAACAAAGGTGTATGTCATAAATCAATGAATATTTCATAATTGACTATAATCAAAACGGAGTTTCGTTTGATCAATTTGACTATCATTATATAATGACGCGATTGCCAATTGACGTAAGAAACGCCATAAATTATACCGGGAAAGAAAAAAGATGTACATTGTAATATAAATATTATTTATACATCTTTCAAATAACGTGTCTTTAATTGTGAGCATTCCAAACAATACAGTAATTCGCAATAGTAATAGAATGGTATATGATAGCACGATCATTGCGTCTCTATTAAATTTTAAAAATATAATTTAGGCCCCTATGTGTGAAATATTCTTTGATTGACTATGAGCATTCCATACGAATGAGTTAATTCGCACGATATAGCAACAACAAAAGAGAAAGGAAAAAGAGAAAATTCCTTTACCCTAAAAACTGGAAATATAATTTGTTTAAAAAAGTCCAATGGGACACTTCATGTATTGATTTAACAGTTTGCAAGGAGTAAGCCTTACATTTTTAGCAAAATTGGGAAAAACCAGATGTTTCTGGAAAATTGCAGATTGTACGGGGTTAGATGTTTATGAAAAATTTCAAATTGTAAGGGGTGAACCTTACATATTTTAGCGAAATTGGGCAAAATCAGATCTTTCTGGAAAATTTCAGATTGAAAGGGGTTAACCTTGCTTTTTTAGTGAAATTTGGCAAAATAAGATGTGTATGAACAATTTCAAATTGTAAGGGGTTAACCTTGCTTTTTTAGTACAATTGGAAAAATTTAAATGTTTATGAAAAATTTCAAATTGTCAGGGGTTAACCTTGCATTTTTTAGCAAAACAGGGCAAAATCAGGTGTTTATGGAAAATTTCAGATTTTAAGGGGTTAACTTTGCATTTTTAGCAAAATTGGGCAAAGTCAGATTGTTATGAAAAATCAAAAATTGTAAGGGGTTAGCCTTGCCAAATTAGGGCAAAATCAGATATTTCTGGAAAATAGCAGATTGATAGCAAGTTGGATGTTTATGAAAAATTTCAAATTGTAAGGGGTTAACCCTGCATTTTTTAAACGAAATTGGGAAAAATCAGATGTTTGGGGTTAACTTGGCATTTTTAGCAAAACTGAGCAATATCAGATTTTTATGAAAAATTCAAATTGTAAGGGGTTAACCCGGTATAATTTATGGCGTTTCTTACGTCAATTGGCAATCGCGTCATTATATAATGATAGTCAAATTGATCAAACGAAACTCCGTTTTGATTATAGTCAATTATGAAATATTCATTGATTTATGACATACACCTTTGTTTCAATTCTGATACTACCCGTAGACCTGCCGAGCAGCTGTAGATATCAAACTAAACCAAAGTATACAAGATGGGGGTAAAAAAATCAAAAAGTTATGTGCTAGTCAAGCTTTCAGGGATCGGTCTGAGCCATAACAATGCCCCAGCCGATCCCTTAGTTCTCTTCCGGGGTCTCGGTGTCCCCGACCAATACACACTTCCTTCCCTATCCATCCATATAACCCCGGAGGGCCAGGCACCATGTAAAAGCAAAGAGCTAAGGGAGGAACAGGGCGGCCCCTAAGCCCTGATCCTCCGAGTGGACCACATGCCCTGAACCTGTACGAAGGCGCCAACCTGGAACTCGCGGACAGTACCAGCAGCAGTGCTTACCGATTAAGCTAAGGTACTGTTGGTACCTTTACGACGGGAAATTGAATCTCTTATAGTAAATGATTGAACTCATACGTTAAAAACCAAAAAGACACCAGCGGGATTCGAACCCGGGACCCCTCGGCCACTCGGCCATTTCGTTACCTTGGAATTTTCCTTAAACTGAGAAAAGTTGTCTTTATAGGTGAGCAAACGCGCCAGGAAGATTACTGGGTCCATTTGCTTTACCTTAATGGGTAAAAACAAGTCGATATAATGAGCCCAGTGTGTTTGGTTTGTTAGGAAGCTGCATAACACAGCCTAATGTGCAAAACAGTCGCGTGCATGTACTAGGCGGATCATTACGCAACAATGAACACCGCAATTGTGTATTTTCAAAGGGCAGACGCGCAGATTTCTACTCTTTGTATCTGGGCACATATAGATTCTCACCTCCCTCTTCAGCTATTTCGACTTTCTTAAAAAGAAAAATAGAGACTGTCAGCAAATCTCTGGGAGTTGAAATAAGGATCGTCCCCTCGATAGGCCTCAGACTCAGTAAAGTCCAACATTGGGCTCTTTTTCAACAGCTGTTTTTGCGGAAACTTTACATCTGGATTTTTTAGAAGCATCTGATTTTGCCCAAGTTTAGTAAAATATGCTCCAAATTTTGCTTAAAAAGCAAGGTTAACCCCTACCATTTTAGATTTTTCATACAAATCTGATTTTGCCAAATGTTACTAAATATACAAGGTATACCTCTTACAATTTAACATTTTTCATAAACATTTCCTTTTGCCCAATTTTGCTAGAAATACAAGGTTAAGCCCTATAACAATCTGCAATTTTCCAGAATCATCTGATTGTGTCCTATTTTGCTAAAAAAAAGTGCAAGGTTAACCCCTTACAATTTGAATTTTTTCATGAACATCTAATTTTTCCCAATCTTATTCAAAAAGCAAGGTTAACCCCTTACAATCTGCAATTTTCCAGAAACATTTCATTTTTTCCCATTTTTCCTTTGAAAAAATGCATATTGCAAAAGATCGAATGCAAACATACCGATGAAACATCGAATACAAATAGCTCGAAATGTCAAACATATGTGTAAAACATTGCTCACATATAGAATATCGCAAATATATTGTAAAACAACACACACAATTGTATCGAAAAACATTACACATTTAATGCAAAAATCGAACATAATATTGAAAACATCGCACATATATATCGTCAAAAACATCGCACATATAAATTGAAAATCTCATATACATGCTAAACATCGCACACATAATATGAACATCGCACATATATTGTAAAACATCGCACAAATATATTAAACATCGCGCAAATAATGAAAAAACATCGCACACTTATATTGAACATCGCACATAAATGTAAAAGATAACAAACACATATTGAACATCCAACATATATTTTGCAAAATATTGAATATTGCAACGTTTGACACGCCATAGACGTATGACCTAGGAAAGCGTTCGTCAAGAACTGTAGCTGGAAATAGACTATGTAAAGGTCACTGCCCGCTCAGATGTCACCAAAGGTCAGATGTGGAATGCCTCCATTATAACATGTCTGTGACAGTCGCCCGTTCCCAGCCAGTCACACATGGCATTCTGTTTTGGGTTTTTTTTTCGCTTGTCAAAATCGTGCTTCATTTTTTAGTTTCAGTAATATGGTGAATGAAGGAATCTGATATAGGCCTTTTTTTGTTGCACATGATGAATGCACAATGTACAAGTGAAGACGCCCTCCCGCTCCCGGCCAAGTCTCGATCTCTCAGTCAAGATTCGGCGCGCGGTTGCAACTTTGGCCACCGTGGTCAGACCAGACTATCAGATCAACAATAACGGATTCAACTGTACGCGGGTCGGGGTTTGGCAAGCTAATGCTATCATTTTATTTTCAAGTTATGGTGCTCGAGTCTTGGAACTAAGATATTACCAAGAAACCAAGATTATTAAGTTTCAAACGAAACTTTAGAGTTCAAGTTATTAGTTAGAGATATTGCACTCATCACGCAGCAGGACGCATTTTGAAATCCCGCCAATTGTGTACGGTTCGTGACCGGATTTCAAAATCTGACCATCGATGGAAGGATGCCACTTGTAAAACGGCTACATGCAGGCTTGGGAACTATCACTTTTCGGGAGGTGATTTTGGTTAGGTGTGAATATTTAAAAATGTAATCGGTTAATCTACCAAAAATGGAAAATAAATGAAAAGATGAAGTACAATACAATAATTTAATTTTTGTTTGAGAAACCCCAGTGAATTTGGCTTGCATGTTATTTGGCCCTGAACGTTGTTGATTTTACACCGTTTCCAAAGGGGCTTGAATTGGTTCAGTGCACCCATAATGGATAGGAACCTTATTAATATTTGTGAGGCTTGAAAAGATTGACAGACATTGCTGACTCCAGTGTTACAGCTTTCAAATCACGTAGCCAATAGGCGTATTTTTCCAATTTCAACGAAAAGTACAGAACGTGTCACAACGATTTTTAGCGCATACTTGGATCATTATAAGGGAAATAAACCCTGAAAGTTGCATGAAGATACGGTCTTCCAAACGGGAGTAATAAATTTCCAAAGATTTCGCCCGCCAACGTGCTCTCAAATTTGTATCCTTGTGGAGACACGCACACAATAGGGAACAAAACATTGTTAAGGTCTCCACAAGGCAATTTCTGTAGATGACAATGTCTCCACGAAATAGATATATGGATTTTACTCAAAAACAAGGAATTTCCAAGGTGGGTTGATCCGTCGCAAATGGAAGAGTTTTAGAAAAGGGATATTAAGTCCGATTTTCAGCCAAGGAAATTAATTGTGGTTAAAATAAGAGCATTTTGAAACTTCGAAAACTTTACTACACGAGAACAAAGAAATGTCTCCACACAAGGATACAAATTCGGAGTAAAATCAAGTGTTACGTAACCTTTAGATATCGCCCTTCGCAACCATGGCTGCAAGGGCTCAAACGGACCCAATGCACGTCACCCTGCCTAGCTGTATGGCAGCACAGATAGTCCCCGGGGGATCACTGTAAAGGTAAACAGTCACGTACAGGGAGGGAAAAGAAATTCTCTCCGTGTACGCATTAGGCTGGCCAGTCTATCTCGACAGTGCGTCAAAGGTCCCAAGACCATCGAGGAACACGAAGACGAAGACGAAGACCTGGGCCTAGTTCCTTGCTTTATGTACCGGGTAAGTCAGTGTTTGTTTATGCTATATTTCGCGGTTTCCTGTTTTTATTTGTTTTTATTTACATGTATTTGATGATGACCAAGCATAGGTTATGAAAACGCCAATTACAGGTATCATAATACACAAAAATACAAATTATTATTCAAATACATAATATTATTTTAAAAAAAATATGGGGGCATTATATAAATTATTCAAGACACCTTGTACACATAATACGATAAAGTGGCAATTTCTTCGGGAAACATTGAACAACATTGAGGAAACAGCAGCTTGCCGTGGGATTTTGGGATGTACGTAGTGGGGGAGGGGGGGGGGGCTGGTGTACGCTATCTGACTCTGCATAATGAAATGTACATGTACATACAAAAAAAATGGCCCACCCTAGCTAGCGGTGATATACAGACTAGTCCTCAGGCTTCTCGCTGAGAGCTATAGCTGCGTGCATTCATAACAATAAGCTATAACTTCAGGCCGGTGCAAGCAATGGGTACAAAAAAACTTTGGGCACAATGATTGTAAAGTGATGGTACCACTACTAAATATGAACTGACATAATTTCTGACCAATTAGCTCTCTTTTAATTTAAATAGGTGGCCCAGAACAAAGTTGGCCCTGTAATTCCTACCTGAATACCCAGGACCTTCCTACCTGAATATCCATTACGTAAAGTCACGAAGCCTCACGCAGAGAATGATTGGCTGCACGCACGACGACTTATAATAAAGATTCGGACTCGTTTACAAGGCCGTCTGTTGGCGTATTATCTGCCCTGGCTAGAGAAGATAGGACCCTGGATCCTGGATACTACCTGTTTGTGCTAAAACAAGTTAATTGTTTGCTGAGCTGAAGTTATCAACTATCTATAATCTGGTTGCCCCAAATGACGTCATAATGACGAAGACCTTGATTCAGCGCAGAGAAATTAGATCACTGACAATGCATTTTATTTCTTAAAGAATACAATTTAAAAGGGTATTTAACAAAATTACAATACACAGTTACAAAAATAAAAATAATTTAATGTAAACTAGGAATTTAATTAAGACACAAAATTTAGAACAGGACAAAAAAAGGGGGGGGGGGGAGAAAAAGAAGAAATACAGTATACAACTAGGCACCGGTAAAACAACAACATGAAGTATTTTAAAAATTATCCATAAATTTGCGAGCAGAATTTAGCGAGTTTTTCAGTTCTGTAATGTTGGTTGTGTTGAAGAGATGCGCCATTTTTAGGGTGTTGGGCTTATGAAAGTATAGGGCTTGAGATATTTGGCTCTTTCAGTGGCTGTCGATGGGCATTCAAACAAGTAATGAAATTCATCACCTAATTTGTCTTGTTGAGCACAGTACATAATCTCTACAATCCCTACTTATATTTTGGAACCTACCACTAACGACAGGCAGCCTGCGGTTACCACATCTGAATTTACATAAGCTAATACGCTCTCGTGCATCTTATTTCACCAAGTAATTTTCAAATCCAAGATCTTCTTTAAAAACTCTATAATTTACACATGGCTGTTTTGATGGATTTGGGCATTCAGAGTTTGTAAACCAATATCGGATGACATCAGATTGATAACATTTTTACCACGTCCTGTTGATAACAGGACAATTGTCCCAAAGGTTTGACATTCCTAAATTATCCAAGGTACACTTATTCTTCTTCATCCAGGGTGAACAATTATCGTAAAGGATAATGGATCACTGCGTTATTTCGCAATACTATTGCGTTATTTCGCAAAACATTTATTGCGTTATTTTGCAATACTATTGCGTTATTTCGCAATAGTATTGCGTTATTTCGCAAACTATTGCGTTATTTCGCAATAAAAATATTTTTTCACTTTTAAAATCTGGCACGAACGGGCTTCCGTACAAAGTCTTTCGGGGCGGACAATTTAAAAAAAAATAAACTTGAAGGGTTTATTTTCATTTACAAACAAATCTAAAATGACCGTCGATAAGAACTGTATTAAAACGTGATCCAAACGAGCCTGAATATAATATTATCTAAAATCCATCGAATGCATGGTAAATCTTCGCGTCGTTATTCATGATTTTCATCCTGTCTCACGCAAGTACGCGATTTAAAACAGACGTGATCCAACAAGCTAGGCGACATTGGAACGAAAATAGGTCGTTAGTAAAATTCGTTTTTACCTATACTTCCAACTGATTTCTCATCTATTCTGAGGCAATTGTGTCAGTGTTTTAATAACCAGATCTAATAAGTTAACCCTTCAAAATAGTTGATAAAATTATACACAAGTTGATATAGGTTTGCTTTCTGAATTTCATGATCTTTTTCTTCCTATCCTTTCATCTTGCCGTATCCCAATATTTTTTGACTCGCCAGCCGGGCTACTTAAGGAATATAGTTTGACTAGCCCACCGCTGTTTTGACTAGCATTTGGCTTGCGGCCTACCGCTAATTTCGAACCCTGAACTTTAACAATAAAATCAAGATATATAGAGTTCATGGTTTATGATCCTTCTTTTTGGGGGTCAGACTCTTTGAACTCTCTATGAATCACGTACCAAACAGAACTATGCACAGAGGCGCACGGCGCGGCTTGTGTACTGATCGTACTGATATGACTGTCCACTGGTCCGCAACCATTTTGACTGTTTACAGATTGGACACTGAATGGCAACTTATTTCTAAACAAAATGTCTACTTTTTCAGGACTTGGTGGGAATAATTCATAAGCTAACTCACTCTTCTTCATTTCAACACTTGCTGACAACATGTCTTCTAACCATTCCGATGCTGGAGTGGAGGCTAAATCGCCTTATCGTCGAGCACTTACTTCTATTCATCGAGAGAGTCATGACCCACGACCTGCCACTATCACCGGTAAGTCCCGTTGGATTGACAGAAAGGGTTGGGATTTGGGAGTACGTACATGATTGCGTTTCCTTTAACCCTAAAGGGGCCGGGTTATTTTGACCATCTCTCAGCCGGGGGGGGGCGGATTCGGCCCCCCCTAAGATCTCGGCCATCGAGTGACGAAAAATTTTGAAACTCGATACATGCATAGAGCAACTCTTCCTTGACATACACAAGAAATTTCATGACTATAGGTCAAAGGGTTTTGGAGTTATGGCTAATTAATTATTCATATGTACGAATGGCAATTCTGCTCTGTGTACACGACGTATATGCGAAAATTCAGTTTTCACGGCGCGTAGCGCCGGAAAATTTTTCGCTACGCGGCAACCCGTGGTCCGATTTTTACGTTTTGGTATCAAAAGATGCGCAAAGCTCGAGGCTAAAAAGTCATAACAGCTCGGGTCGCGAAAAAAATTTTTTAGAGGCTATCACGGAAAATGTTGAGGGGGGGGGGGCGGATTCCGCCCCCCCGGCCCTTTAGGGTTAAAAGCAAGTTAGGTTTCGGTTTTTTATCCACCCTGTATGTATGCTTCCGTGTCATGAACAAAGAACACTGGTAATAGCTGGATTCGAAGCTGCCACCGATGTATATACCGGCGTTCAATTACTTATCCAGCCATATACAGGGTGACCAAATAAAAGGTTTCCACAAACAAATGGATATGATCAAGCTACGAACATAATGATCATGATTATGGTTTTATCATAAACTAAGGCCAGTAGCAAAGCTTTCCATAATAACTGGATGCATTCCTCTGGTCAGCACTGAGCTCCATGCATTGTTTTAAAAATGATATAATTATGAACACAACCAGTCATGTGATATGTACGTTTATTGAACTTTATGTAAACATGAACAACTTTCATGATTCCACACCTTAAATGTATCTTCACCTCCCACATGTCCACTTGACCTCTCAGCACAAAGTCTTTATACAAGCGGTGGTGCATAATTTATCTTCCATGGTCCGTACGTCTCACCACCGTTTGAGGTTGATCTTGTTCACCTCGTGCTAAATATAGGCCTGCAAAACATTGAAGGTTGGCAGTAGGACTGCTGAAAAGTTTGTTCTTTAAATCCCCCCCCCCCCAAAAAAAAACCCAAACAACAACAACCAGTCACAAACAAACCCTGCAGTGACCTGGGTGGTCATTCCACAGCACGATTCAGTACGATTACGTTGTCCCCTAAACTTCATGACAGCGATTCCTGACAGCAATGAGTCCATGACTCTGTGGCCTGGGGCACCGTATGTACCATTTCTTTGATGTTTAAACTGTAACTTGCCTCCGGCAAAAGATCATCAGTTGATGGAAATCCTGTTTTTGTTCGTGTTTTCCTGAATAAGATAATGACTTTGTCTGGTTGTGTTCACGATGTTTGCCATGTTTTAGATACCATTTTCAAAACAATGGAACTCAGTCATGGATGACCAGTGGAGTGCATCCAAGATATCAGCGGAAAGCTAACTGCCCCTAGTTTATGATAAAACCATAATTATGGTAAATTGACCGCTTGCACATTTTCCCTTTGTTTGTGGGTTACCTTTCTTGGACACCCTGTACGTGTAATAGTCAATGTGATTCGTCATCGATCCCTCATCGACTTTGATTATACATCTTCCTTTTTTCAGGAGAGATTCCAAAGTGGGTGCACGGCTCGTTGCTGCGTAATGGTCCAGGGCTCTTCGAAGCTGGAGATCAGGAGGTCGGAAGCCTGTTTGATGGCTTTGCTCTTCTTCATCGATTTATCATCAAAGATGGCGAGGTCTCGTATCAAAGCAGGTAAATCCCAGTTCAGACATTAACTAAAACTTTTGTTTCTTCTACTACAGAAATCCATTTGAAGCTTACATTCTTAAATGATGCTAATTAAGACCCCGTGCGGTGACCGAGACTAGGTGGTGGTGGTGGTGGTGGTGGTGGTGGGGTGATTTACCCCTGTAGCTGGACGTATGCATATCTAAATTAATTGGTGACCAAGACAATCAATATACGGCGAATGAAGGGTGCATTCTGAACGTACTATGTTGCATCTGTTTATCAGCGTAAAGCCAGTAACATTCAACTCGTCAGGCCCTGAAGCTAATTTATTATAAGGCCTTTGGACTTAAATTTATGGAAAAATAATCCAACCACAAACAAATCCCCTCATCCACAAACATAAACCATCCAAACTCATAAAACATTATTTGTGCCGCAACCGTGACAAAATCCATCTCTTATCTGTTAACTGGTCCGACACATAAAGGTACCTTGAGTGTGACGCGTACCAGCTAGCTATGGCTGAGAAGCGCATCGTTTTGGCTGGTTTCGGCACAGCTGTCTACAGAGACCCCTGCAAGAGCTACTTCCGACACCTCTTCTCCTACTTCACCCAGCCACTCCACGATGCAAGCGATAACTGTAATGTGAACTGGTTGCACCTGGGCCAGGACCATTTCTACGCGGTGACGGAGTCCAATTTGATGTGCAAGGTAGACCCGCAGACTCTGAAAAGCACAAATAAGGTAAATCCCAGAATTTAGTATTTACTCATGGCAATGATTATTTTGGTTTCAAGCAACATTAACTTTCCCCCGAAGAAAAAAAATCTTTACTTCCTGAAAAAACTTACACCCTGTAGGTTGCTATCACTGATCACGTGGCTGTGAACACTGCCACTGCACACCCACACTATGGAGACGATGGCTATGTGTACAACATGGGAACCACCTTTGGGAGGAATGTCAAGTACAGTATCATCAAGACGCCTATGGCAAAAGAAGGTGGGTTCTTTGTCCTTTGATTGCAACTTGTATACGGCGTCAGCATAAAGCTAAAGCCAATTCGATTCACTTGCTCGCGTGCATGAGATGTCGAATTGGTTCATTGTGGATGGCACTGTAAACTGGCGTTTGTTCAGTGCTAGCAAGTGGGTGAAGTGACATGTAAAGCTTGCTTGCTGGCCAAGATAGCAGTCCTGGCGAGCTGGTACGGCTTGCATTACTGAAATGGGGGACAATATACTGTGAACTCCTCTCGTTTTGGGGGAAAAAATCCCCCGAATCGTCTTGCCAGCAGGCTGTGTGGTTCGAAGATGGTGGTTAGCAGGCTCGAACGCCTCGGTCGTAATTTGTTAGATGATTCGGCTTGCTCCCAAATTAGGCAGGCATATCGGTCTATACCCTCAGTGTGGGCCACATTATTGCTTTACTGGTACTATGCATGTATTTTTCTCGGATGCTTATAGGGGACGACGGTGAACCAATGGCAAAGTCGGAGGTAATCTGCGGCATACCCGCTTCGTCATCTCTCTACCCCAGCTACTACCACAGCTTCGGACTGACCAAAAACTACATAGTTCTCTTGGAGCAACCCTACGTGATCAATGTTCTCAAGTTTTTGACCTGCAAATTGCGGGAGGTGGCTCCGAGTACCAGTCTGGAGTTCTACCCAAAACAAAAGTACCGGATGCAAAGTTGTCAAAGAATTAATAATTTACATTGTTTGAACCTCGGTTTTTGGTTCTGTCTGTTCCCAGTGCAATTAATTAGAAGCCTGTCGAGTTCAGCCTAAGAAAAACGTCAAGGGTCAACATAAACTGATGTGATGCTTGAGCCGGAATGCTTGATGCATGAATAATATGATGCTTGAGCCGGAATTCAAAACCGAAGTCAAAGTTCGGATTGAGTCTCACACCTGCTTATGTGCATGTATACCTTCCACAATCATTCGTTTGGTCTGACCAACGCACACAACGCCCAAAGTACTAGCGCGAACCAGTGAACAACCCTCGAAGCTTTAGTCAGGGAATTTATGAAGAAAACGCATTGCATACTTCCGTGCACATCATTCCTTGACGTAAGAATTTCTGCAGGTTGGAGAGAAGGGTATTGTTCGGTGATGCGCAAAATTCCTTTAATATAATCGCTGAGCTTTGAGAAAGGGAGTGCTATAAGGAAAGATGCATGCATAGAACGATGCGTCAAGGATGCAGGGAATGATTTTAGCTTTAACCCGATATTTTTCTGCAATGCTTTTTTTCTGTAGGTCCCGTTTCTATCTTGTGCATCTCCACACGGGTGAGGTGGTGACCACCGAGTACCTCGCCGAGTCATTCTTTTGCTTCCACTTCATTAACTGCTATGAGGAAGATGGCCACGTGGTGGTGGATCTGTGCCGCCACGTCGATGCCAGCATTATTGAGTACGCCGGTCTGGAGGCTGCACGAAACATGGCCGCTTCGAAGGAAGAAGGCCTGCGAGTGGTGCGCTTTGTTCTGCCCTTGGACCTGAAAGTAAGACGATGAGGTTTCGATCAGTTTACAGAAAATGTCAAAAGTCTCTGAAGGGTCAGTTTTAGTCAAATCCTTCTTAAATGAAATAAAGACTGGACTGGTCCCCAATCAGCCTTGAAGAACTTAAGTCCTTCACAAATGTTGTTATCATTAGGCCTATTTTAGCGGAAACGGTTTGTATGGAGCGTTCGGTCAATAGTCAAGCAAGACATTGGTAAGCCCAGTAAAGCTAGCTGGATTTAGCCCACTGCAGAGAATTAAAATAGCACATTCCGACTCTCTTCACCAGCCAACCACCGGGCTGCGTCGCATTAAATACGTCCGACCGTCAGTCAGCCCGTTCTAGACACCGTGCTACTGCCATGCCGAACTCAATTCATTTAACTTAAAAATATCGACACGGCGATAGCACGACGTTTAAAACCATTTGGCTAGAAAAAAATGAGTTTGGCACGGCACCATCCTTTGGATGTACAGAACTGCCGCACTATTGTCGTTCCGAACGGCAGTGGCACGGCACTGTTCTAAACGCCGTGCTATTTCTGTGGTGAACTCAATTCAATTCAAACGAAGTTAGGGCAAACATTTTTTAGGAATGCGCATGCTCACAATATACACACTCCCTCGTCCGCATCACAGGGAGTGAAATTGCGCGATATTTTTGATGTCACTGAAAAATTCATTGAACTACTTGAACTGCCTTGACATGGCCATCTACTCCAGATGAATTAAGGTTCGACTGTTAAGTTCGGCATTTAGAGCAGTCTGCCGTGCTGTAGACAAGCTATTGCCACACTTATTTCAATTAAGTTCGTCGCGGCAGTAGCACAGCGTCTAGAATGGGCCTGAGTCAATCAGAACATCATGGTTCTTTGCAGAACCCAAATTTGGCCTATTTCGTAGAAGAAACACGTCATTCACTAACCTCATCCTTGCATTCATCCCACGTGCACAGCTTAAATTCTAGCTCAATTATCGTCGTTCATTTGAACAGATGTGACAAGTTGTTGATTTTGATATTTGCCAGAAGGATAATCTCAACCTGACCAAATAAGGTTCAGCGTCAGATTTAGTGTGGGAGAATGATATAGACATAGTAAGAGAATATGAAACACTTCTGTGTGTGCTTCTCTTATTACTAGAAAGGTACAGAAGACTTGGTCACCATTGCCGGCAGCCGAGCCACAGCTGAGCTGATTGGACCGGACAAAGTAATGTGCACGCATGAGGAGCTGTCAGATCAGGGTATGTTATCAAAATAACGAACAATTATGTGGCTGTCCAACTTATACGTCTTCACAAACATTGTTGAGCACGGAGGGGAAAGAATGGAAAGTTGTCACTCTTTTAACTCCTTATTCAACAGTAAGTTCATATTTAGAGGATTCCCCAAATTTGTTCTAGTAAGGAGTTCCTTGTTCTTTTGTTACACTCCTTGAGTGGAACTTTTTATATATCTTTGAATATCTTTGAATTATATATTAATTTCCCCTGTATATGTAATGTGTGCCTACGGTGATGTGATAAGCACTTGCACTTGAGGCTTTTATTATCCATGACAATAGCATACACCATAGCGGAATCGTAAAGTTTGTAATCGTACTATTGCAGAAATTGAGTTGCCGCAAATCAACTATGAGAAGCACAACGGCCGACCCTACCGATATATCTACGGCATACCGAAACACCTAAAACAGGTGAGATAGCCTATAGTAAACGCAAAGATAAAAAACAATAATTTCCAATATAATTTAGATGTCAAAAATTGTTCTTATTGCACGGAGTTTGCAAATTTGCGTTTATACTGCATGATAAGAGGCGGGCTCAAACGGCTTCATTTATATTATTTCCTGTATATCGGCAAGTCATTTTCCCTCTGTTTTTATTTTCCAGGTCGTAAAAATTGATACGAGGTCCAAAACTCACGTTTCGTGGGGTTCATTGTCTGGGAGCTACTACCCATCGGAGGCGGTGTTTGTTGCCAACCCTGACGGCAAGGAGGAGGATGATGGTAAATCAGAGTCATGGTTAGGCCTATGGCGTAATTGAAGGGAAAAAAAGTTAATTATACAGAAAAATTACGAAAATCAATGAGTGAATGAGAAGAATCATACGTACGCTTTTCATTCACTTATACATTTGGGAATCGATGCTAATGAGGGAAGGTATTACTGCATGCAAACAAAATGAGGGATAATTATGTTCCCGGCGGCTATTCACTTTCAAAGTTCAAAAGGAAGGGACGACAACCAGTAGAAGCGAGGGAAGGGAACATACCTTGTTGGTTCTCAAACGCTATTTGTCAAAGAGCAGGAAAATGTCATTATTTACACCGATTGCACGGGTACATATTGACGGACATGTTAAGTAATAACAAATCTTTCTGTTGGTCAGTGAATTTGTGTTGAACGTAACGGTTTTTTTGTAACGTCCATATTTTTTAGTAGGATATCTCATTTTATCTTCACCAGGCGTGGTGCTATCCCTCGTGTGTGATGTTACTCCGGGCAAGAACCCATTCCTTCTGGTCCTTGACGCCCGGACTCTTGAAGAGCTGGCCCGTGCTGAGGTGGAAGAAATACCTTACGGAATTCACGGATTGTTTGTCAATCAACTCGAATAATTGATTGCGGAGTATTATGACGTCTCGCGTGTCTTGCGGAATACTCTAGTTTGCTACCGGCAAATAGAGTTGGTCCAAAACTGTATTTGAATTGTTATTCCCTTATTTTGCAGCCAGTCCCGTGACAAACGTAGTAAAGTTGCCGCGGTGGTGGAGGTCTCTATATCAACAAGATGGATCCAATCCAGTCTTGGCAAAATTGGCAGCGCTACCCAGGAAATTCCGAGCATACCTCACGAGCGCGATGATGCATTAGGTGAATGTACAGCCCACGAGAGTCAGAATTTGGCTGTCAATATTGATTTGATTCTTGTCGATAGCTACCTCGCTAAGCTTGTCACGAACCGGCTGTATAAGGAAAGTAAAATCCCGTCCAGTCTTGGACCACTGACCAGGACTACCGGCAAAACAATGATCTATGCTAATTATAGGCCTACTCATGTAATCTTGCCGTCGTTCTCATGGGCGTCGCCAGGATTTTTTCTAGAGGAGGCAAAACATACTTTCCCCGAAAAATTCCTGTATTTCTCAACATATTCTCGATTTCTCAGTTTTAGAGGGGGGCAGTGACATCCCCCCCAACTCATTAAATTTACACCACTATGACTTCGCGCCTCTTTTCTTTTTCTTCTTTCTTTTTCTTCTTTTTTGTTTTTTGTTTTTTGTTTGGCTTTTCCGGGGTGGGGTGGGGGGGGGGGGGGGGGGGGCAAGCGCCCCCTTCCCCCCCCCCCCCCGCGACGCCCATGGTCGTTCTATCTTTGCCGTATATTTGCTACGATTATTGAGATTTATATAAAAAAATTGTAAGTGCCTTCAGTTTTGTTATACATGTAATAGTTTCTGTCCAACGTTTAATATTCATAGAATTATAACATTATATGTTATGTTCTTATACTAAATCCAATTGGCAGAACATATTTTAAGTATGCCTATATTTAAGGCCAAATAAAAAACAAACCCAGTTGATGGTCCCCGCCCGCATTCTTTTTTGAAGCCGCATCCTATTTTTTGGTAATTTAAAAAAAAAAAATGTCTCACCTCAAAAAGCTAACTTTTTTTCTTGTATTTCGCTTTAATAAAATACATAGGCCTAGAACTGTTTAACATGAATATTTTGACTCTACTTACTATTAGGATAGCTAACTAAAAGCTGGCGGTCACTTTGAACCGAACTTGGAAGCCATTTTGAATTTAAATACTAAATACGCTTAACATGTATTTTTTTTCTTATTTGGCCAAAGTTTTTTTTCCACTGAAGTTCAGTTTTTATTTTACTGAATAAGGTCATCTATATCAAATGCCTCATCAAAATTGTGTCCAATTACGAGTGATTTATATTTCATTCGCTTAATCATCTGAGCTTGATAACTTATTGCTCTCATAGTCTAGGCGATATTTCCAAAAAAGGCTCATTTAGGGCAAGAAGAGGCATTTTTTAGTAGAAGTTGGTGACATAGCTATTTGACCTAATTCGGGGGTGCTGAATCCGAAAATGATGGTTATAAAGCTGGATTTTTAGTTGAAATATGCCTAATTTGCATACATTTTTAATATCTGTCGTGTAACATATTGTTTTGCCTATATTTGGGTATATTTTTTGTTATTTTATTTTTTGAAAAGTTCATTTTGGTGATTATACCTACACTTCCTTACTTCAATAACATTTTCTAAAGCATATAAAGTGACTGAATGGTTATGAGGACATAGTATAATAACAATCCAAAATGGCTACTATTATGCCCTAAAATTGCGCGCATTTTACCTTGTCTCTAGATATCACAAATAGTCTCGCCAAACGTCAGTATTGATGAGCTTCAAATTCACAAAGTTACTTACTGGCACAGACACCTAACAAAAATAAATGGGCCATTTTGTCAAAAATTATAACATCTTGATATTTAACAACTTCAAGAAAATCCCCCAAAATATAAGATTATTGTTGCTTAAAATAATTGTGTCAACGTCAAAACGTTTCCTTACCAATAATTGTTTTGGAATTTCTTGGAACGTGTTCAAGTCTCTCGCGTTAGGCAACCCTTCAACTACTTTTAGCCCAATTTACGGACATACACCCCGTCCCCCCCCCCCCCTTCCGTTTTATATCACATTTGTTCACATGATTTTCCCATAAGGTTTTTAATAGGGAAACTGTACCAGTAAGTAACATGGTGAATTTGAAGTTCATCGATACTAAGATTTGGCAAACTACTTGTGATATCTGGAGATAGCCTTTTTGGGTTGTTACTATGTCCTCATAATCATTCAGTCACTTGCTTTAGAAAATGTTATTGAAGTCAGGAAGTGTAAGTAGAATCACCAAAATAAACTTTTCAAAAAATAAAATAATAAATAATATACCCATTATGGGAAAAATATAATACACGACAGGTATTAAAGATTTATGCAAATTAGGCATATTTCCGCTAAAAATCCAGCTTGGTAACCATCATTTTCGGATTCAGCAACACTAAATTAGGTAAAATAGATACGTTACCAACTTCTACTCGAAAACGTCTCTTCATGTAACAATTTTTGAAATATCGCCTATAGTCTATTGACTTATTGAACTTAGTCATTTTGAGACTTTTTCCAATTAGTGCAAATATTATATTTAATATAAACTGTAAGTGGTGGCAATTTTAAAGTTTGAAATGGCTGTTACAGTTTGAGTGTATTGTCAAGGAGGTTATCATTGTATTCAGGATAAAATGAAAAATAAATAAATAAAAAAAATCTATTGTCTCAAAAGTCGATTATTTTGTCAATTTACATGTATGTGTACATGTATGATAGATGTTTAAAATGGCTGCAATTGGAAATTCAAAATGGCAACCTTAGGGTGCACTGAACTAATTCAAGCGAGAATTTCTACGCCAGCTGATTAGCATAAAAAGTGCCCCCACAATTTCTTTTGAAAACGGAGACCGTTTGGCTTTAAAAACGGTGGAATTGTTTAAATATACCCAAGGATCAACTCCCTGGTTTTGGGGCTTCCATCTGAGGGCAGGCTTGATAAAATCACGGATGAAAAAATTGGTCCTATTTGCCTGTGAAAGTGGAAGGGTGCCACTCTTAAAATGGCTACATGCAGGCTCGGGATCTATCACTTTTCGGGAGGTGATTTTATTTGGGTGTGAATATTTAAAAATGTAATTGGCTAATGTACGTAAAATTGAAAAGAAATGAAAAGATGAAAGACAAGACAATAATTTAATTTTTGTTTCAGAAACCCCAGTGATGTTGGCTTGCATGTTACTTGGCCCTGAACTTTGTTGATTTTACACTGTTTTCAATGGGGCTTGAATTAGTACAGTGGACCCCTTAGGGGCGCTGGAAAGAATGGACCAAGCGATTTTTTGGGACTTGTTGAGGTGTCCATAGGTGATCCTGAAAGTTTCAAAGAATACCTGAAATGCATATGGGCTCCTGCAAGCCACTTTAGGAATATGCCCCCTTTTTATGAAAAAAAGTGTGACACACCCCCATGGGGGAACTTTTATGATTTGACATGTAAACATTCTGTCCACCCGGTTTACTATTTACAAAATGGAAACAAAAACCCCAAAACACCAAAACAAATTGTCCTTCCTTCCCTTCTTTTTTAGTATCTTGGCCTACGTCCAACTAACTGCTGGTCTTTATGATAATTAGCTCAGCGCCTTCTGCATTTATGCATCATCATACATTTCGAAGGCAATTTAGTGAATCATTTTGTGTTGGTTAAGACAATTATATTAATAGCGTAATTAGCAAATACCTTCTTCTTTTTTAAAAGATTTGTTTGAATACTAACTTTTTGTATAATCAGGCCGAAAAAGGTACAGAGTCAACACAAAGAATTTGGAATTCAAAGGGCCAAAGAATTCAAGTTAAAATGAAACGGCCGTCAACTGCAAAAACAAAAAGCCACGTGCAAAACAACCCGCGCTTTTATACCTGGAAAGAAGAACGAAGGAGAGCTGTGAGAGTGTCTAAGCAAAGTTAGGACTTCAGCGAAAGAACTACAAGCTGTAAACTGGTAAAGGTACGTAGACTGAGTTGTGGAATGTCCTGGCCGTTTGGTAATTTCTTGAGGAGTCCGTGTTTATATTGTTGATATAAAACAGATCATTAAAACTCTCAAACATCCCATGGATCCAGATCTTAAAATCGCGGCGTATACAGTGCAGACCGACATCCTGGGCTAGTGGTTGACCCTGTCTTGTTCCGTTGCTCATGCGTAAGCTTGTACTACTTGTACTACTAGGGTGAGCATATTTAATGGCAGGGACGCGTAGCCATGCCTGCATCGTTGTGACCAGGAATCGGACCTTTTCATGTGTAATAAACAGCTCATTTACACATGCAAATATTTGAGTAAAACCAGTCAAATGTCAATCTCGAGCATGTCGAGGAAAAAGTAGACCTGCGGCAGATATACTTATTTATTTATAATAATTTATATTTTTGTTGGGGGGGGGGGGGGTTTCGGGTCGTCTGCCCCCCCCCCCCCCGGATGGCACCCCCCTGCATACAGGACTGATATGGGAGGAATTGTGATGCGCCTTGTAATGACAATCCCCACGTCTTGGGTAATCCGGTGGGGGGGGGGGACAATTGACAGGAGCATACTAATCAGTAATAGGCCCTATGTCCAGATTTTTTTGGAATTGGGGGGGGGGGGGGGGTTGAAGGGATGGTTAGCACACTGGCACCTCCCAAAAGTCCTAATTATTCACCCCCCATTACCGGTATGATACTAAATGCTATTGATCCTAATAAACTTGGTTTAAAATGCAGTAGCTAGCATTGTAGATTTCAAAATGTTATGGCTGGATGCCCCGCCCCCCACCCCCTTGCTAGACATGACTCCACCCCCTCATTTCATATCACCCCATCATCTATGCTATAGATTCGTATCCTAAAGGGTGAATTTTTTTTTATCAAAGTGTGATTTTGATTGCAATCTACTACTACTATAGTATAAACTACTGGAAACCTCCCCCCCCCCCACGTCTCCGAGCCTGCCGGTGTAAAATATATTGGTTAGGGGCGTTAACACGGATGTTTTAAAATGGGACAAAGAAGTAAAGGAATCAAAATAAAATCAATAGACTCCTCAAAGTATGTATATAAAAAATATCTATCCTTAAACAAAATCATTTTTTTCGCATCAAACACTCCCAACTAGATCAAAATATGAATTTTAAAAAAATCAAGAAGGAATTTGCCAAGGATAAGAAAAAAATAAACAATCGGATAAATTTTTTTAGGAGTGTAACCGGTGAAATATTTTAAGCATATTTCAATTATATCTTTTTGGCACCCTTTGGTTTTTTCCCATTTCTACTGAAAGTTTCATAAATATTTTATATCCCAATAGTCGGTACGTAGGATTGCTCTTTCACAAGTTTTGGATTGTTTTCATGTTCACACATTTTCCAAGTATTGAAATTATTATTATCTTCATTGATTTATGTAATGTACATGTTATACTGAGAGAAAATCTGTCCTTTGGCCCTGGGTGGGTCAGCCACATGTTCCAAGTTTCTGGAAAAGTAATCAACTCCAGGCAGGAGGCCTGACTACATGTACCTCATTATTATTCATTAGACTCTAGCTTTTCTACACATGTTACCTTGTTTTATCACCTCTTTAGCAATGAGTGTTTATTCATAATCCCTATGTGGTCTGCCCAGGAATGTGAGGCACTGGCCAACATCCTGTGGTGTGATTAGCTTTGCTTGATTCTGTCTTGTGTTAGCCACCGACAAGAGAACACCATGTTGTAAAGTCTTGTGATTTGAAGAAAATTTTACAGCGCTGGCTTCGCTTTGCTGCCATGCGGCCACTGAGAAATAAAAGCAGTAATATTTCCATCTCTAAACTTGAAGAGCCTGTTCCCCTGGTCACAGGAGAGTAAGAGAAAAACTAAAGTATACAAAAATGGATCAACAGGAAAAAACATAAACCAAGGGAAAAAAAGTTAGAAACTCACACAGTAGAGTGGGGAGTAGTGTAGCGAGACATTTTTCATTGGGGGTGGTGGGTTTCCAAATTGTGTCCCCCTGGATGGGCAGGATTGCTATGCTGATGGTTTAAACCACATCCGCATGCAGTGCACCACGCACAAGCGGGCCATGTGCCAAGAGCACATTCAGTGCATTGTATGATCAGATGAATGGCTAGCCCACACTATCCCCTCCCCCATGCAACTGGAAGGGGAGGGGGTATTAGTCAACCCAAAAAGTGGTAATTTTTATCTATACACAAAAAGTACTATGTTGCATTTACGACAGTAAGATGCTTATTCTAACAAAGGATTAAAGTTTGCACTTGTGACACATGTGTCATATTATGGTAGCTTTGATACATTGTGAGGCAACCAAGTTAAAAGAGCCAGTTGACAACACAGAAAAAAGAATTCCTGGGTTAGGCTAAAAAATAAATAAATATTCGGTCTCTGGTCAGACCAAAGTTCCGGAATTGACGCGGGGACGCGGCTTTTTTTTTTTCTTCAAGCTTGGATTGTACAGACAAGGGGGGTACTATTTTGCTTTTTTGGTGTCCTCATGTACATTGGTGTCCTCCATAATTTGCCTTGGTGCTCTCGATCATTTGCCTTGGTGCAATTTCCCATTCCTTGGTGCTCTTTGGTAAAAAAAAAATGAGGAGGTGCGGCAATAGAGGGCGCTGTTGGAGCTACCGCGGAACATTTTGGAAAAAAAAAAGATTGACGCGCATGATTAAAATCGACACGCGCGCTGACCAGAGACTGACTTATTTTTTTGTGTGGCCTTAATAGGTATTTTTTTTACAACCAACCCCCACCTGCCATCCACAGTATAAGTACCGGCTTATGCACCTTTCCATCCAAACCCATCAAAAAAATTTTTTTATAATTCAAGACTGAACAATATCGGTTTTGTTGCTTTTCTTATTTCAGACTGAAAACGACCAGCATCATGCCCAGAGGTAGCACGTACGCTGACAATTCTTACAACCGGAGCCTGGGGAGAGTCGGAGCAGCCATGGGGAGCATGCCTGCATCTTCATCCTCAAGATCATCAAGTGGTGGCGGTGGTTACTCTGCATCAGGAAGCCATTGCTACGTCGATAACTCCTTCAACAGAAGTGTCGGCAGGGTTGGTATGCAACTGGGTAGCATGCCTGTGTCTCGATTATCTTCCTCATCGTCTGAAAGTAGCGGCTACTCCTCTACTGGAAGCCCGGGGACCTACGTTGACAATGCTTTCAACCGAAGTGTTGGTCGAGTAGGCATGCCTCTAGGAAGCATGTCTGTGTCCAAGTCGCCTTCATCAAGAGCTTCATCCGCCAGTAGCACTAGCAGCGTTAGCACTTATGTAGCTGGAGAGGTGAAAGTCTACAAAGACAATGCCTTCAACAGACGCTTGGGTCGTGTTGGTGAGCAACTGGGATCAATGCCCAACAGTAGAGACAGCACAGCATCAGTTTCCGCAGAGAAGGTCTATGTGGACAACTCGGTGAATAGACAGCTGGGCAGAGTTGGCCTGAAGCTTGGAAGCATGCCGGTGTCCAGGACAGGAAGCACAAACAGCCGGAAGCAAACTCAGCCTACTCATGCAATGAAAAAGATGTACGATCAACTTCTAAAGCCCGTAAGTAGTTGCCAGGTTAAACCAAGGGTGAAGAAACCAAGGCGTCTGCAAAACTGCCTAGGAAATTAAGCTCCTGAGAAAGACAAATACTTGGCTGGTTGTAAGAAAAGCATGGGACAAATAGTCGAGTAGTAATACAAATAATTATATTTAAAATTTTGAATGGAAAATCAAATCCACATGTCAGTCTTACATATTGGACGGATTTCAATACAGGCCATTAGCAAAAAAAGGGTAAAGGCTGGAGTAAAAGCATCATTATGTGTCTCCCAATCATTCACCCACCACTCATCCCGTAGTAACAATTAACATGTTTGTTTAAGTTTGAAGTTACAACAGCCTTTATTTTTCACAACTTTTTAAAACTTGTCCTTATTACAAGATGTAAACCTTTTGACATTTCATTTCACAGGAAGTAGATGACGTTGGGGACTTGCCAACAGACATACCCCACACAGAGAGGGACTACATGTGCAACACTGTGTTCAGTCTCATCAGGCGTATGAACCAGGCTCTGAAATGGAAGGAATCCAACCAAGGTAAGCAGCCTCGCACAGCACTTAAGACCTTCAAGTACGATGGGCCAGTCGTCACGTTTGAGGAGATAGATATCCTGGAGAAGATCGGGCATGGGGGCTTCGGAGACGTCCACTTTGGCAAATACAAAGGCACTGTGGTTGCCGTCAAGAAGCTGCGGGTCCAACGCGTTTCACAGCGGCGACTGCGGCAGTTTCAAGAGGAAGTGGAGATTCTGTGTCGTTTAGACCATCCCCACATTGTCAGATTCATTGGCGCCAGCATCGTCACACCCAACCTGGCCATTCTGTTAGAGTACATGCAGAAGAGTCTTTACGAGGCTCTCCATGTCGAAGAGCAAGTCCATACTCCTAAGGAGCAGCGTCAGATCCTGCAACACATGGCTGATGGCTTGGCTTATCTGCATGGGAAGTGGGTGGCCCACTGTGATATGAAGTCCACTAATATTCTCCTGGATAGCACGGATGATGGCATTGTGGCCAAAATATCTGACTTTGGACTTAGTTTGATGAAAATTGAAACCGAAACATCGCAGTCCACAGCCAAAGTCCAAGGGGTTGGTACACCTAAGTACTCTGCACCGGAGGTACTGGCAGGGGAGGAGCTTGGTCTACCAGCCATGTGCAAGGCTGATGTCTACTCCATGTCTGTGGTGGCTTGGGAAGTCATCTGCCAAGAGGTGCCTTTCAGTGGTCTGAACATACATCAGCTGATGCGCCGTGTATGCAGTGGGGATGTCAACTTGAAGTTTCCTGAGGATGTCCAGGTTGGAGACGGTCTGAAGGATCTGCTGAAGAGGTGCTGGAGCCGTGATGCCAACAAGCGACCATCTGCACAAGCATTCAAGGATCGCTTGGCAAGGCTTGAAAGTATCCTGTAGACGGTAGCCAGCAATATGCATGCATTCAGACCCCCGTGGGTCATTTCATGAAGCTCTATATATTATTTCTTAAGTTACGTATCTTAAAATATGTTGACGTAGATAGTTAAGTAGACTAGAAAATTTACTTACTTCGCTTAGGGAGATATTGAATATTTATGTATTATTTACAGGGCCAGTTTCCGTCCAAAGCATGTTTTCTTATAGACCTGTAAATGGTTATCATGTATCAACGCCATCTTGGCCATTGGTAAAATTGATGTTCAACACAGTGCTAGAGAGTGAGTTTTATGGCACTTAGCGAATGAGCTGATGCGCCGTGATTGCACTCGTGTTTGCCAGTGCTGCACTTGCGGCGCTTCAATTTTGGACCTCAGTTGTCGATAGCGGATGCCTTGTTCTATGTTTGGATCCTGTTACAAGGACAGTTTATGTTTTATGTTCATGGGATATTGGGCCTAGCCTGACACTATTTACAGACCTGCCAAGAGTGGGAAGGGGAAGGGATGACCCCCAGTGGAAAATGTAGGGCCTCCAGTGGAAAATATAAGTCCCCCATCGTTGCTTTCAGTCAACGCAACAGACATTTGGTCTTTTTGACGCGAAGCCTGTTTTATCACATACAAATTCACCGGACAAAAGCCACAGATCTGGAGATTTGGTAAATAAATTCACAATACATGTTTGAGTAAGAAAGGAAAGGTGATTAACTTGAAGACCTCAATGTTCTTTTGTAAATAACTTACTGTTTGATGCAACTTCATTTCTTGGTTTTCATTTTAATCGTCCACCATTTTGTTTTGTGATTTTGAGAAAATTCTGAATATTCAATGGCTATTTACTTTTCACAAAATACATATTGCATTCCTTCTAACATGTCACTCTTTGTAGAACCAGTCAAAGCTATATGACATAGAGTAGATGGGATGTAAATTATGATGAGTTTCTTGAAATTCAGTCCATACTAAGAACAATTTAGGTAAGCCTGCTGTCGAAGTCTCGATTACGTCCTTTTAGTCGGACTGCCATGATAAGCAATAAGGAAAGGACCGTACTGTATTATATCACCAGATTATAAAGCATATCTGGAAGACTAAATCAAGAGGAAAGGCTCATCTTTTTGTATTTCAAATAACACACATTTTGATAAAATGTTTCTTTAGGTTGAGCGCTTGCCTTTTTTGCAACTCATTTTAATTAAATAAATTGTTTTTTTCCAATGAGTTATGTTTCGAGTTACAGACACTTGTTATGGCAGACTAGATGTGATGATGTTTACTTGACAAATTGTGGAAAGATGTTTTGATTACTTGTACTTTTGTTACATTTTGGGGCCATAAAAGCTTATTTAATTTGTTCTTTAACTGAAAATGTTATTCAGTGAGACGTTAGTCACAAGTTTGGCACTTGCACTTTGTTTTTTTTAACCAAGTTTATTAATAATCACTACATATTCCTTATAGGCCTAGGCTACTGCACATTTGAAATTATAGTTATCATGAAAATCAAGTACATGTGCATTATGTATTAAGATAAAAAGACTATCTATTTTTTAAAAACTTTTACATGCATGAACATGTAGACCAGAAGCTTAGTTTAGATTATTCAATCCTTAATTATTTGAGTTAAACCAGATCATATATTCTGTATTAAAAGCATTAGTCATTGTACATCCAGGTTATAGTATCAGGCATGCAACTTTTCCTCGGATCAGCTGATTTCCTCTTTTTTTACTTCCCATGTGTGCCATTGAAAATAGAAAAACACTGTACAAAGTCTGGGAAAAATTTGAATTTCCTCTTTTTTTGTGATTTCCCAGTTGAATGCCTGTAGTATACATTCATTTAGTGTTGCACACAGGAACATATTACTTTCGAGTCATTTTCAAGAACGATTCTGATCGATATTTGAGCGTATATATTGGTTCATTTAGTTTTGCCATGTAGACCTTGTTTCCTGAAAATTAACATGTATCAAACATATTAAAGTCTAAAATATATAGTATTGGAGTACAAGTTTACGGATGAGTAAGTATGTATGCTATTTTTATAAACATTTGAAAAGCATTTTAGGCCTAGGTTTTGAAGTTAATTGTGTTCAAGTTTGTTTAACTTTTGGGGGCATTTGGGGTCATTCTTTCTTTAACACACTTGATGTCTTTCAAAATCTGCCATTGTGCAGGACAAGCAAATACATTGTGCATAATATTTCAAGGTGCATCAAGACCTATTTGAAGTAATAATATAGTGGCTGTAGATCTTCCTCAATTTCAAAAACTCCATTTAAACCTATTGGATTTTAAAAGATCAGATTCTCCATAATGTTATATTTTAGATATATACACTTTATTTGAAACATGATACTCGTGTATACATAGCTTTAACTTTGTTATATTTAATCTTTAGTTGTTTATGCCTGGGTGGCATGTTGTTTTGCCTAGGAGTAGTTTTAAATGTGTTGGTGCAAATTCAAGAGCGGATCCAGAGAGGTTACTGCTGGAGGGCGGAGGGTGTGGGTGTGTGTGTGTGTGGGGTGGGGGGGGGGGGTTAGTGGAAGGAAATTTGAGAACATTGTGGTCACTGCCGGTGGCGTGGCGCCCCCTCTGCACCCCCCTGGATCCACCACTATTCAAGTAACATTTACTAATCTATGTGAATATTGGATATGTTCAAGATTAAACTGTTCTCTCTTGTGAAACAGATTTGTTGGTACTGAATTAGAAAGCTCAGTTGGTCTCTGATGTATACAATTACTTCTCCTGTTCAGATTTTTGGAAGTGAAATGTGTGGTTACTAACCCAGGCTATTTTTGGCAAAAATTTTCAAATTCCTCAAAATTTTTCAAATTCCTCCACTTCTACCTAAATAGAATTGGCCCAAGGGAATCACCACTTTTTATACATCTTGCCTGTTAATTTAACTGCACTTGAATAAATATTACCAAAGACAATGTTTACAAAAATGTATCAAACAAAGCAAAACACAAAACATCCCCCCCCCCAAAAAAAACCTTAAAAATATACCCAAAAAAAAGGATGATTGTCAACAATAGTTGTTGCATAGAGACCTATCAATAAAACATGACTTTGTTCCAGTTTATCCAAAAGTGTTTTGCGTGATGTATTTTTGATCTCTTTGTCATGGATTTGACAGAAAATACCGTATACTGCACCAATCAGAGCAGGCGAAAAAAAAGAAAAAGAACAACCAAACAATTAAACAACTGAATATAACAAAATATAACAAAACATTGTACATGTGCAGTATGAAGTTGCAGTTATCAGATGTGCAGTTCTATATGAAGATAGCACAGTTGAATAATAATGTGACACTAGGCATTGAATAAGTGGGACTATTGTACCAAGTAACAACCTGTAGACATAGGCCTTACACAAATTCCTCTTTAATGTGATGTCACATGACATATGATGATGTCATCATGACATCACTTTAATATTTATCTATAAAACATCCAGTGTAGGTACATTAGTTACAACCAAATCGGACAAATAGTTCTATAGAAATAAGCCTGAAAAAAGCACCTTTAATGTGACGTCACATGACGTGACGGAGGACCTGTCACCTCATGACATCATTTCAATTTTCATCAATAAAACATCCTGGTTTAACCAGTTCGCGTCGGAGGCCGTGTATACACGCACAAGTTTTGTGGTATTCGGAATGGATAAACATGCAGGGAGCTAGGCCATAAATATCTGTCAGCGACCCACTCGCAGCGAGCGAGGCCGGAAATATGAGTGTGCTGCCCGAGTTTCAACGGCCCGCCTGGCTTGAGGTCGAGTGAAAGTAATCCCGCGCCTCGTTCCGTTCTTGTCAAAATAATCCCGGCGGGAACTGGTTAAGTGCCGAAAGTGCCATTGCAGGATGAAAACTTGCACAAATGCTATGGATATGATCGAAGTCTGAAAAAGAAAAAAAGAGAAAAGAAAAAAATCTGAACGAAAACAAAGGCTAGCTATTTCGGCACGTTCCCAAAACAGCCAAATAATTTCCCCTTACAAAAAACCAACACTTATAACAAAAAGTTATTTTGATAAATACGTGTCAGAAGAGGAACACACAAGCATATTTTTGAGTGTTCCTTTTTTTCTGCACTGATTGAAAGCACAAAGTGACTGCCCTCTGAGCTACATTTGTAGTTTCAAGTTGCAAATAATCCTGCTCCAAATAGGTTAAGTTGTATGTTCAACCAGACACATGCTGTTTAGGGTACCGTATGTTGTGATATAGTTGCACGAACACATTGAACCTTGTAATAGAATAACAGTATATCAAATCCATCACCCGTATGTATGTATGACCACAAGTAAAATCGCAAGTCCATTCACAGAACAAAGTAATGAGCAAAGAATGAGCAAAGAATGAGCAATGACAAAGGAATGCCTTAATTAGACAGTTCATTGGGATACCTTGTGACTTAAATAATTGATCTGGGACTGTATGACGTGATGGACTTGTTAGGAATTGTTGAGACTTGTGAAGACTTGTGGACTTCAAACTAAGTCATTGACTTTGTTTCTGATATCTGTAACTGTGCCCTTATATCTCAAACTGCAGTATTTTCCAAGGACAGTTCCCATAACCATGGGTTCGTCTCTACCTTTGCCCTCATCTCTGGCAATAGAAGCAGTGTCTGTACCAATGGAAAAACTCTATACTTTTGGTCTTACGTCATACGTTTGAATGTTCCTAAAGCAGAACTTGTTCTTATGTTGAGCCAGAGACACGGAATCGGGGCCCTAATATCGTTTGAAACCGAATCTGGATTTTGAGCTGACGTTGGGAGTTTTATGACAAGTAACAGAAAATTCCTAACAGGCCTATATATATTGTTAAACTTGATCTTTAAACTTTTAACTTCACACATACTCAAATTTGTATCCTTGTGGAGACATCGCTTTGTTCTCGTGTACAAAATTGCGAGAGGATCGAAAGCTATTTTCAAAATGGTCCTATTTAACCAGAATTACTCTCCTGGGTTGAAATTCCGACCAAATATCCCTTACATAAAATACTTTTATTTGCGACAAATAAGTACATGTACCTTGGAAATTCCTAGTTTTTGAGTAAAATCCATATATCTATTTCTTGAAATCCTTGTGGAGACCTTGGATTCACCTTTAGAATTTGCATATTATATAGCCTGGAGACCTTTACAATCTTTTGTTCCTATAAAACCCGGGTCAGCACAAGGCATCATTTTTGAGACACAGAGTGCTGTACGTATACAATTGATCAACTTTTGAGAGCACTGCACTATATGAAGAGCTGGTGCAGTTGCATGACATGGGGTTTTCCCATGAACAGAAACGTTTAAATTTCTGGCCTTTGGGAAACCCCAACTCGTGTAATTGTATTGACTTCAGTGAAAGGTTGGGTTACAAGGAAATGAAAATTGTAAAGCATTATTTGGAAGAGCTCTTCAAAATTTTGGCGTGAACTGGTTAAGTGCCAAAAGTGCCATTGTAGGATGAAAACTTGCACAAATGCTATGGATATGATCGAAGTCTGAAAAAGAAAAAAAGAGAAAAGAAAAAAAACTTAACGAAAACAAAGGCTAGCTGTTTCGGCAAGTTCCCAAAACAGCCAAATACTTTCCCCTTACAAAAAAAACCAACACTTATTAAAAACAAAAAGTTATTTTGATAAATACGTGTCAGAAGAGGAACACACAAGCATATTTTTGAGTGTTCCTTTTTTTCTGCACTGATTGAAAGCACAAAGTGACTGCCCTCTGAGCTACAGTTGTAGTTTCAAGTTGCAAATAATCCTGCTCCAAATAGGTTAAGTTGTACGTTCAACCAGACTCATGCTGTTTAGGGTACCGTGTGTTGTGATATAGTTGCACGAACACATTGAACCTTGTAATAGAATAACAGTATATCAAATCCATCACCCGTATGTATGTATGACCACAAGTAAAATCGCAAGTCCATTCACAGGACAAAGTAACAAAGAATGAGCAATGACAAAGGAATGCCTTAATTAGACAATTCATTGGGATACCTTGTGACTTAAATAATTGATCTGGGACTGTATGACGTGATGGACTTGTTAGGAATTGTTTGAGACTTGTGAAGACATGTGGACTTCAAACTAAGTCATTGACTTTGTTTTTGATATCTGTAACTGTGCCATTATATCTCAGACTTCAGTATTTCCCAAGGACAGTTCCCATAACCATGGGTTCGTCTCTACCTTTGCCTTCATATCTGGCAATAGAATCAGTGTCTATACCAATGGAAAAAAACTCTATACGTTTGGTCTCAAGTCATACGTTTGAATGTTCCTAAAGCAGAACTTGTTCTTATGTTGAGCCAGAGACACGGAATCGGGGCCCTGATATCGTTTGAAACCGAATCTGGATTTTGAGCTGAGGTTGGGAGTTTTATGACAAGTAACGGACAATTCCTAAAAGGCCTATATAAATTGTTAAACTTGATCTTTAAACTTTTAACTTCACACATACTCAAATTTGTATCCTTGTGGAGACATCGCTTTGTTCTCGTGTACAAAATTGCGAGAGGGTCGAAAGCTATTTTCAAAATGGTCCTATTTAACCAGAATTACTTTCCTGGGTTGAAATTCCGACCAAATATCCCTTACATAAAATACTTTTATTTGCGACAGATAAGTACATGTACCTTGGAAATTCCTAGTTTTTTGAGTAAAATCTATATATCTATTTCTTGAAATCCTTGTGGAGACCTTGGATTCACCTTTAGAAATTGCATATTATATAGCCTGGAGACCTTTACAATCTTTTGTTCCTATAAAACCCAGGTCAGCACAAGGCATCATTTTGAGACACAGAGTGCTGTACGTATACAATTGATCAACTTTTGAGAGCACTGCACTATATGAAGAGCTGGTGCAGTTGCATGACATGGGGTTTTCCCATGAACAGAAACGTTTAAATTTCTGGCCCTTGGGAAACCCCAACTCGTGTAATTGTATTGACTTCAGTGAAAGGTTGGGTTACAAGGAAATGAAAATTGTAAAGCATTATTTGGAAGAGCTCTTCAAAATTTTGGCAGACCCGTTAACGTTATCACTCGACAAGTTGTCCCTGGAGTGACGGATATCAATAAGGAGATCTGCCTTGCTGGAATCAATCAGGTCAGTATATATGTTTCTCTCTTTCTCATAATTATCACCGTTGATAGGTGTGTGACAAAAAAAGTTCAATATCAACAGATTCTAATAAAATTGGCATCATTGTAGCTGGAGTTACCCAGCCCTAAATTTTATCATTCCTAAATGACAACCCAATGATAAAATTTAGGGCTGGGTAACTCCAGCTAGCATCATTGTAAAGATCTTGAAAGAGAAAGACATTTACAATGATATAAGGATCATCTTCCTGTGACATAAAATTATGACGTTTTGAATTCAGCAATTTTAGGCAATTTTTTTCATAAGGTAAACAAAAGAAATGTAAATTTGACTTGTGGGCCGTTTCCCGAATTTTCAAGGATTTTTTTGATTCCATACCTGACTTTCATGCTTTCTCGACATGATATCTGTGAATCCAAAATATGTGACTGCGAATCTTCCAATCTCTGTCAACATTGGCCAAAAGTTAGAAAACAAATGTAGACAAATTATTATTGCGGTTTGATAAAGTATTTTAATCACCTTTGGGTAAATTGTCGATGGTGTTTGTGAGCAAGAACAAACCCAAAATTCAAGAAAAAATTGTAAAACTTCTAGTTGTCAAATTCAGAAAATTCGAAAATGAGGTGGAAGAAGAATAGCCTACTTAAGCTACGTGCTAGAACAACTCCTGAGCTCCTAGATGGACCAAAAATAATGCCCTCGAGCGAAACGTAACAAAGTGATACAGCTACACGGTCTTCGTCACGGCGATTGATCCCAAAATTGAGGCCGAGGCCAAAGAGATTAGTAGTAATGCATGGGATTGCCACATACTTACCATTGATGGATATAAATGTTCCAGTTTCTGTTCGTTTCGTTTCGGTAAGAGTTATTTTGTGTAATTTTGTAGATGTTCTGCTTCTCATTTCAGACTTGACCAGACTGAAGAACAAAGACAATAATGCCTAGAGGAAAAACATATGCTGACAACTCCTACAACAGGAGTATTGGGAGAGTGGGAGCACCAATGGGGAGCATGCCTGTGTCTGCATCATCAAGATCATCAAGCGGGGGTGGTTACTCGTCATTCGGTAGCCACGGATCGTACGTAGACAACTCCTATAATAGGAGTGTGGGAAGGGTAGGGATGCCGCTGGGTAGCATGCCAATGTCTGCATCATCAAGCGGGGGTGGTTACTCGTCATTCGGTAGCCACGGATCGTACGTAGACAACTCCTATAATAGGAGTGTGGGAAGGGTAGGGATGCCGCTGGGTAGCATGCCAATGTCTGCATCATCAAGCGGGGGTGGTTACTCGTCATCCGGAAGCCACGGATCGTACGTAGACAACTCCTATAATAGGAGTGTGGGAAGGGTAGGGATGCCGCTGGGTAGCATGCCAGTGTCTCGATCATCTTCTGCATCATCAGAATCCAGTCGCAACTCATCCGTTGGAAGCTCAGATACCTACGTTGATAACGCTTACAACAGAAGTGTTGGCCGGGTTGGCATGCCGAAAGGTAGCATGCCAGTCTCCAAGTCATCAGTTGGAGCCTCACTTGCCTGCGGCACTGTTAAAAGTTATAGCAACAAGACTTCTGCCAGCTCGGGAGACTCGTCCAAATCTGCTGCGGAGGGGAAGGTGTGTATTGATTGGTTTTGTTTTTGATTTGCATAGTCTTGATGACATCCTTATTTCCACTCCCACTTTGGTTGTTGATGACCCAGTAAACAGCTGCAGTCTTCTAGTGCATTTCACATTAAGTTCCCAGTTCTCTTCTACATTTTTCTTAACTTGTACTTGGAGCCATTTTTTTCTGAAAGTAATTTGTTCTCAACACAAAAGTATTCCACCCTTAGCTTCTATTAGTGTTTTGTAAGTTGCAATTATTGCTCATTTAACAGAAGTTGTTGAGTCATGTTTATGTTACCACATCACAGAAGCAACATCACTTTTCAAAGTGCAGTTGTTGATATTTATATATGTATAAATTGATCTTGTACAGTAATAAGTTTATGTCAATTTGGTACCATAATTTATTTTGGCATAATGGAAAAACCCTGTATATTCCATCTGCAGAACAGTCAAAATTTTCTCTTTCCACCTAGTTATACAAAGATAATGCTTTCAACCGAGCATTGGGTCGAGCTGGCATGCCGCTTGGGTCCATGCCCCACAGTCGAGTACCCACAAGGAGCGAGTACAGCCGCAGCCAAGCATCCAAATCCTCAGAGAAGTTCTACGTGGACAACCCCATGAACCGAAAGCTGGGCAGGGTGGGCCTGAAGATTGGAACCATGCCGGTGTCTAGGACAGGAAGCAAAAACAGCCGAAAGCAAAAACAGCCTACACATGTCATGAATGAGATGTTTGATCAACTGCAGAGGGCTGGACATGTAAGTGCTTACCAATGTAACATGTCAAGATTTTTCGATAAATTTGTTACAACAATCTCCATAATTTAACCTCAATCATTGTTTCATTAACTTGTGACTAGTCAGATGAAATAAGTTTATAAAGCTTCCTTGCCTGCAATTTATTTTCCTGGTTGGAATACTAACAAGCCGTACATTTGTGTAGGGCTCAAGTTCTTCTGTTGATTTTCTGTGGAATGTCCTTTGGGTTTACTGACCCACCTCTAAAGCTGAATGTTCCTTCATCATCTTCTTCCCCAGGTATCTTCAGGCTTCTGACCGACATTGCCTGGGCCCATTGTTTTACGTTGTTTACAATTATTTTTACAGGAAGCAGATGACTTTGAAAAATTTCCAGACGATGTCCCTGAGAAAGAGTTGGAATACATGTGCGACACTGTGTTCAGTCTCATCAGACGTATGAACCAGGCTCTGAAGTGGAAGGAATCCAACCAAGGTAAGCAGCCTCGCACAGCACTTAAGACCTTTAAGTACGATGGGCCAGTCGTCAAGTTTGAGGAGATAGAGATCCTGGAGAAGATCGGGCATGGGGGCTTTGGAGACGTCCACTTTGGCAAATACAAAGGCACCGTGGTTGCTGTCAAGAAGCTGCGGGTCCAGCGCGTGTCACAGCGGCGACTGCGGCAGTTTCAAGAGGAAGTGGAGATTCTGTATCGCTTAGACCATCCCCACATTGTCAGGTTCATTGGCGCCAGCATAATCACACCAAATCTGGCCATTCTGATGGAGTACATGCAAAAGAGTCTTTTCGATGCTCTCCATGTTCAAGAGCAAGATTTCACTTCTAAGGAGCAGCACCAGATCCTGCTACACATGGCTGATGGTTTGGCTTATCTGCATGGGTTTTCGGTGGCCCACTGTGACATGAAGTCCACTAATATTCTCCTGGATAGCACCGACGATGGCATTGTGGCAAAGATATCCGACTTTGGCCTCAGCATGATGAAGAGCGAAACAGAAACATCGCAGTCCACAGCCAAAGTCCAAGGAGTTGGTACACCTAAGTACTCAGCACCGGAGGTACTGGCAGGGGAGGAGCTTGGTCTGCCGGCCATGTGCAAGGCTGATGTCTACTCAATGTCTGTGGTGGCTTGGGAAGTCATCTGCCAAGAGGTGCCTTTCAGTGGTCTGAACATACATCAGCTGATGCGCCGTGTAAGCAGTGGGGATGTCAACCTGAAGTTTCCCGAGGATGTCCAGGTTGGAGACGGTCTGAAGGATCTGCTGAAGGAGTGCTGGAGCCGTGATGCCAACAAGCGACCATCTACGCAAGCATTCAAGGACCGCTTGGAACAGCTGAATAGTATCTTGTAAACCAGCATATGTGCATTATGCATGCACTCCTGGGTCAATTCATGAAGCTCTTTGATTGATTGTGTCACAAGTTACATATCTTAAATTACCTACAATGTTTAGTAGACTAGAAAATATAGTTACTTCTCTTGAGGAGAAATCGTATATTCATATATTATTTACAGGGCATATATTTTCTTTCTAAGCGTGTGATTTTGTTGGAACAGCTGGATAATATGTTGTAAACGGTAGCCAACATATATCTGCATTATGCATGCAGGCCCTTCATGCCACTCTTTGCTCATTTCACGAAGCTGTTCAATTGATTATGTCATAAGTTACGCATCTAAAATTACGTAGAACGTTTAGTAGACTAGAAAATTTAGTTAGTTCTCTTGGGGAGAAATTGAATATTCATATATCATTTACAGGGCTATATTTTCTTTCTAAGCGTGTGTTTTTAATTGCATGAGCATGTCGATTATAAGTTTTGTGCAACGGTGCCCTTTCTTATCTTTCTAAGCTTAATGAGCAAGTGATATATGTATTCAACATGTTTATTCATAAGTATATCAAACACAATTTTAAGTAGCATTAAAAGCAAGCTATTTTAATTTTATTTAGTTTTGCTCAAACTTTAAGGCCAAAAAAAAAAGTCTCCGGTTTCTGGTATGGAGCTTGCCCCAAAAGTGGTGCGGCGACGCGGCTTTTTTTTTTTTTTTTTTACCTGGTCTTTTTTTTTTTGGCTTCAAATGTCGGCTGATGACTGCAAATGGTGTCCGACTAAACTTAGTGCAAATATATGGGAGTCCAGAGAGGCCACATAAAGCTTATTCTCGATCATAACCCCATCAGCATCTAAAAACACGTTAAAATTGGGCAGCAGCAGGATTCCAGTCAAACCAGTGAGTTTGGCAGTTTTGAGACATCATCTTGTATAGAACAATAAACTTTTTCATTTTGCCGACGCGCATGGCTACGGCGACGCGCGCTTATACCAGAAACCGGAGACTTTTTTTTTTGGCCTAATACATTTTTTTTCAGGCCAATTCTGACAGCTATTAGATTATTAAGCCATAGAGGATTGCATGCACGTCGGCATATAATTTCATGCTCAGTTACCATAACATTTTCTTAGTCAAAAAGATTCTGACAGTTATTATATGGTATAACTTCCTATAATTTGCTAATGGTTTACATGTACATGTATATTGGTATCGCGTATTACTTGTATTTTCATATTTTTAATGATTTCGGAGTTTTTATAGTCATTGTTGCTTCAACATAAGTACTGCACTTATCTGTAGTGTAAAAACAATTGTTTAATTAAAAAACATGTTTCTGACACAGATTCACAGCCCCTGAATTCACACAGTGCAACACTGCATACTACACAGGCCTAGAAAATGTTAGTAAAAAATAAAAGTACTATTAATAGATGATCTTTAATGACAGGTGATGATGGGAAAACCCAACCAATTTATAGTTTAAAACTTAACCATTTTTATACAATGTTTGTGTATGCAAGTATTCGCCTATAGTTTTAAGTAGTCATGCTTTAAAAAGTATTTAAGGTTTAGTACAGGCCTTCTTGTATACTTAAATGTTTAACTTTTAGTGTTTCTATAGACCGCTTGCAGACGCGATCGATAATTGACGCGCGAAGGTGCACGGCGCCATGTTATGGGACAAAATGTGCATGGATAGATATACGCCTGTCCCACAACATGGCGTCGCGCGCCTTCTCGCGTCGATTATCGAACGTATCTGCAAGCGGTCTATTAAATAGGTTTCTCTCAAATGACGTCACTTCCTATAGATTGCCATGTACATCAGCATTTTGGGCGTCAAATCGGCTGCGCCGTATTTCGAAGAGTTTTCCGCACTGCGCGCATACGCACCTGATGGCGTTGAACACGCAGTTGTAATTTTCCTACAAAGATGGCATCCTATGAGAGAGATCAATGGACAATGTTGTTTAACATTAAATGCTGTTTTAAAAATCCTAAATATAATAGCTAATACGGTGTCTATACAGAATTATACCATACATGTACTTTTTGAAACCTGATACATTGCAATGAGGACACCAAGTCAACTTACTTAATTTGTTTTCTGTAGTGACATGTTTTAATAGTCATCATTCACTGACACACATTAAAGTAGTATTAAAAAACCACCTTACAGTTTTTACTGTAATACAATTGAGGTCAAATGTTCAACATAAACCTTTTTAGTACACTGTAACCCGAAGTCACAATTTGACATAGTCATGCATTCCTTGTTTCATTCTGTTCGCACTTTGTAGACATTTTGGCGCACTTTTAAAACTTGTATTTTCACCTGAATCATGAAATAGTTTGCTGCTTTATCAAAAAGAACAATATATTGTTGACTGATTAATCATTCAATTATTTCCACCAAAATATTGAGGTCCGAGTGAAAACATTTTCATTCCCAAACAACGCTTATACATAAGTATATTGAATACAGTAGAGAGCGCCACTATAACGAACATGATGGGGTCAATAATAAATGTTCCTTATAGTGGTTGATCATTATAGTGATTGTGCATTATAATAGAATTGACTATTTCAGGAGCCAGAGGGGATGCTCGTTATATCCAAATGTTCGTTTTAGCGGTGTTCGTTATAGTAATGTTCCACTGTAGTACAATGGTACTTGGTAGAGCACTGGTATGTTTTCCAGAGGTGGCAGGTTCGAGTCTTCTTGCGATAACCTTGCCTTACTTTATCAAACTGAACACTAAATTCAGATGTAAGAATAATATATTCACAGATTGCAATTCGGCTGGCTAGGCTTTGATTGACCTCTCCATAAAACTGTGCAGTAAATAAGCCCTGCATTGCATCTGAACAATACACCTGTTACACAATTCAATCAAACGAACATTTACTAACAACCAACTAAACAACTAACCAACCAACAAAGTTACTGTTAGTATGTATAAATAGTACAAACACAAAACCACACAGAGATATAAATGCAAGTATATATGTTATAAAATTCTGAATACAGTTTTTGCAGGTTACTGGTTAATAACATCTGTACTACACTAGTAATTTACGGTGTGTCACATTACAATAAACATATACATTCTTGTTTTTTTTGCCGAGGCACGCACTTGGGTTTTTGTTTCCTGATCAGTACATGTACATGAGCCACTTAATTCCAAATTAGCACATCCATTCTGGGTGTTGAGAGCATAATTATCACTTGAAAGCATTTGAATTGTGAATATCCACCTTGACAATGTAGTTATTTCAATGGTTGCTCATTGTCTGGTGTACATAAGCTAAATGATATTAGGTAAGATAGTCCCTGTTTGAAAAACCCCGTTTACAATTACACATGCTCCTATGGACGAAGCAGCTGAATCTATTTCTGGTTCTGGTTCTTTATGCGGGTGAAGTGTGAAATTTGGACTGTATGAAGTATGGACACACTTCAGTGGTGGATCCAGCTTTTACGAGGGGGGGGGGGGGCAAAAGTGGAGGTAAAACTCAAACATACAAGGGGGCACACTGGCTGCGCCCCTGGATCCGCTTTTGCACTTAAGATAAAATTTTGCATTGAAATGGATATACAACCTTCAAATGGGCAAGTCCATAATACACTTGTGCTTAATCTGTCTGAAACACTGGATTTTTTGCTGGCTATTTCTCTTGAACAAAAGCTGCATATGAATTCTCATTAAGAAAAAAACAAAATTAAATGAAACCTAAAGCTAGTTAAAATAAGTAAATATAATAAAATTAAAACACTTTTGGCATAAAATAATGCAAAGGAAATGTACCATGAAATGATGGATTTTCTCTCCCATGAAAGGAACTTTTTAAGTGAAACAAAATAAGTGTCTATGTATATACATGTACACAATAGGAATTGCACTTCATGTTTGGTCATATGAATTACAATCAACCAAATTTGTGCATAATTATTATGAAATGAGCCTCTTCACCCTGGTCAGTAGAGTTTCATACACGTTTGGTTTGCTTTATACGGTGCAAGACCACCCCATTGAGGGCGCTATTACAGTCCGAGTTTCAAGGATTATCCTATGATTTTTTTTCTCTCAATTCAAATGCACAGAATATGATAGATGATCATACGTGTACATTTTCTCTAATTAGGATAGACTTTTGCCACCTTCATTATGAATATCATGAAGACTTTTCTTGTTTGTCTTTGTTCCAGCATTTTTGGTGAAACTTAAAATTGTAATACATGTAGCTTTATTTGTGCACAAACTACTGTATCAATGTCAAACATTTTTAATTTTGACTTGGAAGCATATGACACACTAATGAACATATAACATCACACTTGGAAGTTGAAACTCAAGATAAATGTTTGGTCAATGTGGTAACATTATAAATTCATGCATTTGGAGCATTTAAAAAAAATTACATATGATAAAAATATATCTACACTGTTTTTGCCAACAAAAATCCTAAATGTAAAGTATGAGTGGTGTCATAAACGTGCTCATCATAAATACTGATGAATATTAAATGGCAGAAATACAAAGTTCAAGACATGTTTTATTGTTTGAAGCTAATGCTGACAACAGGCTTGGACGACAACATGCAAGAACAAGGTTTTATTTACACAAGGAAGTCCAAAAGCATGGAAAACTATCAAAAGAGTCGGGGCCATTTTCCATAATTTAACATCTATTCTTCGAATCTATTAGTGAAGAAAGCTTTACAGCCAGATGTGGACGTACAATGTACAAGCGGCCACACAAATTGCATATAATTTAAAACTTTCATGTAGTTGTAGTAAAATACAACTTTTTTTTCAACACGTTGCTCAGTCTAAAAAAATGTGAAAATTTACAGTGATTTTTTTTTTGGGGGGGGGGAGTTTCATGTACATGTAGATGCATGCTTCCAAAAGCATAGCGTGAAATGGAAAATCTGTGAATCCAAAACATGTCTTGGGATCCTTGTTTTTTAATCTTTACATTTCTGTTTTCTTTAAGTTCTTCATAATGCTTCATGGTAATACCTAGTCTGAGTATCACCCGTTATCCACGGAGCCAAGTCCCCTGTATAATGTCAAAAGCATGCAGATTATGCAATCTCGCGCCTCAGCCAATCGGGGTCGACTTTACTAAATCGTGACGTCATTTCATTCCTAAATCAGGACTAAACGTTTGATTGGTCAATTCGAATGCAGTGTTTTGTAATACCACAACAGATATAATACAGAGTGCGTTACCACAGCCTTTGTTGCTGTGTCTAGGGCATTTGTTTTTAATCCATGTTCGATGACGCAACAACGGTGAATGACCGAACGCCCGATAAAGAAACCGCCCACTGATTGGTCAAAATCTACAGGTCAAGATGCGGTTGTCTTGCATAATGAATCAGTGAATCTGCTCAAATGTTATAGATAGACTAGGTAATGCCTTGTGTGCTACAACATCTGTTTTCATTGCTCAGAACAATTAATATTTTTAAACCCTGTTTTTTTTACCATCCAAATTGCAGATGTCTTGCTCACCACAAATATTCAACAATATGATGTACAGCCACAAAAACCAACTTGCTCGAAATGTTGCATTTATGTGCAGAATCATCACACCAATGGACTGAATTTTCATTTGAATACATTTTCACACAACTATGTACAACCTTCACAAGTGGAGAAGAGTTTCTGGAGTTGTATTCATGTCATTTTGTGACTGTTTCGGATGTCACAAAAATGTTTTGTGCGAAGAGAAAAGCAAACAAAATGCACAACAATTCAAACTCATTGAAAATTCATTAGAAGAAAAATGAATATGTTGAAGAGTACGGATAGTTTATCTTTAAAATAAAAAATTGGATAAAGTTTCTGATTTTTGGTGGTCCCACTCAGAGGGGCCAGCCTATAGTCCTTTTTGTACCTACCTGACTGACTGACTGACTCCCAGACTGACTAACTGACTGACTGTCACATATGACTTAGACTTGCTTCAGTCTCACCTTCGCCCAAAGGTTTGAAGTGGGATTAGCCATAATCCGGCCCATTGTGTAGACCAGATGCAAGAAAACACTTCCAGGGAGTAGCCATTCCAAATCAATTGAATAGAATTTGTACATACTTGGTCCAGCTTTAATAGGCTTGCCCTGTCTTGTGTTTCAAATGACACCTTCACATCCGACCCTTGGTCTTGGTTGTCTCACTAATCCGGAGGGGGAGGGGAGAAAGGAGGGAGGGGGATGTTCCCGCCAGACTAAAATGCTGTGGTTGGGTTAATGATGGGCGAGTCGTAGACCCAATCGACGGGCACCCATTGTCGCTTGGAGGCCATGTCGTCGATGGCTTCACGGAGCTTGTTGAAGGACTCCTCTAAGTTGCTGTTGACGACGATGAGATCAAAGAGGTGGTTGTAGGCTCGCTCCATGCGTGCACTCTCATCAACGGTCTTCTGAAGATCCTGGTCCTATGAAAAATAAATAAGAATTAATGCAACCAGGCACGAAAGGGGTGGGTTGGTGTAGCATCCTAGAGAATTTCATCTGTTCTCCACCATACGACTATAAAACAAAAACTGTTTTACTTATTAACCCTAACCATGCATAATGCAACAGAAAGCAGCAGTTGTACAAACTTGTTGCATATTGTTGCATACAGCAGTCAAGTCCAGTCCCACGTTTCTTGTATCTTGTTGCATTTAGCATGGTAACTGATCACAATGCCAGAGCTGGTACAACAGAATCCAATGTTGCATTTAGCAGTCAAGTCCCATGTTTCATTGCATCTTGTTGCATTTAGCATGGCAACTGCTCATAGTGCTTGGGCTAGTGCAACATAATCCAGTTGCATTTTGCAGGCTTATGTTTTTAGATGTGCTGGATTTTGTTGCATTTTGCAGGGTATCTGGAGAAAACCAATCCTCAAATTATATTTTATTTTTAATTTGGACACCTTTGAATATCAGATCTGCTTGTCAAATATTCTGAATTGGAAAGACCATGCCACCTGCAACGTCATGCCAACAGGCAACCACAGGCAAGACAAACACCTACACGAACAACGCATCTTTCTCATGATATTCTGCCCACATGGAAATGTCAACCTTTTTAATGTTTCATATTTCACGAGATATACACGCAGTACAGAAAAGAACAGTTTGTTGAAAATTAGCATTACATGAATAAAACATGGGATAGGAGTGACATGGTCGGTAGGAAATCTTTCTTTCTGTTTTGCAAGCACACACATTATACAAATATTGAATGCTTCGAGTGGTGTAGTAAAACTAGCCTCCCGAGGTGATCCATGGACCATTCTATTTTCCCGAGGCGAAGCCGAGGGAAAATAGAATGGTCCATGGATCACCGAGGGAGGCTAGTTTTACTTCACCACGAGATAAAGCATTCAATATTTGTTTTATAACACTTCACCCACAGATTCTGCTTGATTTTAATATTTTACATTATTTAAATCTGAACACAGTTGAAATAAACTTCAATTTCAATACAAAATTGGTGGAAAATGTATTTCTCTCTTAAAAACTAACCCTTCACGAAATGTTTGAACCCAAGTCTGCGGCGCGCTCTCTTTGGAATAATACGCGCTACGCACAACGCGCAACGTGCACACCAGCATGCATTTGCACACAAATACCGCGCCGTGGAAATAGTACTTTGGTTGCTAATGGTATAGTACTTTGGTTGCTATGCGCATAGTACTTTTGGCCGTGCACAGAAAGATAGCAAAATTAGAAAGTAACATGTGACTCGCTCTCGGCCAATCAAGACACAGAATCTGTGGGTGAGGTGTTATAAAATACGATATTGTACACAACAGTTTTCTACGTACATAGTCAAATCACACTTCCAATAACCAATGATAACTGTACAGTATCTGCTCCAGTGCATGAGCACTGACCAATCCATAATGAAGACTCAAATGTTGCCCAAAATCTATATCCCCTTCCATATGAATGATATTTCCACCTTAGGCCAAGTTCAGGCAAGGACCATTAGTCGACTAGTGGTTGATTTGTGACGTACCTTACGCCTGCGCACTGATAGCAACGTACGAACGTCTCTAGTCAAACGCTGGTCAAAATGTCATTGCAAAACTTCTGGATCCTGGCTCTCTGCTAGTGTTATGAATGCACGCGGCTATTGGTTACCAGCGAAGCAACTAACCCCAGTAGGCTGATTCCAAATAGTCGACTAGCGTAGTCAACCACCGTCGACTAGACAGAGTTCGGGCAAACGTTAGTTAACCATTGGTCAACTATAGTCCTTGCGCGAACTTGGCCTACGTTACATTTATAGAGTTGTGTGACTCATGACTCAGACTCAAGTCGGACCCTAATCCCATTTTTCGAAACTGGGACTTGGAGTTGAGTCATGAGGATAAAGGACTTGGACTGGTGTTGCATGACTCGTGACTCAACCAAAATTACTGCAAATCACTTATTTTTTTAACAATTACAAATTATTTTGAGGACGATCCTTTCCTGAGCAAGCGATAAAGTCAGTGTGGTGTAGAAGAAACGCATCTACCGTAATTTTCGGAATATAAGCCGCGGCTTATACGTTGAATTTGCCCATGAAAATGTTTACTGCAGCTTATACACAGGGCGGCTTATACGCTGAGCCTTAAAGAATAAAATTGAGATTCAAATGTGTATTTAATGTACTGGTATAAGAAAAGATCTGTTGCTGAAATGAATTATCAATTAAGAAAGTCATTAACAAACCGAAAGCACGTCCCACGAAAATATACCGAGCGGTAAAAAGTACGGCAGGCCGGCCGACCATGCGTGAGTGAAAGCTGTCTTCGACAACCGGCCAGCTGTATGTGATACTGCTGCATGCCATGCTGCATGCATTCCCCATGGACCACACCATTTGTGGTAATAAAGGGGTTTACTTTCTTGGGAACAATAACTTCCAATATTTTAGCTGTTTAAAAAAAGAAAAAAGACAACTAAATACTTTTTATGGAGTTCAAAACATTTCGTTATTCGATAATCAGTTGTTCAACGTCACAATATAATTTATTTTTCTTGAAATGTATTCAAGAAATGATGTAAAACTCAAAACAGGGGCTAAATCACCCCTAACGAAATTAATGATTCATCCATAAAAATGTCAGCATCGTGTTGACTGTTTTCGAAGAAAGTTACGATCGAAACTTGAATTTTTGACGTTACTACTCGTTAGTAATCACAACAATTTTATAGTTTTGTTGTAAAAACGGACCTTTTTATTCTTAGGACAAAACAAATCAGCATCTGTTGCCATAAAGCAAGATTTTTAGCGCTCCAGTCAGACAACACACGGTGGGTAGCATACTCTCTCAAGTGCTGGGGGAAAATGTTGTCATTTGCCGGCGCAGGCTGCCGGTGCCGGGCCATGCACTAAGTTTTAGGCCGGTGACCGGAGGGGCCAGCCGGCAGCAATTCCTGGTGTTCATTTCTCATCATCAGTTTCGATATTTGTTTGTCATCGACTGTAAATGATTTGATATAACTTTTGTGGCCCTTTTTAGAGCTTTCGTAGTGTAAATGGAACTGGATCAGCTCATTTTGACTAGAATTTGGAGGTCTTACAACATTGAAACCGTTGCGGTCGGTGCGGCTAATACGCCGATTTCAAATCTTAATTTGCAGATTTTTGCGTGCTGCGGCTTATATGCCGCGTGGCTTATATTCCGAAATTACGGTAAGTATCTACATATATAGCGGGTGCAGCTAGAAATTTATTTCTAATATCTAGTACTTAAAGGTGACTCGTGACTCGGATTCAACCTTTGTGACTCGGACTCGACCTGCATGACTCGGACTTGGAGAGGTGACTCAAACTCAACCTTTGTGACTTGTGACTCTGATTCGACCTGCATGACTCGGACTCAATGTTTGGTGACTCAAATGCAAGTCTGCATTTATACATGGAAAGCCGTGATGCAATCTGCCTTACCGTGACGTGTTTCTCCGTCTCCCCAGTGGCTTTGGCAGCCTCATGGATCATCCGCAGCGACTCCAGCTCCGGCGCTTTGATGAATACCACCAATGGAAGGAACTCGCTGTTTCTGAGTAGCTTCAAGGACTGACAAGAAAGGACACACAAATATGAATCCATATCAACGTAACTCTGCAGGCATTATTTTTTAGCTAGGAACCATCATGAATCAGTCAAAATCCTCTGACTTGGAGAAACCACTGCTTTCCACACAAATCTTAAAAAGAAATTCCATGACTTTTCCATAACATTTCCAGGGCTTTCCAAGACCAATTGTTCTGCTTTTCCCATGTCTTTTATATCAATTTTCCAAACTGTATCAAATTTCAATGACTTTCCATAATTCAAATATTTTCCAGGATTTTTGCCACTAGTGCAGGGCCAGTCGAAAATGTGGCTGTTTGGAAGGGGCAGTTGAGAACTGCAGCTCGTGCAAGCAACGCACATGATTCAATGATGCTCCCACAGGTTGAACGCACACTCGCAGGTTTAACGCATACATGTCGTCACCCCCTGGCACTGATATTTACCCTTACTGGACAATATGGTATCGCCCTACAGTAAGAGTTGCTCAGTCGACCGCCTACATACAGTGCAGAGATGGTTGCTCAGTTGACTGCAAAATGCATGTGCCCGTGCATGCCCACTCACGTACATGTACGTACGGAGACATGTGTGCAGTGCTGTTCACCTATACTGCACAATGGTATCGCCCTACAATGTGCCCGTCCTTTTTCCATTGTTGCGTCATATTGAGCACGCGCGCTTTAGCTCGTACATGACGTAAACAATTGAAAAAGAACATCAGTGCGTGGTGGTCTAGGCTATACTGCCAAGTTTGCCTCCGAAAATACTGCTTTTTTTTAAAGCTTTTTCAGGAACTGCTCATCCAAACAACTTCCAACTTGGCACTGCACATTCTGTGGCCCCGAGCAATACACTCGCCGATTTTCAACTTCATACAGTGCCCGGTTCTGGAGATAATCGACGGACAGACAGAGATTCCTTGAATTATAGTAAGATAACAGTGGGAACCCTACTTTCTTACGAAAGACAACTGCTGCCGTGTGCCCACCCTCGGGTGCATTCATATATGAAATTACATTTTGATGGAATTTTTGTGTGTGAATTCTGAGTTGTCTGCTTGTGAAACAGTGCGCTTGCCTGTGCGTAGCAATCACAGGCTCTTACGACTAGGCCAGAAGAGCGCCACCTGCTGTTCCTTTGTGGAGTCCACAGTGTTAAAGATTTAAAGGTGCTTTGCTGTAAGCATAAATTGAAGTACATTTTGTTGTTTTCCTGGCAGAAGGGCATATGCTCGTCAAGGGCGTATCCAGAACACAATTTTTTTGGGGGGGGGGGGCCAAAAAAAATGTTGGTCGCCCCTAAAAGTGGGTAAAAAAAATTACGGCGTGGGGTTCGGGGCCCGCTTAAGGGCCCCGAAATTTTTTGGATTCTAGATGCTCTGTGGTGCGATCTGAGGCAGTTTTTTTTGAGGAAAAGATGGTGGTGTACTCATTGCCTGCCTTTATTGCGATGTCACATAAAAAAAAAAAAAAAAAATTGGTTTCGTTTTTTTTGGGGGGGGGGGGGGGGGCCTTTGGCCTCCCCCTGGATCCGCCCTTGATGCGCGTACATCCTTATGCGCGAACGCGTAATCACCAAAACAGTCCCGGCAAAAGAGCAAAACTGCCTCTATTTTAATGAAATTTAAGCATTTCCATAGGAAATGAACACAAGTTGTTCTAAAAATTTTGATTCAAACATGTGAAAAATTTAAAATTGGTACGATTTATAATATCCATGGGAGAACATTAGATTCAGAATACGCATGGGGAACATTGAAGCCTTTCAATGCAATTTTGTCCTTCTGCCGGGCACCCGACGATTTCAAAATACAGACTTCAATAAACAAAACAAGCCTAGGTGGTCCCAGACCGATTTGGTCCAAGGGGTCCAGGTAGTCACCTGTGTCCAATTTGTGGGCCAAGTTGAGGCTGAAGCAAGGCTTATTCACAAGTGACAGCCAGAAAATCAACTCATTCAATCAGTGAGATAGGTACAAAGGGGACCGTAGGGCCGTCAAAACCTGCTTGTACCTGAGGGTTGATGTCGAGCACGCACATCTTCCCTGATCGATTGACAGCACGTATAGCATCGTACGTCGTCCCGTACAGATTGTCCGCGTACTCTCCGTACTCTAGGAAGCTGTTCTGTCGGATGTCTTCCTCCATCTCCGGGCGCAAAGAAAAGTAGTAGTCCAAACCGTTCTCCTCACCCTCTCTGGGTCGACGCGATGTGTCTGATTGAAACAAGAAAAAGAAATTTAGACACCTTGATTTGACTAGGCACTCCATCTTTGTATGGACTCCATGCATGAACGTAGAGGGCGCTTTGTGAGCACTATGACAGCCTCAGTAGGAGGGACACACTGCATGCGCGTGATGACTATCGTTAACCCTAATCTTCCCAAATCCTCCCAAATGGGCTTGAACAAAATGCGAACTTTTCGTTTCTTCTTGCAATGGAATTAAAAATAAAAAAAATATTTAAAGTTTGCATAAATATTATTCAAAATACAGAATATATGTAGTTTATTAACATGTGAATTTGTGTTAATTTTGGCACGATTAATATTAATAAATGCAGCAATTTTTGTGAAGAAGTATTTGCTTTATATTCTCAAGGTAGCCCCGACCCAGCCTTGAAAAATGACCAGTAAATACTTCAAATCTGAAGCATTTACTCCTTTTTATTCATACGAAATGAAGTAAACACTTAGTTAGGCAAAAGCTAAAAAGTAAAAAGTAAATACTTTTAGTCTTACTTTCCAGTAAAAGCACTTGCTTTATTTATATTCATACAAATGCAAGTAAATGCTTAAAAATAGGTAGTAAAAGCAAATGCTAATTTTTACACATACAACCATGTCTGGAAACTTTCGGGATTTTCTTCATTATATCCCATTCCTCCCCACCATTTATGCCCCTCCTACTCACGAGCCACGGCAGTGCCAAAGCGCTTGAAATCTGAATCAATCAGCTTGTTCTTCAGGATCCTTCGCCCGACGCCCTGAGCTCCGAGCAGGACCAGAGTCTTGCGTTGGAACGGCGGCATCTCCTGCACCTCCTCGTAGATGACGATGTCGCTGCGGTCAAACTCGTAGTTCTTGCGCGTCTTGTAGTGCTCGTGACGTCGCCGCTTGCTCTGTATAAGGCCACATGCTACTGTTGCAACCAAAAAAGAAACGGTTAGGCCAAAAAAAAAAGTCTCCGGTTTCTGGTATGCGCGCGCGTCGCCGTAGCCATGCGCGTCAGCAAAATGAAAAAGTTTTTTTTTTAATGAAAGATGATGTCCCAAAACCGCCAAACTCACTGGTTTGACTGGAACACTGCTGCTGCACAATTTTAACGTGTTTTTAGACTGGGTTATGGTCGAGAATAAGCTTTATGTGGCCTCTCTGGATTCCCATATATTTGCACTAAGTTTAGTCGGGCACCATTTGCAGTCATCAGCACACATTTGAAGCAAAAAAATCAGGTAAAAAAAAAAATAAGCCGCGTCGCCGCATCACTATTTGGGCAAGCTCCATACCAGAAACTGGAGACTTTTTTTTTTTGGCCTGAGGCAATTTTATCAGAAATCTAAATGAATTATCAAAGAAATCAAATGATCCAAACGGGAAACTGAATACAAGTATGTTCACCTGTAACCAATATCAGGTCGAACAAAGGAAACTGACAGGAACAGAATTTGAACCCTGAATACCATGTAAAAAAAATAGGATGCTTGTAGCTCTTTGGGTATAGGTCTCGTTCACATGACGTCATTTCCTACCAACCATCCACGTGCATCAACATTTTGAGCGTCAACTTGCATAACGCGCATTGGCTGCGTCGTATTTCGAACACATTTCCAGCAACAAGCGCGCGTGTTTGGAACATTTTCAACACTGCGCAATGCGTGCTTGATTGTGTAAAATACGCAGTTGCAGTTCTCCTACGGAGATGGCCGTCATTGAGCGAGCCCTATTGTGAGCAGTATGCACAATCGAAACTAGGTGCTGTTTGAATGTGGTACATGAGCCATATACTGGTACTACTCCCATCTAATAAGAAAAGAAAATTGTCTTATGTACACAATGATGTTTATTAAGACAGAAGTTTAATGTGACAATTTGTGACAAAAATTAGGTTAGAAACAAACTATTTGTAACAAATAGTTTGTTTCTAACCTAATTTTTCTAATTCAAAATATATAAAACATTCAATCAAAAAGCACACATGGCAATTATTTAAAACACATTTGTTTACAAATCAATGGTTACAGTACAAGTGTAATAGTAATATGGCAAATGGCAAATGGTAAAGTTCACTTGTAGCAGCCATTGGGCTATCCAGATTTTTAGAAATGGAAATCGGTGGGTTTGAACCAGTGACATCCGACATGCTGTTCCAGTAATCTACCAACTGAGCTATCCAGACCAATGTTGGCAAGCCTCCAAACTTGTCAACGTGTTGTTGATGGTAGGCATATTTCATGTATGCAAATCACAAGTCGCAGCAGCATAGTGCTTTTTATTACAAATCGTCATACAAACTACTTGATTTAATGTCAACTGATATCTCTCTAGACCTTATTCATGAGGAGGCCATTTTTGATCGTGCTCCCTGAATCTATCTTATAAATTGTAAACTGTTGAATGGGATGGTGCCAGACTATTTTATGATTGCAGTGCGTTCCAAGCCTCACTTCCAATTTTGTTTTTTAAATGTGGCTTAAAACATTAGGGTATGTTTAATCCCAAATTTCAAATTATTCATTATAGCAGACTGGTATTAATTTGTTATGAACTTTTATTTTGTTGCTTTCGTTTCTACTCGGGTGAAAGGGGTTAGGATGTGCTGGGGTGGACTGGATAACCGAGCAGCTCCTTTCCCACTGAAAAACCCCATTGTTTAGCACTGCGTCTCAACATTAGCCTATCCTAACCAAGTCCTACTGTCCGGCTTCTCGTGCTGACCCTGTTTTTACTAAATGACAGAGGATGCAAGCGGGTCCCTGGCACAAGATCCATCTACTCGCAAGATCCGGAAATGAAGAGTTTACCTCACTTTCAAATTTAATACAGCAGACCCAGATTGAACCGTACCGGTACACAAAGTGAAACAGAAACTACTTGGAGTTTCAATTCACAGCAAGTTTCAATTTCAGTCATTGATATGGTCAATATTTTGTTTACATCCAGTCATTTGCACAGCATACACTACAGAGCATTTAGAATTATTGGTATATTTTTTTAAATAAATTTTCATTTGACGATTTACTGGTTATGCGCAAAAGAAGTAAAATGTGCCTGTAAAATGAAAAGTCTGATCATAACCTGTTTGTCTTGTATAGATGTTCTCTTTGGGGACAAAAGCTCGCCTGCGTTCCTCTAACTCAGCGCTGGGTATCAAGCCAGTTGGGTGGCCATCTCTGTTCAAAACATATGCCTGCATTTTAACAAAAAAAATAGGACATGACATTCCATAGAAAATTACACTGTACAATACAAGAGAATTTTCCCCAGAAGTCAGTGTTTAATCAAATGATGTAGTAACATTTTTTTTTCCAAATTGGAAAGTTCAGGATAAGTCATACTACAAGCTATAGTCCTATGGTGTGTTTTATATCAGATTGATTTCACTGCTTTATTCTTCATGCTATCCAGTAGCCAACAGGCAAGGCTTTTAATCAGGCATGCAACTGGGAAGTCACAAAACAAGAGTTAGTTTCAAGCTTTGCAAAACTCTCTGTAATGTTTTTCAATTTGTAATGGCTTACAAGAGACGTAAACAAAAAAGGAAAGCAGCTGATTAGAGAAAATGTGACCTGGCCGTTTCATTAAAAATTAATATTAATATTTTTTTTTTTGGAAATGATCATAATAAACATGTATATACATTTCATCCAATGATATTCTTGTGAACTGTAAGGCGCAATATACGGAAAAAATGTTGCAACCTGACGCCACTTGCGCGATTGTGTACAAAGTCTATGCAGAGTCAAGAAAATTTTCTAAGTATTTCCTAACAAAACTGGAAATGTTTCGCAGACCCAGATTCATGTCTTATCATTTTTGCAATGAATGACCTTCATTGAGATGATATATGAAGAAAAAAGTGGCGTCAGGTTGCAACATTTTTTCCCAATATACACCTACAGGTACACTGTATTTGACAGACAGAGGGCAGTTTGACATTTGAAACAGTTAGGAGTAGCTACATTGCAAGACCAATCGTTGCTGTCATTCTGACCAACTCCAGAGTCTAGTCATTGGAAAATGATAACATAACGTGAGTCCCAGATACTTTTTTTGGCTCAGCACTTCTCTGGAATACCAAACTGAAACAGGCATCACAGCATTGACTTTATCTCTGTGAAATCAGCCATAATTTGTCTGACAGATGAGACCTACCTGCCACCAGTTCTGGTCCTCTCTGTCGACGATACTGAGGATGTCGCCCTTCTGGAAGGCCAGCCCCAAATCAGGGCAAGGGAGAAGACTATCCTGCTTGGGGTTGTAATCAAAGAATGCCCTGACGTACACCTGCAGGCAGAAACACGAGGCAGGAATGAGCCAGTGTTAAAGTCATTATCTAATTCACCGGTCACTCACAAATCATCCAGTCTCAAGCCCAGTCACAAGCACTGTATTCTGAAAGCGAACTGTGGCAAAGGCATTCCTTTATCAGTGTTCATCCAATGTTGTGTGTGACCAGCTTTTGACAGGATCGATTAGTTGACTTTTGATACTTATTACTCCTGAATTACAAAACACACAGGAACCTTTACATGCCAGATCCAGCCATTTAAATAATAATAATGGCTTCTTGTATAGCGCTCATGTCCGTCACAAAGTGACGCTCCTGGCGCTTATTATTACCCTGGCTTTAGCACGGCTGCCATTACGGCGCTCAAGCATTGCAGGAATTTCTTCCTACCAGGTACCCATTTACTACACCTGGGTGGAGAGAGGCAATTGTAGTAAAGTGCCTTGCTCAAGAGCACAAGCACCATGTTCCCCGTCAGGATTTGAACCCATGTACCACGGCAAAAGAGTCGAACACCGTAACCACTGGACCATAGCACCCCACAAAGGGTTGTACTCACGTAACTTATGAAGAATATCACGAGTCAAAAACCGAAAGCAAGATCACAAGAAACAGGGCATGAACAAACAACAAAGCAACGTCTTAATAGTTACAAGTCATTTGAAAGCTTGTCTTTTGACTCCAGACTGGACTGGGGATGAAACGTGTGATATCCTTGCGATTATATCGATAATGTTTTGTTAACCTAAGCAGTGAAAAAAAGACTTTTTTTCAGTTTAAGCTGTTGGATTTAGCAGGCTTTGCACGTGATGTTCGATACTGTTGAAATCTAACAGGTTTAAGCACAATCCCAGCAGCAGTATCAGGAGTACATGCACAGGTAAGTACTATTTGTACCGTTCAGTGTCCATTTTGGTGCATTGCGTAACAAGATTTCCTTTGCAAAATCTAATAAGCCCACACAAGCAGCCAGTGTTACCGGAATGGCAACAATAAAAGAAAAATCATGAACCCGAATCCCTCATGTCTATGGGTTTTTTTCCCAAGGAAGCTTCCCAAATCCACCAAAGTCCTACAAAGTAAAGCAAAAGAATGACAGTCTGGGACTGATTGAGTCACAGTTATAGTGGCAGGACCCTACCGCAGTGAATCCCCCCCCCCCAACCCCCAAAGAGTTGGATTTTGGGGTAAGCTAACATTCAGCAAACAAAAAGATTCTTCCACCAAAGTTGCACTGATATATCTATGTATACGGCCCAAGAGCTGAAGTACTATAGGAATGCCGCAACCCTAACCTAAACCCTAAGAGCGCAAAAGCATGGCACTCTTCAAAGCAAACGTCTTTGAATATCCAGCATCTTTGAATTATTTTTTGAGATCTGCAGTTTTGGGAAGAGATTGCTGAGTAACAATCTAGGCAACATACCACTCTGTTCATTCTGAAGATGGCCTAAAATAATAAATATGGAATCTGCTGGTTAATATTGGCTTGATCATTGCTTGAAAGGAACATACCATCCCAGCAATTGACATGTACACAAAATTTAATGTCATGTTCCGGTCAACTTTTGGTTCAACTCTTTTCTGGCTTTAATGTATTTATACATATAAACACCTTAAAACTTCATGAGTCAACAATGCTCAAATGCCCAAACACAAGTGATCCCAAATAAACAATTTTGGTGTCAGTCAAAAATATACTTAGTGTACTTTTTTCCAGATGACACAGAATCACAGAGATTGGAAATAAACCAGAGAAAACACATCTCTGCTTGGACAAAACTCTGAAGTAGCAACAATGAATTTCGAGCTTTGACGTGCACTTTAAAGTGTTTTTACAATACAAATGTTCACTAGCTGAGCACGTCCGGTAAATACTTCCAACTGTTTCAACCAAAGTAGTGATGTTCATTGCATCACAGAGCAAGTTCGGGCGAGGACGGTTGATTCGTGACGTAACTCACGCCAGCGCAACGTGCGAATGCCTCCTGTAAAATGCTGGTCCAAGCTCACAAAACATCCTGATCCTGGCTCCCTGCTGTGTGCTTTGATGCGTGCAGCAATTGAATCGCGTTAGAATCGCGTCAACGCAGCTTGTGAAATATTGTCCAATTACATGATATTCAAATGGATGCGGAACGCGCAAAATCTGAGACAAACAAAACGTAGTGTACAAATTTTCCATAGGGTTGTCTAAAAGGCGTAGCTAACTCGCAAATGGCGATAGGTCAATTGCAACCACAATGCAACCGTGCCCTGTGGCCTCGTTCCAAATAGTCGACTAGAGTAGTCCAACTATCTTCTTTCAAGTGAAGTTGGTCGAACTATGGTTAACCGTAGTCCTCGCTTACACTTGCTCTTTACTCAATGTTTTAACCCAATGTTACTCACCGGTAAGAGTCGGTAGTCATTATGGTAGCTGGGGATAATTTTGAGGGTGACGTTTCCCGAGGCTGTCTTCATGTGATCTTGGAGTGCATCCGGATCATTGGTCACGTCAATGCCGTTGACTTCCTTGATGATGTCACCAACGTGAAGAAGACCTGAGGAAACAATGGAGGGCTAACATCACACAACCATTGACCAGTCATTTGTCATTAGACCAAGAAGAAAATACCTGTGCTTCCAATGATACAATCCAAGAAAGAAAATCCTGCAGCGCCTAAATTTTTTAAAAGGGATAAGATTGTCAATTTGAAAAACATTTGAAAATTCAATGAAAGGTCTGAAAGATGCATTTCTTTCTATACTGATAATTTCTTTCTCTCAGATTCAAAAGTCTAAATTCAGACTTAAGTCTGAAAACTTCATGCAAGGATAAAAAAGTCTCAAGGCCAAACTGCCTCAGAGTCTGCGGTCAGCGAATGCAGCAGCATTCAACAGGGAAGTACACCATACTTTTGTCCACCTTGCATCTGGCAGGGTTAGAGTTACAACAGTTAATTTGTTTGTTCTGTAGCTTAATGTCAATCAAGACTCTCACACTGAAACCAGTCTAGTGAAATGGAAAATGCTTAGGAAAAATCTTCAATCCGCTTACCCTGTTTTTCAATAATACCTCCGTGGATTACCCTGGCTACAACCACCTCACCCTTTTCCTGTCGTAATGTTATACCCTAGAAAGAAAACAAAATTACTTTTACAGTTAAGTTATGACGAATATGACTCTCTAAGATTTCGCAACAGGGGTGATTTACAATAGAGAGCGTCACGAAGAGGTTGCCATGGACATTGATGGAGAGACCCTTTTTTGTAGCGCATATATTAGGACAAAAATCATGCTGGGGAAATTAACCTGTACCTAATTCACAATTCCTACTGGCTTGGTAATTTTTTTGCGGTTTTTGAGCTACCGGTACATGCATGTATAGTTGGAATTCTTTTGAGTTAATATCGATGAGTTAATTTACAAGTCTTTCAAATGCATGTGAGTTTGTGTGGTATCACACATACTGTAAATAATGACTATGAACAACTGCAGGATAGTATTTGAAGGATGTCAACAGTAATTGGAAAAGTGGCATACTTTAACAATGTGCAGTGTACTGTGAATGGTTTCTAAAATATGGTTCTGAAAACATGGTTCAAATGAAGTTGAATGCGTGTGGAAAATACCTTACCTAGTCATATACAAAAATGTAGAATAAGTGAAAAATAGTAATAAACAACTCTTTTTTTGTTGTTGGAGGATGCTTTATGTCAAGGTCTTAAGCTGTGTTGTGTATGCCTAGCCATGCATTAATTATACCTAGATTGTACTAGATATCATCTGCACTGCTACTGCATATCATTCATTGTTGGAGGATTTTAAAGGATTAAGGCAGTGGTTATCCATCCACTTAACAAATACAAGAAATAACGGATGATTTTGGTGGATTGGGGCTTCGTCAAATTTTGACATGGTGGCAGTTGGAGGATTTTGAAGGATTGGGGATGGATCCTAGCCAAAAGGGCATAGGCAGTTAGGGTTAATGTTCACTCAGGTTAACCTAACATCCAGTTTTCCCAATCAGCTCCTAACTCTACCCCCTTCCAGATCCTTCAAAATCCACCAGGTGTGGGAGAATTAGTCTTGAGGAAAATAACGTTTGCAGTGGGGTAGATAGGGGAAATATTTGTTCACTTTGGAAATAAAAGCATGGCATTTGGCACACGGTCAAAGTATGTCATAAGAAAGATATTTGGAGATTTGTCCTTTGAAAAAATATAGGGAGAACAACAAGCAATTTCTAAAATTTTCAAAATGGCTGCCATTGCTTGTTATTCTACCAATATATTTTTTCAAGGACAAATCTGCAAAGTTAGATTGTACAGAATAAACCATTGGGTTCCTGCACAGGTGTTGGTATTGCAAGGCTAAATGCTAGCAGATATTCTGAGCAGCTGTGGTAGACCATTTCTGTTAAACTTTGAAGGAGAAAAAAAAGGAAAAAGTTTCAAGCGTGATGACACATACCAATGGTACGTTGGAAGGTTTCCTGATGCCCACCATTCTAATGGCGTCCCCGGCTGCGTTGAACTCATGTGGAGGTGGGTAGGCTGGCCGCGTACGGTCCAAGAATACGGACGGCTGTTCAAAGTCACCATTGGCAATGCTGTCATGGGTTTTAGTTAAAGACTGGAGAGGAGGGAACCAAGGCGATATACATGTATTAGAAAGAAAATCTTATGAAAATACAAACTTAAGATATTCACACAATTAAGCAATTTTTTCCTCATTGTCTATGTTGCAAGGCACAATTGGTCACATGCCAAAAGAAATTGAAAGAAAACAATTGTAACAATCATAGGCAATTTAGGATGGTATGATTACAAAAAAAATGCAAAAGCAAGTCCATACTTGCACAATAGGTTTTAGTGTGGACAAAGGACTTAATGGAGATATTCCACAGTGGACACTTATAGTGGGGACACTCTGAGTCCAAATTTGCCTAACAATAGAACACTTCACCAGCCAGGGCAAGGTACTAAACTTAAGAATTTTGTTATTCCCGTGAAATTCCTTTTTGTTAATCTTTAGATCTTTTTAAAACCCTCTGAATTCACATGAAACCTGTCTGTTCACAAGTGTCCTTTTGATGGTCATGAAGTGGCTTTTGAGGATTGTTAAAACCTTGGGCTTCAGCATGTGCCTTTATAACTGCTCTTTATAGCAATGTATTATAAAAATATTGCTTTTGTCCATCAGGGAAATTTGATGAACAACAAATGAATTCTGCTTACAGAAAAGTTGGGGTCGTCTAAAATTCCTGCCAGTTCAGCTGCTTGGTCGTCTTCTGCAATGAATGGACTGATGTCTTCAATGACCTCATGGATGAGAGACGCCCCATCCTTGCGTATCGGTCTCAACTCAATCTCCTCTAAAGCATCGTGGGCCTGAGAAACAGGGGAAAAACCGACCAGAAGTAATAATTCAAGACCTAACACATAATGACAACATCGAGAAGGGACTGAACAGGGTGCCCAAAGTAATCTTAAAAAGAAATGACATGACTTTTCCAGGACAAAGTTAAGGCTTTCCATGACCAATTCCTGTTCTGTTCTTGGCAGCTTACAATGTAGGAGCCTATTTACAAAACACTGGCCAGTCGTCACCAACAAACTTCAAATGCTCAGTTTTGAGTCCCATTCAACAATGTCAAATGTGTTTCTTACATGTAATAATGAACTGAATTTCTTCTTTTCTGCAATTTCTGTTTCCCCCATCAGTAAAAACACTAAACACAAATGTGACCTACTGAGACAAAATGAGGAATGTCCCCCAAAACCTTGTTTTGAGTAAATGACACATGAAGTCGGATATACCAGAAAAATCATGTCAAAGTCGATGTTGATTGTTGGGTAGCCAAGGTATCCAAGATTCACACTATGCATTTTTGTTGAGAAAAAAATTCCCACGAAAGTGGAAAAACTGAAGAATGTTTTCCACTGCCATTGGCGGCAGTGTTTCCCCCAATGCATGTTTTTTTTTTTTCAAAGCCGTTTTTCTCTAAATGAGGTTTGCGAAACTTGACAGGACACTGTTGAAGTTCCTGCGTCATACCTTTGGAATAAATTAAGCTACAGATATAAATTTGGTATCATTGGACAGCCCATTATTTGTGCTTTAACATGATGTACATAACGTGAAAAGGCAATTGTGGGGGTTATTTCTCATTATGCTATAGCAAGCCACAAATGTTTTGCTCAATTTCTTGACCTAACATTCTCGAACAATCATCCTTCAACTGTATCTGCTTTATGAGTGATATTTTGTCTCACATGTATTGGTTCTAATCTTGGGAAAACAGTAGTTGTCAGGCTTTTAGCCAGAGGGGTGTTTGGGCATCTTTTGGACATCCAAGTGCTATTTTGGACACCCCGTTTTCACACAAATAGTATGTAACAGCATTGACCTTCAGCAACTTGGACCCCTGTTAAGTTTGGACACCCATGTTTAAAATGCTGGCTGAATTCTTGCTATGGTCGAATAAGATTTGTGAGCTTCTCGCCCTATAGTCTGGTATAGTTGTATCTGAAATTTCGAGCCCTACATGTGTATACACGTTTGACACTGCTTTCTACCCACATGTACCTTGACAAGATTCTGTAGTACTCGTCCCTGCATGACCTCCTTCAGGAATAGAAGATCAACACTCTCAGCCTGTGTGGAGTTGCCGATGTCGTGCAGATTGCCAACTACAGTATCCATGGCCTCTGAAAAATAAACAAAGAAAAACCAGAATGGCAGCGGTTATAAAACAGGTGCATAGACTAATCCACGAGAACCACTGATCTCTATACTAGACATGCTCGCACGCAGGTGGTAGGTAATCACTTAATGCTCCCTTGACAGATAAGGTTATTAAAATGCGCGCAAGCCCCGACTTTAAGAATGCATGTGACCTGTTCGCTAGTGTGGTAGTCCCCTCCAGTAAGGCCAAGAAAAATAATTGTGTGCTAACGGTAACGTTTACGGTAAAAAATTATCCAGGTAGTAGGTAGGTAGGAAAATGATTTCATTTTGTAACTTTTGAGTCTTTGCCTGTCAGTCTTTTAAACTTCCTTTGTTTACTTTTGGATTCCTCTATAAAGTATTTTGTTTAATTAACCTGTTTCATTGTTTAACCTAAACTCCCCCAGGCCTTTTTGCTAGGATGTAGCCTCAATCCTGCAAATTCCTCCAATTGGCCTCACGGAAAAATAGCATATAGCCTCAATCCTGCAAATTCCTCCATTATTTCTTGAATATGGTCCGTGGAGGGGTGACCACTGCCTGAATCCTGCAAAATCCTGCGGCAGTGACTGTCAATATGTTGAGGCTTGGCCAGTGACATCCTGGAGCAGTATGGAGGATCTAAAGCATAATCCAGGCCTATATTTATGCACGGCTGAGCAAAAACAACACAAGGTCCAGCCCACCCAAGACTTTGACAAAGTGCATCCTACGAAATCAGTAATGCACTTTTACCATGCAACCTCAATCATCCAAATTCCTCCTCTTTGGCAAAGAGGATTTTGAAGGATTCAAGGCGGTTAGGGTTTATAAACCAATAGCACACACACAAAATTGCATAGGGAAGACTTTTTTATTTTCAAATATACACATGTACATGTACTTCACCTAAAAAAAATCTGGGTACCGTTACATGTTGGTCCGGTTTAAAGGGTAAACACACACATTGTTTTTAGGCCTTTTGGCTTCAAATTTTGTTTGCTGAATTAGTCCTACGAATACGAAGCACAGCACTATCAAAGCTGTGAAATGTAAAAGGCGTTGTTTGGATTTGATGCTTTGCTTGTTTTGGTACATTGCAAAAACCATTTGCACAACCCCTGACCAATAGCTTCATGTGTGTAATATGTGAAGGTTTATGCATTTCAGGGGCTCTTTCGAATTGTGTCAGTATTTTCAGAATGAAGCCTGATGTGGACAGAGGATCAATATGCTAGAGTACCAGTACACTAGTGAACGTGCAATGTAAATGTACGTGATTTATGAGCTTACATCATAATTTTTGTACAGACCCAGCATATCCTGCAGGTGCCTCCAGCTCATTTGAGTGCACATGGAACATGGAACAAACTGTTTTGACAAGCCCTACAACATGTACAATGTACCGGTCAGGGGTTTCCCTTAACTTTTTCCTTTACTGGCCGGCCGGGCCAGTAAACCAGAGTTTTCACTGGCCCGCAACCTTTTTCACTAGCCCACATGTTTTAATAGTAACTTTCAATCAATTCACCATAAGCATTTTTGATAACATTTTTGATAATAAATTATGCAATATGAATACAATCGGCAATTAGCTTAATCATGTACATAATATTGCATGTAGTTCCTTTTTAAGTGATGTCAATGTTTCTTTAATCGTCCATGCTTTAACATAGAGCAAGGCTTTAATTAACAGGAATCAAATAGGGGGAGAAGTTATAATCAAAATTTATGCAGTATGCTTCGTTCCGAACTTAAGGCTTTAGGTGTTCTATTTCCGACATGTTTTGATAAAACACGAACTAAAAAAGCGTTATCTTGAGGAACAAGAAAACATTGCACACAGTCGTGGTATTAATGGGAGTTTACCAAGTTAGTAACTGAACTGTTTCAACTTATTTGAAAATGAGTGAGAAGGCCAGTATTTTCAAAAAAAATCTCTCGCGCGCGCCATGCATTTCTAGCGAAGAATGGTGCAATCAGCATGCCTAGCCAAGAAGCGCTGCGGGCGGGCGACCCACGAACTTACGCTGGTCACGTCAATCCATAACGTTTTCCGGAGCACGGTCCACTTTACATTCACTAGTCTTTACATTCAAATGGGCCCCTCGAATCTCATATTGTCCTCATCTTTTCGGTACATTCGTTTGATAGTGTTCAAGAAATCATCCCAAGAATCCGTTCGGGCACAAGTTTTGGCAGTGAAATTGTCATGAAAGTTTTCTCCTCACCACGTTGTATGATACGAATACGGATGTTAACGTACGTACATCCGTCCGTACCGTGTGGACTGCAGACAAGTAAATCACGTGCGCTGCATGTGTGCACAATGTGTAATGGCAAATACACGTTGATTCGCCTCATGTTCGTCGTTGGGATTTCAATGCACAGCGCACTGCGAATATACATGGAGTGATACGAATTCGAACTACCGATGTTTTTATTTCGGTCGGCGTGGCAAAAGTATTCATGTGTTGTATCACCCTTAACTTTTTATTTTGATTGATTGAAAAATACTGTAGGGAAAACTTCGTTATTTTTATTTTTTTTAAACAGTTTTTTGACTCGCCCGTCGGACTACTGAGAGGAGGGTTTTGACTCGCCCGCCGCTGTTTTCACTCGCATTTGGCGAGCGGGCGACCGCTAAGGAAAACCCCTGCCGGTACATGTACCGGTACAAGAACTCAGGATTATTTTACACACGTATTTAATGAACGCCCTTTGTGTAGAGAATGGAAATGTTCAAATTAGGTTTTGCCCTTCACCGACGTATAAACACTGTATACTCAGTGTGTGTTACCTCCCGAGTGAAGGTTTGAAAAAATCACTCGGGTCATCGGGTGGGACTCGAACCAACTACCTCCTGCTTTCTAGTGCAGATGTCTTACCACTCGACCACCAAGCTAACGGGATCAGTTGGCTGGTTCGAATCTAATGTACATAGCAGCGGGTACCGCATTAACTATTCATAAGATGGAATTTTGTGTTTATACGTCGGTGAAGGGTAAAACCTAATTTGATTTACACATGTACATCACCCCGATGCAAAATTCCATCTTATGAATGGAAATATTATCATACAGGCCAGAAATGGAGAATATTTTGTTTGCAAAATACATTGTACATAATGTACATGTATAAAGTATGTACCGGTGTACCATATGTGTCTACCATCCGTACATTGTTCATGTAGGCCTAACACACTCCGGTACATGTACGGTAATACAGATAGATAACATTTGAATCCCGTACTGCCTTACATGTTCATGTAAGTATTAAAGTTGCACACGTGGGAATCAATACATGAAAATCAATATGATAATACGTTAAATACAGTTCAGAAACGTGTTAAAAATTGACAATCAATATTATTCCGTACACGTACAAAATGTACCAGTACGAATATTATACAAATATTGACCGAGTTCGAGTAGTGTAGTAAAACTACCGGTAGCCTCCCGAGGTGATCCATGAAGCATTCTATTTTTAATAGAAAATAGAATGCTCCATGGATCACCAAGGAAGGCTAGTTTTACTTCACCACGAGATAAAGCAGTCAATATTTGTTTTATAACACCTCTCCCACAGATTCTGCTTGATTTTAAGTGATAAAGATTAATTTATTCTGAATACAATTAAAATTTACATTTGTACTTCTACCGGAACCGGTATTTGAATACGAAATTAGTTGAAAATTAACTTTTGCAAACTACCCCTTCACAAAATGTTTGAACCCAGCTCTGTAGCGCTAGTGCTTGGGAACAATACGCATAGTGCGCAACGCACATACTGTAGGCATTTGCACATAATGCTTAGGCCTATTGTACTTTGGTTGCTACCGGTATGGGTATAGTACTTTGGTTGTTACGGGTATAGTGGCCGTGCACAACAAGATAGCAAAATAGTGAGTGCCATGTGACTCGCTCTCGGCCAATCAAGATACAGAATCTGTAGGTCAGCACCCGATTTCACCAAACTCTTCGTAACTTACGATGCATCGCAGCGCTGCGATGTGTCGTATCTCTACGATGCGTCGCAGCTGCGACGCGTCCTGCGATCCATTTCACTAAACACGTCGTAAGTGCGACGCGGCGTAGGTGTATTTATAGCACAACTCAGTGACTGTTTTATGTCTTTAGTCAGCGTACAGTAAATAGTCGTCTGATATTCAACAAAGAGTCGTCGGATCTAAGCTCGAAATTTGTAAAAATGTAAAACAAAATGGCGGCCATGTGATGCAATTTTGAAGAAAAACAAGCTCTCATTGGACTGTATAGCTACTTTGAAATTTCATCTTTAATATTCCGGTCTAATTCATAATTTTTCAATGAATTTTCTATTTACAACTTTACACACATTGCCTTGGTATTATAATCTCGTTAATGTAATGTTTGTGGCATAAAACTGGCGTAGAAATGACTCTTCTTATTTTGCGATGACCACTAGACACATCGTAACTTGCGACATGTTTTAAGCCGTTGTCAAGGAACTTACGACGCATTCAACACATCGCAACTTTCATGAAATGGAAGATAGGACGCGTCGCAAGTTGCGACGTGTTACACGTCGTAACTCGAGTTGCGACGCGTCGCAGGGCTTCGTGAAATCGGGTGCAGGTGTTATAAAGACACCTGTACCGGTACATGCACTTCACATGCACATGTATCCCAAATTCATGTACATGTACATTGTACTGTACATTGTAAATGAACATTGAACAATACTGATGTTGAAATATTTTCCATCTTTTTGTGCACAGCCTTTAGAACACTGTACCGGTACATTTATGACAAATGGTTGCATTATCTTCTGTGAATGGAACACAACTCTTATTCATGTACATGTACATGTACCAAAAAGGAAAGTAAAAAGTGAAGATACGAAACATTATGTCATGTTGAAAAATTGATGAGGTCTTGATTTATGCAGAGCTACATGTATGCAGAGTTACCGTATGCAGAGCTGTGCGTGCTTGTCAGTGAGCGGGTCTTTCAATTAGGACTATTACAACTTAAATTTAAGGAATGCACAATCATCAGTCTTGGCATTCCACACAAGCTTCTGCTGTCTTCATCGGGTGATTGATTTGTTAGACTCATAAAACATGACCTAGCTGTTTGGTGAAAGTGTATGTGCAACGTAAATTTAATACTGAAGTTTGCTACAGACCCTGAAACTGAAAGTGAAAAGTCACGCGGCGAGCTTACGGAACCTTCACGCAGCCCGCCAATGGGCATTTCACACTAAACCATTTCTCTTGTGTAGGCCTAATGTTTGACAGAATGATTTCTATTTTCTAACCGTAATCACCCCAAGAAACATTCATGTTGGAATTTTATTCTATCTTGGTACCGGGTATTTCTCAAGGAAAAATGATGAAAAATCACTTGGAGATAAGCAGTCAAGTAAGCTTTTTTGAAATGCTAATTAATGAGTCCTTCAACTTGATAAAAAAAAAATGGCATATTCTGAAAGACATTTTAGTCTCCTACCAGTACTTGGTACGTAAGTTTTAGTTTTCACCACATGACCACCACAAAATTAATTCATAAATTTTCATCTAATGTACGAGTACGGTACACCAAGTTCCACTAGTCCTGCAATGTAGTTTTCAAATAATTTAGTATTCGATTCTTGGAACTTTTATTTGATCAAATATTTGAACATTGGCATTGAGGTGCAAGTAAAAACTTTTTATGAATACCATGTACATACCGGTATGTACCAATCCGTTTTTTTTTCCTCCAGAAAGCTGACCAACTGAAACCGGGGGTATTTGACAAATCTAAAAATGTAAATTTGGGCTATAATTTAACCATTCAACTTTATACGAAAATCACGGATGTTTTTGTCATCTTTTGGGGATGGCTCACATTTTTGGATATTCAGTGGATGATCGAATATTCAGTACTCAAGTGGTATTTTCAGCACAACCTGTAATTATGCATGCATGATCACAAATTTTGACCTACATGTACACTGTACACGTGTATACCGGTACATGTACTGGTATACTCAGACATGTATGATCTCAATAAATGCTGAATACAGGTATGTTTGAAAGATATTTACTGACATTTAATTAATTAAAAATCAGAAATGCAGACCTCATACCGGTACATGTAATTTTGCTAGTTAACCATCCATGGATATATAGTGAACTCAATCTAAGGCAACATCAGCACGTCACAATCACAAAAGAAACTTGACACTTACCCAATGGACAATGTTACAGACTTCCAATGAAATATACCGGTAGTCAACCAAGCCAGAGTGTGTACGTGTACATGTGTTTTCTGTTTCGAGTCGTTTCTGAAAATGCTGTGCTGGCTGTTGTTACTATGCATTTGCACATCATAGTGTTTTGAGGCGTTGATGACATGTCTAATACTTTCTAGAGTAATGAATTTGCAATGGAGCGGAACCCATCGCAATCTATCTGGCAGGATTAGTGGCGACTGTTCCTTGATACCGTACAAGTTAATGAATGTGAATTCCGATATGCTTAAAAAACCATCAGACCTTCAAAAAACAATCTGGAACAAATTTCTGATATTTTAATGGTAATGTACAACATTTGCAAACATCAAAAAACAAAAGTACCAAATTATTATGAAACACCCGGTACCCACCTTACTTGACATACTGTACTGGCATTCTACCTCCATGGTACCGGTAATTAGTGAATAATATTAATAGTCTGAACTCTCAAGCATCCAGTGAAATCATGGCACCCCTGTGATGTCATTTACAAAAAAAGTGGATTTGATTTTTTGGCATCAATTTGACCCAACGATGGTCGGCTGACCATTGTTTAAATTTTATTTTTCTTCAAATACTGCCCAAAATTTGCCAAATTTAGTTGCCCCACCTTTTATTTGCAAACCGTGAGTAGTGGGCGAGTAAGTTGATTACTCGAGTAATGTATGCTACTCGTTGTTCTACTTGTGGTTATTCATCCACTTGAGTATGAGTAGAAGCAGGTACTCGCGAGTAGCAATTGAAGGTTTAGGGTTCACGGCTCAATACATCCCCTGCAAACTGGGAATCTCTCCCTCCACCTCTCTCTCCCTAGGATTCCATTCGTCAAACAAAAACCAATTCAAGTAAATGACTCAAAACGTCGCAGAGTTAAGATATCTCAGTGCGGTGCGACTTGCAAGATACACTGTATATTTGCTTGTAGGTATTTCCCCTCATACAAACATCTTGCCATTTATCTGCTTTTATGGGAATTCGGTCAAGTACTCACGAGTACTCGACTACTATCGAGTAATTTCTTTGCAAGTACTCGAGTACAAAAATCCACTTCTCACACTCACACAGGCCTACATGTAGTTTTTTGTTATTTGATTCAGTAACAATGAAAGTACAAGGTGTCTACTCATACTGTACATGTACCCGGTACATGTATGTACCACAGAGGTACACAGACCTTCCCTGGAGATGTAACGTCCGATGCTATGGGTCTACTCCTGTACCTAAATTCGGGCGATTCACAATGCAGTGCGCCAGTTTGCCATGGAAAGTCCATTTTTCAGCTCTACGGTCGACAAAACATGGCCCATTTGAATGAGTGTCAGTAGACAACTTGTGTATTATTTCATGGATTAGGGCAAAGCATTCTGCCGCCTTACAAAAAACACCGTATTGATACAAAGAAAAGGGCAAACAGATCCTCAAATCATAGGCCCCCTACGCTTACGAAACTACTGACCGGAAAAACTTTTCAAATATCCCACGCTGCGAATTTGTTGACTGTCTCCCACAATGCCCTAGGGAAAATGAACTCTCCGTGGCAAACTCTTGGTGGCGCACTGCATTGTGAATCGCCCAAATTGAAAGCATCCGTACAGTAAACCATTTGTGCACTCTTTGTACGAAAAAAAAGAAGTAATATTTCTACACCAAGACTCATGTTGGACTGCCACGACTGGACCCAACAGTTCAAAACCCAACTAAATCAGTAACAACCTAATGATGAAACTTGTTCACAGATCTGGGGAATGGTTAGGGATATGTGACCTTTGACCCCCGGGTCATCTCACCTGGGTCTGCCTGCTCACCTTGGCTGGAACCATCTCTAGCAACGGGCATAGTGGAAGTATATGGTGGAAGAACTGTAGGCTAACTGATTGAACGATGACCTGAACCTCAACAGCGATGATGGATGAACCTGTGAACATAAAGTGCAGAAATTAAAGCCGCATACCAGTGGGATCATAAATTTTGAATGTTGGAATGGTCAACCTCGTCCCCAGTGCTTACTTTATTTCCAACCGCGTTTCCAATAGTAAACCCTGGATAGGAAACTTTCTTCCTGTATCCTGATTGGATACCGCAATTGGCTAGTAATGGATTTTTATCGTGTACTTGGTGCTATATATTCACAACGTGCAGTACGTGATTTCGCGATCATTCGTCCACGCCTCCTCGAAAATACTAATTTCCTTTCCAATTTGCTCATATTAATATGAAATATGATACTGCATGTTGTCTCGATAAGATCGTAACAGTTTGATTTCAAAAATCGTGTTTTCGTAACTCACGCCGTGCTCGCGCTGCTACGAATTGACTCTGTCTTTACCCCAGACACCGCATACAAAAACAAACGCTAATGTGTAACGCATATCCAGGCACCAGACTGTTCCTCATTTGCATACGTGTGCAAAAATATTGCACATGCAAATGATCCAATACCAGGGTGAGAGAGCAGGTAGTGGTGGGTGCGTACTGCTCGACACCCTGGGGACGAGGTTGAGGACTGGTATCAAATAGGAAAGAATGTTGCAACCTGACGCCACTTTTTTTCATCATATATTTTCTTAATGAAGGTCAGTCACTGCAAAAACACATGAATCTGGGACTGAGAAACATTTCCAATTATGTTGGAAAATGCTTTGAAAATTGTCTTGATCGACTTTCCATAGACTTTGTACACAGCCAACGAAGTGGCGTCTGGATACTACATTCTCTCCATCAATTATCCTGTGAAATTGGCCCGCCTGAAATGGTATTGTTTCAATGGAAGAACACAATAATTGAAGGTGGTTTCAAAGTACCGGTAGGGTGAAACCCAGGGTTCTACGTGCATAAGTACATGTAACAGAATCCAGTTACAAGACCCCAAAAGTTGTGAATACGTACACTGTGTGTACCAAATGTATAGCTGAAACTTCAACAAGTTAGTTGTTACATGCACCCTACTTAGGCCAAAAAAAAAAGTCTCCGGTTTCTGGTATGCACGCGCGTCACCGTAGCCATGCGCGTCGGCAAAATGAAAAAGTTTTTTTTCAATAAAAGATGATGTCTCAAAACCGCCAAACTCACTGGTTTGACTGGAATCCTGCTGCTGCACAATTTTAACGTGTTTTTAGATGGGGTTATGATCGAGAATAAGCTTTATGTGGCCTCTCCGGACTCCCATATATTTGCACTAAGTTTAGTCGGGCACCATTTGCAGTCATCAGCCGACATTTGAAGCAAAAAGACAGGTAAAAAAAAAAAAAAAGCCGCGTCGCCGCACCACTTTTTGGGCAAGCTCCATACCAGAAACCAGAGACTTTTTTTTTTTGGCCTTATGATATATTGAGCATTTTATTGCTTCAAATGACATTAATGTACATAAAGTAAATTATCCCAGCCTGGGATAATAATGGTGACTGCTCTATGTTCCGACACCCCTATGTTCCGACAACCTAGATTGTGTTACTCCCGGTTAGGGTTAGGGTTAGGGTTAGGAATAGGAATACGTGCAGTCGGAACATAGGGGTGTCAGAACATAAGAGGCCTGTGTAACCATAATAATACATGTACCGGTATTAAGATCAAAGATGTAAGCACAGTTCATGAAAAATCGTTGGTTGAACCACAACGTGATGTATCATGGATACTTATCATGAAGTATCGACTGTGCACAAAGCCCAGGCAATCTGTCACTTGCGTTTTTGAACATTAATTAATAAAGCTACATGAACAGTTTACCACATGCACTATGCAAGTACATGATGGGCTCTGCGAAAACGAGTCACATTCAGGTACATGTAAAGTCTTTATCGTGATAAAATGTCTAGACAGAGCTCAAAGCACACTTGAGACATAACACTGTACATGTACACGTATTTTTTAAGGAGGTACTCAAAAGGATAAGGGTTAAAGCTCAGTAATTCCATGTCAAGGTCGGGGATTAAATGTTATACCACATGCAACAGGGGCCATAAAATAAATAAAGTGGCCATGAAATCAATAATTCCACACTGTTGTACATGTACATGTACATTGTATTTTGTTCATTTGAACATCCTTCTCACGCTTTTAAATTCTTTTCAATACTGGAACATCCTTTTGGAATTTGTTTTAAAAGTGCATTAATTTATTGACTTTATTTATAACAAGCTGATTTACCCGATCATAGATCGGGTAGGGCGTATTTGTGTTGGGGTTGAAAGTGTGGGGAGTTAAATGTAAATGGGTGATTTAGTTGAGAAGACATGTAGCTATAGAAAAGCAATTTACGGTGACGCGATCTGAGGCAGTTTCTGACCACGTACGATAGTAAAACAAAAGATCATCTTTTAAACATCATTTTCGAGTTCGGAGTCATTGAATCAGCTGTTCTGAGCAAAAGAATATTATAGTAGGCTACAATTTTTATTCGGGGAAGAAAAAGTGGGGGTAGGGAACCAAACGATATTGCCCGCTTTAAAATGTTGGGGTGGGGGTCCCCCGTCCCCCACCGATTGACGCCGCGCCCATGATAATAAAATTACATAGTCTGAATCATGGAGGAAGGTCATTATGAAGGTACAGTATTGGACTCTTCAACAAACGTAAACTTGAACTTCTTACAATTTGCGAGACCTGCGAGGAAAAAGTCGATTTAACTATTTTATTCAAGTTGGCATGGTTCAACCATAATATAAGCAAGGCCAAACAGCCAACAACCGCCAATATTATTATTTATGCACTCTTCGTTATTCCAACCCAACATAGTTCAAAGAGCACAATATTTGAAGCAATGCATCGATCCCTCGTTGATTTACCCCATCATAGATCGGGTAGGGCGTAGAGTTGGGGATGAAAATGTGGGGAGATGAATGTAATTGGGGGATTTAGTTGTGAAGACATGCAGTTATAGAAAAGCAATTTCTGTGGTGCGATCTGAGACAATTTCTGACCACTAAAACAATTTTTTTTTGCAAAAGATCATCTTTTAAACATCATTTTCGAGTTTGTGACTGCGTTTAAGATCGCGATGTTTGAAGCAATGCATCAATCCTTCGTTGATCCCAGACAGGCCCCCGAAATTATAACGCAACACTGTGGCGGGCAGCGAACTCACAACGCTCAGCCTTGGTGGAAGCATGGAGCACACGATGGAAGCAACAGAGCACTATACACGTCACATGCTTGTGCTTCAAATCATGCAAATAGCGAGCACCGTAGACCCAACCTCGTTTCCAGGGTGTGGAGCAGGCTGCAGTACGCGTTGCCATCGACAGTTTTGCATAGCCCGGAAATACTACGCAGTGTAGACTTTCGATTGGTCAGACCGCGCAAGGCATACTTAATGTGTAGTCCTTCTGAGTATTTGTTGCACTCGGCGCAGGGGCGGCAAGCAAAGCATATGAAAGAATAGGGGCACTTGGTGGCCACACACCATGGACAAAAAATATTTTACCAAGGTCACCACATACTAACGTTTGGTGAACGCTTTTGCAGAAGGGCCGAGTAGAACACGTAAACGAAACCCCTACGTTGACCTCGCTGACCTCGCACAGTCTAGACACGCAGAAAAGCCAGCACGGGGGGCGGCCAGGCAGTCAACGTGAAAGCGCACACGACGGCAAATTCCTGTGCAAAATTCAGTCACGAAAAATCGACAAAACGGATCGCCAGTCCGTACGGGAAAATTAGGACGACCCGAAGCGTCCAACCCGGCGGAAGACACCCTCCGCATTTTTTCACGGACGTGGAGCGATTTTGGGGCCGCGGGAGCCCGCGGTCTCGGATCCTTTCAGGAGCAAACATCGTCTCGGGGGCGAGTAAACTTCTCTCTTATACATGTACATAGATGTCTATGGATGCTGTCTGCCAAACCTTTTATCAATCACCTGATATCATCGACATGTACCTATTAATTAAGGCATTTCTATGCAAGAGTGGACATTACCGAAGAGTGGAAAATGTATTAAATCTTTTGACCTACTGGGTACAAAAAGCATCACAACCTCAAATGTGGTACATCAAATAAAAGGGAAGAAATAAGGACCTTTCATTGAGTAGTGAGCCAGTGAGATGGAATATGGTCAAACGTCAAATGGGTTTTTTGTCAAAAAATCCGGGGTTTTTGGGGGGCTGAAATTGTCAGTTTTAAGGGGTTATTTTGGCATCTTGTTTTCATGTATGCAAAATGTAAACGTGTGTTATTGCTTGTGAGGTTTTGACAGGTGGTTCATATTCTGGCTGTTCAAAACACTTCATGTACATGTATGTATTTATGTACATATTGTAGCCACGTTTTAGGGCCATTTCCGAGGGTTTCCAGTCGATATAATACATTTGTACGTATTCACTATACAGTCAAATATTGACTTCCAGTATCTTCTCTTCATTTTTCCTTTTCTTTCACCTTACTGTTTTCCATTTTTCTATTTGGTTTGATTTTCTTTGGGGAGGGGTGTCAAGGAACACATTTTTGGGGGAAAATGCCCCCCTCCCAGCACCGCCACAGTATGTACATAAAGCCTCTACGTACATGTTATGTATGTACATTGTACTTCCATGCAGTACGTGTGCAGTAGCCAAAAAATATGTTCCGGTACACACTCGTACACGTGTAGCCCCAGGTGATTTTAAAAGACTACGTGTGCACTTGCATCAAATAAGCCACCATAAAATATTTTGCTCGCGACAGCTACCGTGCTATGTACAAACCCCCAGGGCACTAAATAATTCACAATTCAATTTTGGGGGCCGCACTGATGTCCCAATTTTCAAAGTTCAATGGGCCAGACATGTGTGATCTCTCAATCTTTAAGATGCTTGTGTCGATGTGTAGCACTGCTCTAATTAGCCAGGATGAATATATTCATGAGGGAGTCATATTGCAAATACGGTATCGCTTAAACTCGATAGCAGCAAAACTGGAGATTGAATAAAGCTAAGCAATTAATTTTTTTCAAAAACAAAGGCCTGTTATTAGTGTACAATGTTCATTGTATGGTCTTGCTGTGTATGTTTTACAAATTTAACATACCGGTACGTACATAATATGTACATGTAGTTTGTGAATTTACTTGCAATGATACAACTCAAGACCTTATTTGGGCTGAAATCGCTTGTAACATGTATCATGTATCAATTGCATAGCATTAGCAACGCAGATTCATTAACACCATTACGTGCATTGTGTATAGGGGCCTACTGAGTACACATGGGATAAGCCCATCAAGGACGTGTAAACGGCTAGAGAGGTGAGAGTGACAGAAATTTTAATACTGGTCATGTTTACTTATGCAAAGTGCAAGTCTACATGTGTAGGGCCTATGTACATGTATACATGTGTATCAACTACATGTACATGTATAATGTATACAATATGTACCGTGTACATGTCCTGCAGTAATGGACATTTGCGTGTACAAAAAAATTAAGCATGCATAAATGGCATGGACTGTCTAAGTAACCACACAAACTGTAGTTTGTACCGGTACATATACTTGATATGTATACATGTAGTACATATTTATAAGTCTTCACGGATTTGTTCAGTCATGTACCCAAATATGCACTGGAATTATGCAAATAAGGAAGCTGACAAGATAATGATTCTAATTTAAAGGGAATATACAACATTTGAAAACATCGACAAATAAAACTACCAAGTTTTTACGAAATACCTTACTAGGATGTTGGTAAATGACAGTCTCAAGCATCTTGTAAAATTATGGCACCTGGTGTGAAGTCATTTTCAAGAAAATGGTATTTTTGTAAATATTTCCAAGTTTGGTCGGCTGACCAGCGTTGGAAAAACCTAACTATTTTTCAACTACTGCTCCAAATTTACCATTTTTTTCAGTCCAAATTCTGTTTGCTACTGGTTACATGTTCATGAACGGTGCAGGCCAGCTAGACTGGTTCCCTTGCCTTACAATTTTCCATCATCTATAAATTGATCCATTTTATCTTTTGTGGAGTCAGGGAACCAGACTACTTGAACATTTTTGTTTTTCTTGGTTTTTCCAACCTTTTTGAACACCAAACTTCAAAAATGTCAGTGTAACAATATTTGATCTATTATACTAACCTCTCAAATAGTTCATTTCTGAAAATTACAGCAAAAGCCAATGATGTACATTCCCTTTAAACAGATTTTGTGCAAATACAACAACAACATATGTAGGAAAATACAACATGGTTCATTGAAAACGTAACCCTTCAAGTTTTGCAAAACCACTTTTGCCCATGTAGAGTTGAATGGTAGCATCCACACTTTGAAGTATACTTTTTAAGTCTTCTCCTAGGCAGCCCTTCACTGTCTTTTTTAGTCATGTACCGGTACTTGCTCGTTTGTTGTTGTCCTTTTTTTGTTTTTCTATCTTGTAGTTCTATTGTTTTCCTAAGTCTTTTTTATCTGATTGTAAATTTGCCTGAATAAAAGTAGCTTAAAGGGAATATACAACATTTGCAAACATCGAAAAATAAAACTACCAAGTTTTTACGAAATACCTTACTGGTATGTTGGTAAATGACAGTCTAAAGCATCCTGTAAAATTATGGCACCTGGTGTGAAGTCATTTTTAAGAAAATTGTATTTTTGTATACATTTCCGATGGTGGTCGGCCGACCACCTCAACTAGGCCTACTGCTCCATATTTACCCTTTTTTCAGTCCAAATTTTGTTTGCTATTGGTGACATGTTCATGAACGGGTGCAGGCCAGCTAGACTGGTTCCCTTACCCTACAATTTTCTGGCATCTATAAATTGATCCATTTTATCTTAAGTGGAGTCAGGTCTACATGCAGGTCTACCAGGTAAATAGCCCCATTCTGTGGCAATTTACTGGACTTCAATCTCTTAACCCTAACCCACCTCACTCCTCCAAAATCCTCCTGGCGGTTTTGGAGGATTCTAGAGGATTGAGGATGAATGGTGATTGAATCAAATGAGGATTCTGGAGGATTGAGGATGAATGGTGATTGAAGCACATGAGGATTTTGGAGGATTGAGGATGAATGGTGATTGAAGCACAAGAGGATTTTGGAGGATTGAGGATGAATGCATTTTGAGGCAGGACTGTCTGATGATTTTGAAGGATTTGGCGTTGGTTTATCCTTCATTTAAACACGAGTGCAAAATTTTGGGATGAGGAGGATTTTGGAGGATTGAGGATGAATGCATTTTGAGGCAGGACTGTCTGACAATTTTGAAAAATTTAGGCGGAGTTGAAAAATTTTGGAGGATTTTGGAGGATTGAGGATGGTTGTAAGCAACAAGGGCCTAGGGGGTTAGGGTTAACATAGATGACATCATCAGGGGGGCCCACTTCATGTAAATATCTGCTCAGTCACCTCGCGCCTGCATATTACATCCCTGCTGAGGAGATTATGCAGTATTCCACCAGAACCAGAACTAGAACCAGAACCAAATAAAGCCACAATATTCAGTCTCACAAATCTTTGCAATTTTTGCGGAAGTGGAGTAGTATTAGTAATAGGCTTAGCCTACCTGAAAATCGAAAGGGCAAAGATGCACATGACCCATGATCTTAAAAAAAAATAATAGAGCGGCCTACACTTTTTTAGTCAGGTTAGTCATAGCCATTTTTGAAATCTCATTAAAATTTTCCATTAAAAATTAAAGGATTTAAACGTTACACTAGTAGGCCTAATATACATTTACATGTAGGCCTAGATATGCTAGAAATTACTCCTAGAACTATGCTACGTGGAGCCTCATAGTTCTAGGAGTAGCTAGAAATATTGAATTCTTTTTTTTCCTCAATAATATTATTAGGCCAAGTTGTCCACTAGGCTAAAAATTTTGATACATGTACCAGTATAACTGAACGTTACTTTGGCCCACTACTTAACTTAGTTCTATGGCATGACACAATAGCGAATATTTAAAGGGAATATACATCATTTGCTTTTGCTGTAATTCGCTGTAATGGATGGATTTGGGGGTTTGGTTATATATGGTAAATATTGTTACACCAACTTTTTTACGTTTTGGGTTCGTAGATCGCTATAAGAACGAAGAAAAACAGTCATTTTCCTGTAGTTTGGTTCCCTGACTCCATTCAAAGTGAAACGGAGCAATTTATAGACGTTTGGGAATTGTAAGGTCAGGGAACCAGTCTAGCTTGCTTGTACCCGTTCATAGATGTGTAATCGATTGCAAACAAAACCGGACTAACTATAAAATATGATCAATTGGGGCCAGTATTTAAAAAAAAAAAAAAAATTTTCCAACGCTAGTCGGCCGACCACTCACCAGCGTTAGAAATTGATACGAAAATACCACTTTTCTTGAAAATGACAGTTTACCAGGTGCCATGATTTTACAGGATGAATTAGACGGTCATTCACTAACAGTTTAGCAACGTATTTCAAAATAGTTTAATAACTTTATTTTTTGATGTTTGCAAATGTTGTATTTTCCCTTTACGCAGTGGCTATTGTTACGGCAGCCGTAACGCATTTCCCGTTTTCTATCGTTACGGTAGACTGCAACTTTTATAAAAACATGACAAGAAAATATAAAATTAGAAGGAAAAAAGTGAATTTGATTTTGAACGTTATGAAATTCGGACTTTATTTCCCTTTTAAAAAAAAATCCTCCAAAGCCTCAGGTGAGAAAAGGAAAAAAATTCGAGTGCAAAACTGAGATTCGAACCCGCAACCTAGCGGTGCAAAATCCTACCCTCTATCGATTGAGCTGTCACACTGCTCGCTAAAACGTGTGGAAACAAATAATTATATACCTGCGTGCGTATCAAAAAAGTATCGTAGAGGGTGCTAAACAACAACTGCCGTAACGATAGCCACTTCGTTTCCTTTAATTTACAACCCGTTCTAGATTCAGGAAACACAACTTTTCAGGAAATTTAGCATGCTTCGCTGAACTCCAGTAAGCATCATGGAGGTACATGTACCGGTACCTCCGTGATCATGATGATCTAGATGGTCTAGATGAAAATTGTGCTTTACCCTCGACCCTCCATATCAATCTGCGCTGCGCAGGTAACGCTTGCAACGCGCGCGCGAAGGTGAGTGGCAAGTGCGTAGAAATAGGACCGCGTAGCTTTAACTAGTTTAGGGGGCGAGCGTAGACCCGGCTTCTTCCTCTTACATTTGTCTTACCTGACAGGCAGCCGTATGATGTGGTAATCTGAGCAGGTTAGATCAAAGATCAATAATCAATGTTCACGAGGCACCCTGTCGGTCATTACTGTAGCTCGTCATCAACGCATTCACAATCACAGGCACATTTTAATTTGAGTGCATTTGATCCAGTGATCATTGTGTACGTGTACTTCATGCGCTTATGTATAGGCCTAGGCATTATGCCAGGAAAAACGTGAAGCTTTCCTCGTAGACGTTTTTCAAGGCTTAATCGATAAGCTGTCTTTTAACTTTGTAAATAATGGTGATTATTTCTAATTAAAATATTTAATTATTGCATAATTCAGAAATATAACACCACCTTATTGAAAGTCTTGCCTTTATCAAGAACGCTGAATTGCAGGAAATGCTCTAACATCTTGCGATTCAGAAAATACAGCGACTTGAAATGAAATTAATCAAACACCAACAACCATGAGGGCGCCCTAATCATCACGTTGATGGCGGCAAGATCCAAGCGGTTGGGCGTTTCTTTTTGTTTAGCAATTTGGGGGGGGGGGCAGTAAGGCGCCCTTTGAAAAATACATGTGCAGTGCTAAAACATATAACACTGATTCTGAAGGGTTATAGCCAGAAACTACAAGCATAACTGCACATTGTAAATTTGGTTTATTAAACAAAATTGACCAAAGGAAATTACCCAGAAGCGTATTTCTCTGCAACAAAATAAAACATCCCCACAACACACCGGATTGGACTGGCATGAGCGACGAGTGGGCGATTTGTATTTTGGGATAAATATGATAGCACTGCCCAGTTGACAAGTGACAGTCAGTGAGTCAGTCAGTATGATAGGTGCAAAGTGGACACTAGGCTAGCTGACCAGCCAAACATTAATAAATAAAATGACAGACCATCCGAATATAAAACTGGTTGCACAATACATGTATTAAAATGAAGTCATCACTCAATAAGACAACAAAGCAAAGGTCTTAATGAATTTCATAATTACAGTTTTATTTTGTTTTCATGTCGGAGGCGGCTTGATTTATACATAACAAATGGCAAACAAAGAACCTATATAAAAGAGAAATTCTTTATGCTAGCTACAAAACAACTGCCATTTTCCCCCCATATCGTTCTCTCTTCAGATTTCCACTGAAGATAGCTGGGGACCTAGATAACCCCACAGGAAAAAAAACAACATTATCATGTAACTCATGTTGATGTATTACATTCCCACATCAACTACACATTATATTTGTTACGCTGGAAAACTTACACACGATCAGATATTGTTCTACCTGCATGATTGCTTGCAGTCTGTTTAGACAGTGTTTGCAAGCATCCATGCTTAAACTATTCCAATGCGCTACCCATACTTAATTTTCCTGACCACAATTACCTGTAATTATTTTGGCATGATAAATTTTAACAAAAGGTTGCACATGACATCGTGTAGCCCAGCAATAATACTAACCAGGAACAAAATGAAAACAAAAAAGAAAACAAAACAATTTTAAAGCCATCTTAAACATCATACAAAAGAAATTTCAATTCTGAACCACTTTGGTTTTTCTGGCTTTCCAATGTCATTCAAATTGACAAGCGATCGAGCCAGATTAACCAAAATTTTATCTTTATTTAGTTTTGCGAAATTGCCACGCAACAATTAGCTATTTTTTTTCAGAGGTCTTGCCCCTGTTTTACCACCACTTTATGGTGAAATTAAGTATTGAAGAAAATATTTTGATGTGGCAAAAAATCATGTGTGTAAACATCACCTTGTGAAACAACAGCTGACAATTAAATATACTATTTTTGGGATAAAATCTGTCTGTTTGGATAGGAAAAATACAACACAAAGTAAGTGCCAACAAATCTGATCAAAAATGAGGTAGAACCTCTTCAACATAAATCTCTGTGATTTATCTATATTTACCCCCCTCCCCATCCACCCCACCCCCCCCCCCCCCCAAAAAAAAATTGTTCCCTAAGTTTTATTATATTATGACAGCCAACAAATGTTTCTACTGCACACAATATACATAACTTTCCATGTGAAATGATAGTGTAAAAGTTGTACATTGATAAATTGGACACAAGTGTGCGAAGTGTGCTGTGGGAAAAACTGGATTTTTTTGGGGGGGGGGTGGGGAGGAAAGGGGGGGGTGTAGTGACTATTTTTGATTAGTCCTCATGTGACAACCCTTTTTGATAAGTTAATAATTAGATCTAAGGCTGTATGGTTGCGAATGAATATGCATTCCCTTACTGTTTATCAACTAAATGCACTGATCAGCTTCAAAACTGAAGCCTGTATTTTTACTTTGCCAAAAGTAAACTGAAATAGAGTAAACTAGGAAGCTAGTGGACAATGTATGTGAAACTGAGTACATGTACATGTATGTTGCTTGACTATATCTGTGAGACTGACGGTTGGTTGGAATAATATCGCTGCCGCAATGCTTGTGGTGTCTCACAATTAACAGTGATCACATAATAGATTCATGTACAGAAACATGTAAGTGCTTAAAACCTGCCTTGCAAACGATACTTATTTTTACTTAACTCCTTTTCACAGGGGGGCTTTAATTTATCACATTTGCATATAAGTATACTCAAGTTCAACAACTGCTCAACTGAAGCACAAACCAAAACTTCCATTATTTTTTTTACAAAGATCATAAAATTTGGGTTTACATTTTAAAATTGTTTTGGTACTAACTGAACATGGCGAGAGTGCACACATTCAGAAGCAGTGAGAGTATTTTCTTCAAAATACAAAGCACAAAATATGTATACCGAACAGCGAGTACAGGATTTCTTTGCTAATAAAAGCCAACAACGTCTTGCGTTAAGCTGGTACAGTAAGCTTGGGTGTACTAGGTGTGTTTTTTTTGTATATTCACAGAAAACAAGAAGTAACTCTGGCCAGTTCTGCCACTGTAGTATTATTTGTTTCTCCCAGGATTTGCATAAGCCAATTGCTTACAACAGTCTCAGTATTTGCAGTGCTGGATTTTGTTTTACTAAGCAATTTTATAACTCAAGCCATACGCATGGTGCTCTGCAATACTTCCCCCCATTAGGTACTGCACCACACACTTCACATTGGAATTCCAAACAATTCTTAAATGTGCAGCTTGAGAGAAGTTTTTAATGTTATGGGAGGCCAATAGATTAGTAATTTGATCTTAAAACTGAAAACGCTACTCGTTCACTTTACCAGAAATGTTCAAAGTGTGATTCATGTACCCAAATTAAAAAAATAACATAAATTTAAATTAAAATTTATTTCACAGGACAAATGTTATTGGAGAACACAAAATGAGTCTGACAAACTTTTCTGATTGTATTTTGTTGCTACAGTTGTATATGTAACAAAATGAGCATACTCAGGTTTTCATTTTGACATATTTTGACTTATTGATGAATATGTATCGACATGTTGTCGGTAAAAACCCTTCTACACTCCGCATTGCTACATTTTGTTAAAGTGTCTAAAATTCAAGTAGCTCTAGTGACCCCGACTCAAATGCCATTGGCAAAAAAAAAAAACCAAGACTCTTCGTAACAAGGTTTGCAAATAGAGGTTCCTTATAAACATTTTAATGTTTTAGTTTGTTAGTGTTTGGTTGTACATGTACATGTAACTGAAATGGAAAAAAAAACATAACAGCATAACATCATGGTGGTGTCCAATTTGCGCTGAAAAAAAAAATGAAATCGTACAAATGTAGTCCACTTTATGCATTACTTTCAAAGTATTTCTGATAGCGTTTTTTTGCCATCTATCGCCATGTACATGTAAGTATAATGACAGCTGGGCTCTACTTTCCTAAATCCAACAAAATCCTTCAAAAACCTACAGTTGGCTTTGAAGGGTCTGGATTTGAAAGATACAGGCATACTCAGCAAATGGCTTACAGTTTGAGATCCTGGGCCCAATACAGCCTACGCAGCAGCAAAGAGATTTGGCAGATATCACTAAAATCAGTTTTTAAAAGGTCCTGCCGCTTTGAAAAATGTGAATAACACCACAGAGGTTTTTTTCGTTAAGCAGCAAAGATATGAGTACAATTTTAATTTCTGTTTAGACCCAAGGAAAGTATACACTCAAACTTTGTCAGTAAGCCATAGAGATGCCGTATCACTCCCTTTTCAATGACATGTTTTTGTAAGAGGTAATATGAAAGTGTGAGAAGTGAGCTGCACTGGTCAGATTAATGGTCCCACCATTGATTCACAAGATGCACACACAAAAAAAAAACACCAAACAAAACTCAACATTGAGCTCAATAGAATGTGAAAGATGACAAGCTACCCCCTTTTTTCTACAGGAATTGCCATTGTATGGGAAACAATATTGTCATGCACCCCCCCCCCCCTCCAAAGGAAATGACACCTTAAGTACATGTGGAAAGTACATCCTTATGACGGCATATTATTGGATGTTTGTTATGTCTACAATGCAACACACATTAATGCAGCCTCACCGTGGGTATGCAAATTCAACAATCAATCACTGAAACGAGAATGTGCCTCAACTTCACTTTAAACATTCTCATCAAAAGATCGATCAATTAAGCCCTGCCTAATGACGCCTTGACCAATTACAGCCGATCCGACGTGTGTGGACTAAAGTCCGACATGTAAGCTCGTGCGTAGGACGCGCAGAGCTGGAACATGCAAAATGGCGTGCTATTGCCCACGTGTGTAGTGGGTGGGGCTTAACCCTATCCCCCGACAGGTTTTCTCTAGGCACCATGCCAAATGCAACAAAATGCAACTTGGCTGAAATAGAACCCTGCTAAACGCAACAAATTGCAACAGTGGACTCTGTTGCATTGTGCAGTGAACCCAGTGCATACCAGCCTTGGCACCAAGCAGTTACCCTGCTAAATGCAACCAAATGCAACAGTGGATTCTGTTGTATTGCTTTGGCACTATGAGCAGTTACCCTGCTAAATGCAACAAGATGCAACACAACATATGGACTTGAATTGGCTGCTAAATGCAACAGTATGCAAAAATTTTGGTTGCTTTCTGTTGCATTTAGCAGGGTTACGATGAATGGGTATTTTGCCCAGCAAAACCAATAACAATTTTCATGGAAATTTAAAGTATACAAAATATTTGCGGAGTAGCTACGTGAATTTGATGCAAGTGCTGCATTGAATAATGCCAAAAAATTGAATAAGTCATGTCACATGCATATCTTTCTAAAACAGGTTTTTTTTTTTTGGCAATTGGCCTGATTGCGCTTAACCACTTTTTTGTTCTCTGCGTAAATGTTGTTGCAAACTAAAGAAGTAAATTGTGCTTGGTTAATGACGGAGAACTGTAGAGACAAGAGGGTCTAGAATGTGGAAGGGGAATCAATAAATTTTACACCTAATTTGGTGAAACACTTGTTCACATACATCGGAACAAGACAAAATAAGAACACAAAAAATATTACGCCACCAACTATCAGGTAAAAAAAGAATAAACAAAACAAAAATAGAATTAACACTATAATTACTATAAATTGCTTACTGTACCTACTTAACAAAATGTCAAGCGTGGATGTGGCGTAATAACGGAAATGGTGACAGGCAAGGCAGAATACTCATCGCGGACTGCACAAAAGAATGTGCACAACCAAAGCCCGTATCTAGTGCTTGCTGTACATATTGTTAATACAGTTTATGATAAGGGCAGTGTGGCACAGTAATTGTGGAATGGCCCATCCCAGCCTGTCGATCAAACAGTGTCCATTGACCAATCAGATCATGACTATAGGTCAGGTGACCACAGAAATGAACACAAACTAACAGTGGGCGGGGCTTAAGGCCAAATCCAGAACAGTCCATTTATTGTTACAGGGGCTACATTTTGTGGACCTGCTTAACAGTTACCAGAAAAAGCTAACGCCAACTGAAGCAAAACAAGACAAGGCAGTCTAGTAAAGCAAGTCCAGGTCACAAAAAAATGTATTCAATGGACTCAGAATGGCTATTCAGATTTGGCCCATCATTGGCGTTACAGGGTAATCCTATATGACAGCACTGCCCGGCTGTCTAGTGACAGTCAGTCAATGAGTCAGATGGGTACAAAGAGAACACTAGGATGGGACCAGCAAAGACTGTCAGTACTTCCAATAATCATAAGCTGAATTTGAACATTACATTTTCAGCCATGCAACTGGGAATATAGAAAAAAATGAGGAAACAAGACTTTGTACAGTATTTTTCAATTTTTAATGGCATTCATGAGAAGTAAAAAAAATTGAGGAAATCAGCGGATCCGAGGAATAGCTGCATGCCTGCACTGTGTAACTTATTCTTGCCTAGATCCGAGCACTCTGCCTTACCGGTCACCAGACTCAGTATACTCTCACAGTAATACCTGTTATGTGTGGCTGCCTTAGTATTTCCTTCCAACATTTTTTTTTCATGTTCTATATACCGGTAGTTATATACAATCACCTAGCAGACACGAGCAGCTGCTATGGGGGCTAATACTACGTCATGTAGGCGTTCTCGTTCCGTAGTTTCTCTAAGTCCTTTGCTTGCTGTCGTAGAAATAATATTCTGAAAAAAAAATAATAAAAAACTGGAGTCAAACTAAGTTTTATCACTTGAATGACGGAATGAACTTAATCTTATCTTGGAGCTGAAGGTATAATTTCACTACATCATTTTACGATTGCTGAGCTTTGCAGAATCTGTTCTGATAGTTTTGGGGTTTGCAAATTCGTGCCTGCACTTGTCACAAAATTCCCAAAGAGCTTATTAAAATAATATATGGAACAGGTAGCAGAATGGCTCGTATTTTGAGGAGAAATTTGAGCTAATATTGCTCATGGACGCTCTCAAATTATGTGCGAAAGTGGATTTCAACAAAAATGTGGCATTTGACAAGCAACAAATTAAATCTGATCATGATAACGTGGAAGTTTTTCATCAGCACCCGATTTTATCAAACTCTTCGTATCCCTACGATGCGTTGCAGCTGCGACGCGTCCTGCGATCCATTTCACAAAACACGTCGTAAGTGCGAAGGTGTATTTATAGCACAACTCAGTGACTGTTTTATGTCTTTAGTCAGCCTACAGTAAATAGTCATCTGATATTCAACAAAGCGTCGTCGGATCTCCGCCCTAAATTTGTTAAATCGTCAAATAAAATGGCGGCCGTGTGATGCAATTTTAAAGGAAAAAAAGAAAAGGACTCTTCTTATTTTGCGATGACCACTAGACACGTCATAACTTGCGACATGTTTTAAGCCGTTGTCAAGGAACTTACGACGCGTTCAACACATTGCAAGTTTCGTGAAATGGACTGTACGATGCATCGCGAGTTGCGATGTGTTACACGTTGTAACCCGAGTTGCGATGCGTCGCATCATTTAGTGAAATCGGGTGCAGCTCCTTGAGACTGTCCACATTTGTTGAATGTGGGCCTTTCCACACTAAAGGTGTACAAAAGTGTGACATGGGATTGGGAAATGAAGCAGAATAATAATATCAAGTTGTTAGTCCTCTTTTCCACTTGTACATTCCCACCCCATTGTTGAGGATTGTGCTTTTAAAGAATTTAACACTTTCCAGGCAAATGTAACAAGATATTTATGCTCACAGTTCTACGTACGTAACATGGACAGAAAGTTTGTTAATATTGACAGAAAGTTATAATTAAAATAAATGTCTGTATCAAATATTGTGCCTTTTCATTCTTATCCCTACAGCCTTGTTACCTGTAAAAACCTAGACAGTTAACTGTATATTTCAGATGTCACAGGGTATTATGTGCAGAATATTACGTACGTAACATGGACAGAAAATGTCACAGCATTTCTGTCCACGTTACGTACGTTACCTCTAAGTGTCTTAAAGACCAACACTATTGTGTTCATTGTGGCTGTTTGCACTCCTTAATGGGTTATAAATATCAATGAGATGACATTTGGGTGAATTCATGCACATGATAATTGGCATCTTGTCAATTTGTAGCAAAAATTCTGTTTTTTTGCTACGTACATAGTTTTTATGATGACCCCTGCAATTTCAAAAGTACAAAGAAGGTTTTCTATATTATATGTACACATGCTCAGGTTTCAGAAATGCGCAGGAAACATCTGAACAAAATATCTTGCTTTGCTGTACCCTTCAGTGTCGCCCTCTCAAATCCAAAATTTGCAGTCAATTGTACCCCGTTAGTGTGGAAATACTCATATTTGAATTGAAAAAATGCTACTCGGATATTTGTTTGGTGATAAATATATTCACTATTCCGTATATTCTACGGCTGCCATTTTCGAATAATTTAGTATTCGATTACTCAAAACTGTGTGTGACCGGAAATTTGGATATTCGAAACTGCCAGCTGCAACTGCATGCCAGGCCAGTCAGACGTTGCTTGCAGAGCACGCCAGTTAAAATTTGCATGTGGCGATCGATACGGAGAGTTTTTCAGTATTGTTGATGTACCCTAACGTGGCGTGGCCCCTAACGTGGCGCACTTTGATTTTTCGCCTGTGGCGCCCAGCTAGAGCAAAAGTTTTAACTGAAATTTCACAGAAAGTTAACGAAGAGGTTTTGCAACACTACACGAAGAAATTTGGGTACGCTTCGAAGTGGGCCATGTTAGGGAACACGACTATAACTATTTTATAACCGTCAAGGGCTTTAACCTGCTAAAAGGATGGAAACAATGAATCGCCGTCGACAAATATGTTACCGTTAACAAAAAAAGTGGCACCTGACAATAAAACGCCGTACCTTTATGATAAAGTAACATAATAATTATAATAATCGTAGTGCTTATATTGCGCTTTCCATCTTATCAACAAGCTCAAAGTGCTTTAGTGAAGTCCAAAATATCGTCAGTTAACATCACAGTCATGTGCGAATGTATATATTTTTTCCCCCGAATATTCAAAGCGGCAAAAAGCTATTTGAATATTCGGTTGATGATCGCAGTATATTCGGGGCAGCCCTGGTATATTCGGCACAACGCTACACACATGTTTGATGAAAGTGGTCAGCCTTCTAGACTAGTAAGATGTTACATCAATTTTCAGCAGTGTTTTTTTCTTTTAGTCCTTGACTATGAAAAGTGAAGTCTAAAATATTGTAAGTTATATTTTTCATATATCGTATAGAAAGTATAGCCTCATATATAAAGGAGAGTACAACCTCAATTTGGGCGATTCACAATGCAGTGCCCCACCAAGAGTTTGCCATGGAGAGTCCATTTTTCAAGTTAACGGTCGACAAAACATGGCCCATTTGAATGAGTGTCAGTAGACAACTTGAGCAAATTTGTTATAGATTGGGGCATAGCGTTCTGCCGCCTTACAAAAAAACACCATATTGATAAAACGAAAAGAAAGGGGCAAACACATACTCACATCATATGCTTGCAAAGCTACTGACCGGAAAAACTAACAAGTTCAAATATCCCACGCTGCGAAATTGTCGACCATCTCCCACAATGCACTGGGGAAAAATGAACTCTTCGTGGCAAACTTTTGGTGCCGCACTGCATTGTGAATCGCCCAAATTAAGACCGCATTAAGTAATATTTTATCAGATATTATACACATGAATATAATAGCAACAAACATTATTAAGGACGAAAGCATGTACCTCTGTTCTTGTAATGTAGCTTGTATCTCGGATACCCTGACGAGTGACCGTGCAAACTTCAGATCTGCTGAAACCTTAGCGCAGAGTTCTGCACCAAGCGTGTGGGACTCCTCAAATAACCTTTGGGCCTGCAACAATTAATAGATGATTCATTTAAAATGACATATTCCAAGTCTTCTCTCAATAGACCTTATTCACGATGAAGCCGTTTTTTGATGATGTTCTCTGAATTTTATTTACACAAACGCGATTGTCACGTGATTTTGTCGCGCCATCATGTCGCTCGTACTTATATACATGTACAAATCAATTTACATTTACGCGACAAAGTCCTGCGACTTAGTGTGCTAATAATTTCAAAATCGTGCATGTATCGCATATTTGCTCGTCACACACGCGCATGTGCGACCTTGCCGCGCGACATAGTCATTGCGAAAAAAATCGTGCATGTGTAAATAGGCCTTGTAAACAGTTGAATGAGATGCGTTCCAAGCCTCACTTTCAATGGTTTTTAAATGTGGCTTAAAACATTAGCGTATCATTAATCACAAATTTTTAATCACTCATCAGAGCAGACTGGTATTAACTTGTAATTAACTTTGTTTTATTACTTTCAATTCTATTCGCATGTTCCAAAAAGATTTTACACCTCGCTTTCAAATCAATATGGCCGACTTGTGAATAAAGCCTATGGGCCACTCAAATTTATGATGAGACTTAAAGGTACAGTCCATCATTAGTAATTTCTGCATTTTGTCCGTTTGAAGCAACAAAAGTGCTCAAAATCTAAAGAAGGGTGCTGAACAATTAACCTGATGAAGTTTCAGCTCAGCTTCAGCTGTATATTCCGAGAAAAACAGCATTCTAGGATCTTGATTTCAAATCAAAAGTTGCTGAATGATGTTTTGAATTGGGCCTGAATTCAGCGTCCGAGACGCATTCTCACTGAGCCGATTGAAGCTACGCGATGTCGTGCACCGATGCGATGAATGATAGCAACCGCGCGCAAGTGTGCTTTGTGCCAAAGGTTGCCTCGCTTCGCCGAATAAAAAACGAACTACTAACGGAATTTCCAACGGTGGGTCTTAAGACGCTCCGTTGGAAAGGCCTTCTTTCGTTGATTTCCAAAATGACAGCTTGCCAGAAAGAATAATTTCACAGGGAGTTAAGTCTTCTTACTATCTTTCAACCAAGTATGTTTTTCAACAATAATTGCGTCAGTTACTTTTTGGACAGCTGCAAATGATGGACTGTAGCTTTAAGGTAGTCTAATTCACAAGTGACAGTGAGTCGGTCCGGCAAGTACAAAGAGGACTACAGACCGGCCCTCTAGAACCAGTGAAACTTATACCAGATGAAATGAGTATCTTGTCTTACTTGTCTGTCCATAAGCTCTGATGACCAGCCGGTCACATGCTTCGTTAAGGACTCGGTGTAACACAGCGCCAACGAGGGAGTGAGTGTTGCGACAGCAGGCTTCTGAGGTGTAGTGGGTAGGCTAGCCACTCCTGTGCCTGACTGACTCGATGTCTGGCTGGGTGTTGGACTAGCGAAGAACACAAATACACACAAACAATTAACAGGTTGGCCCTAGCACTCCCAGATTCTTGAGAATCAAACACGATGTATTTGAAGGATTTTGTAGGGTAGAAAAAGGTAAAGCCAATCAACTCGTGCAAATAATAATAATTGTGCTTAAATAGCGCTTTCCATCGTATCAACAATCTCAAAGAGCTTTACAATTGTAACCCCGTTCATGTTCCTGGCAGGGTTCGAACCCACGCACCTTTGTACATGAGTCAAACACCGTAACCACTGGACCATGGCGTTCATCCGATGTTAAAGTCTGTTTCTGAGATCAATGGGAGCTAGTTCCTTTGAACAATGCCACAGTTGTATCCTGCTGAAGTTGGTGACCACAGATTCTGAAGCAAATTTGCCTTGCGAATTTGACCTGATGGATCACGATACACTGAACAGGCTTCTGAGTTTTAAAAAGTGTTTGCATGTTGTTTACATTTAGCAAGGATACTTGCCAAAATACCCAAGAGGGTTAGCTTTTAGGAGAAAATGAAGTGAGATCATATTTACCTTGTTGAAATTGGACTTAGTTGTTTACTGTCGACAGTGGCTTCATTCTCCACGACTGGCTCCTCAGCATCTAGTTCCGGCGTTGGCTGTTCCTGCTTGACGTCTGCCGATGACACGCCGCTCAACTTGACCGGCGGGTGGGCCACCGATGTTGGGGTGGCCGAGCGCGAGTCCGGCTGCGGCCCTGGCTGCGACTGCGCGTTACAACTGCGGGACTGCGACTGGGAGTTACACCGGGATTGCGAGGGGTGCGAGGAAGGTTGCGGTTGGGCCAGCAGTGGGGTGGTGGAGGCCTGGTTGCGTGGAGATGGCTGTGAGACAGCCGGGGAGGACAGATCCGAGACAGACGCTACAGATACGGGAGAATGGTTGGACAGCCCTGCAATGACAAAAAAAACACAAGTTTAAAGCAAAATGTACATAATCTGAATCGCTTCAAGTTCAATGCTGCTTCACCGTTAACCCTGCCATCAACACCAGTGATTAAAGGCCAATTTTCAAACAATGACAGCTAGTCCCATTGTACAATGCCAAAGTTGTATCATGCTGCAGTTGGTGACCACAGACTCTTGAGAGATTTTGGCCTTGAAATTTTTGACCTGTTGGATCTTGCTACACTGGGCAGGCTTGTCATTTTGACAGGTGTTGCATGTGCTGCATTTAGCAGGGTTTCTAGCCAAAATACCCTGAAGGGAAAAAAGTCCTCCCTCTCTGGCTGGCGAACTCATCAAAGCCATCCCAGCAATCAAAATCAATCAAGTTACTGTTTTAACAGTTCAGAGCTCCCCGACTACATAAAGCAGGATTGACTGTCTGTGACTGTTAGTGTAACTTGATACATATGTTTAGATTGTTAGAGACTGATAAGCTACTTAATTTTGGCTGTTGATGGAATTTGACTAGTCACAGTGCCTGCATGACGTGTGATCACACTGCCTATAAGACATGTGGTATTGTATTGCAAATGGCAACCATGACAAAGATATTTGCAGAAAAAAAAGAAGAAGTTTTATAATATTCCAAATGTTCCTGGTGAAACTTACTTTCAAAAGCTTCGTCGACTCTGTCGCTATGGTGGTGAGGATGCCCGTGTCTGTCTAGTGACGGGGAGTGGGCGGGGAATAACTTCTGTGCTACGGGTGGGTGGAGACTTTGCTGGTTGAGCTGGTTGTTGTGGTGAGGCTTAGACAGGTGTGGAGAGGGCGTGGCCGTCGGCGTGCCTGGGGAGGGTGTGGTTCTCACGCGTGGGGATTCTGTGGCCAAAAGGACATGAATTAGCATGTGATATTAGGGAAAAATGCAAAATTAAACAGTCAGTAACTCGAGGTTGAACCCGACGTGCCATAGTTAAACCTCATAAAACCTCATGGTATACCTCAAGTTACCGCATGTTTATTTTGCGTTCTCTGCTTAGTTTTTCCTTCACAGTTGTAATGCTTTAAACCATTTCGGCTTTTATTATTGGTGTAATTTAGCATACGTCGAGTGGACATGCTGATGTACTCAAGCTGAGGTGTCTTGGAGGATGCTTTGACTCACAGATGCGTGAATTCCAATGTGCGTAATAATGATTTCGCAATAGGAGGTTTATCCCCGACTCTCTCGAGGTAAGTTTTTGTACTAAGCACAAGAATAACTTATTTTACCTGATTATTCGGTATTATTTTGATATCTTTATTGCCGATAGTAATTATTTAATCATATCAAAATATCTAACATTTCGTCAAAATATATCTCCCATTTGTGCTGTTACTTTGTGTAAAACGTTTGTTGTACAATGAAATAAAATTCGGTGGCAACTTGTGCTTGTGACTGAAAATAAAAACACCACAAAATGCGAAGTGGAAATGCTTTGTGTTCTGCGTTTGCTGGAATTGGCAGTCCCCCCCCCCCCCCCCCCCCCCCCCCCCCCGATGTAAAACCTAAAAAGAAACCACTTGTTCTGGACAAACTGTCAGTGCTGAGATTTGTTTAGAAACGTTTGGGCAATATGCTAGTGAAAACTTGAAAAATTGGGACTTTATATTTTTTTTTAATCTAGTGTCATCTTTATGGTTTTTAACTTTTTAATGGGGATAATCAAGAAATATCAATTATTGAAAATTCTGTTATCAATGGTGATTAGCGCGCACGCTGTACACACACTTCAGCACTTATCCTATTGCATGTGCCTGCAGTATGAATAGCGCACGCATCTTAGAATGGCACGATATGCGGAATACAATGTGCACTGTGCTACTTGGGATTATATCACCATGTTGTCATGGATCAACCAATCAGATTTGAGGACTCAAGTTTGTTGACGATAAAAACCGATTGTGTGCATAATGATCTCACCTGTACGATCTCTATCAGTCTTTGAGTAGGACACAAGTGGTTTAAGTCGGCCATAAATATCAGTGGCCAGAGAAAGTCCACCACCAGCACTGCTACTGTTACCTCCGCTACTAGCAGAGCTACCGCTGCGGGCTTTATCATTAACATTAGAGTGTTCCCTGTGATGAGGGTAGTCCATCTCATGTCTCCTATCGCGCTCAGTCCGCACTCCTTCGTTCTGACTCCTGGACAGGGAGCTGTAAGGAGTTTGGTTAGACTGCGAGGGCCGCTTCTGCGACTGAGTGCTGTTGGAGCTGTACGCACGGGAGAGCGTGGCCGCACTGGTTGTCGCGGGTCTGTCCTGGGGTCTGAGGACGGGTCTCTCCTGGGGTTTGCTCTGGGGCCGGTCCTGGGGTCGGCCGGAGGGTCTGTCTGGGTATCTATTGGTAGCCTGGTGCTGGTGAGGAGAAGGGGTGGGTTTCTCATGGGACGACTCAATGGAATGCTTGTTGTTGGCATCACCTGTAATACAAATCAGATTGCAGTCCATTGACACCTGAATTCAAGAAATTCACAGTTGCCCGCAGTGTACCACCAAAACTAGACGTCAATTTTTGGCAACAAGGATTCAGCAAATTTGACGGTTTTTTTGGACACACAATAAGTTAGATTTGTTTTGTAGTACAGTCTGTTTCCTCTGTGCAACAATACAAATGTGTCAATCCTTTATCATTTGAGTTGTCAATGTATCAAGCAAATTACAGTAAACAAAACTTACTTTTTGAAGGTGTTGCATCTCCACTCTGAGCTGGTCTCGGCGACTCCTTGGCCACTGGTCTCTCTTTAGAGCCAAGAGCTCGCTGAAGTTTCTCTCTGTTAGGTACATAAGTAAAAAAAAAAATAATAACGAAATTGTGCTTTGATTTCAAGTTAGTGTTTAAATACTTGCACTTAATTATCTGAGTGAGCATGGGGGAAAGGTGGATGGGAAAGGGTGGATGGGGGAAGGGCTGATGAGGGAAAAGGTGAAGGGCGGATGGGGGAAAGGTGAAAGGCAGATGGGGTAAGGGTGGATGAGGGAAGGGCGGATGAGGGAAAAGGTGAAGGGCGGATGGGGAAAGGGTGGATGGGGGAAGGGAGGGAAAAGGTGAAGGGTGGATGAGGGAAAAGGTGAAGGGTGGACGGGGGAAAGGTAAAAGGCAGATGGGATAAGGGCGGATGGGGGAAGGGAGGATGGGGGACAGGTGGATGGGGGAAGGGCGGATGGGAGAAAGGTGAAAGGTGGATGGGGTAAGGGCAGATTGGGGACAGGTGGATGGGGGAAGGGCGAATGAGGGAAAGGTGAAATGTAGATGGGGGAAGGGCGGACGGGGAAGGGCGGACGGGGGAAGGGCGGATGGGGAACAGGTGGATTGGGGAAGGGGATGGGGGAAGGGGAGATGGGGGAAGGGGAGATGGGGGAAGGGGAGATGGGGGAAGGGTGGATGGGGGATGGGAGAAAGGGCAGATGGGGACAGGTAGATGGGGGACAGTTGGATGGGGAAGGGCAGATGGAGGAAGGGTGAATGGGGATGGGGTTGAGGATCGGGGAAGGGGGGGGGTGGGGAGAGGACACCAATTTCTGCTGTCTCACCTCTCCATCCATTCCTTTGGCTTTTCCCACTGGGACACTTCCGTCCTGCAGTTGTAATAATACTTCTTCCCTGATGAGCTGGTGTGCTCTGTCCATTCTCCTGCCTTTGCCAAGATCTGCAGCATACAGAAACACACCAAAAAGAGTTCATACAAAGTGAGAAAATGACCCATGCCTACACGGGGTGTGGCAGCTATACACTCCTAGGAATTCCAAGCTTATCTTCTGATAAGCAAATGAGTGGCCAAAATCATTCAATAGAGATTTTTTTTTTGCTGATTAGGGTTGTGACCTGAAATGTGTTCAATATGCACAGTAGATAAGAGCATGCAAGTTCATGTTCATTTTTGTATGACGTCTTGGTACCAAACACCAACTTGTCAAAGACTTCAGTGTTCGTCTTTACACAAAAATAATTTGCATGAGTTATTGACTAGAAGTTGAGGTCTCAATTTTGTTGTTTTATTATGGTCATTAATTTGCAAAATTTTGCCATGGTGATATTCTTCAGTATATTTTTTTTCACAGACCTTTACTGCCGATGACTCAAAAGGCCCAGTCAGGAAACAAAATGTATCTTAGAAATAGGATGTCAACTCCTAAACGATGCGTCTACAAACAAAGTCATACATCCCTTAAAATCTCAGGGTTTTTTTGAGGGGGGTGGGGAGGGAGAGGGGGTGTTTTTTGGGGCAAAAATTACAAAGAGGAGTGTTTTAAGAGATGAACAAAAGCATGCTCACCGTTTTGATGTGCCTCTCGTGATCTGTGACGTGGGAGTTGGTTCCATGGTGATTGACTGCATTTTCTGCTGGTGAACTACCAAGTGCTGTAAAGAGTGAAACCATGGAAAAATGACACAGGGACATTTTTTTTTATTATTTCTTAACAATCCCCATCTAATCTAACTCCAACACCAGAGTCTGTTGGAGTGAGTACTGCGCTGGTAAACTGATTGTGCTTTACATGGGGTCAGGCATACCACCATTATCAGAGTCCAACAGTTTGGGTGTAGAGTCACCATATGGTCTTGGAATCTGCAGGAGTGAGGATGGTTCATAGTAAATCACTCAAGGGGGTTAGGGCTTAAGTGACTTGTATTGCATTGTTTCCCCATATATTGAATAGGTTTGGTTGTGTGCAATTAATTAAGCTATGTACAATCTGTTTCTTTACAGCATTGCTTGATGTTCGCCGGGTTTGATGTTTGACTCGTGTGTAACTAGAATCGGCTATCACAGCACGTGAATTCCTCAAAGAAATAAATTACAAAGGCAATGCTGGGACTTTGCATTAACTTCTTGAGCACGGTGAGCCAATATGTTAGGTTGAAATGGCACCTGCTGTAGCTGCGACAATTTACCGGCTAGATGTCAATTATGTACTGTTCATCCTTATCCCTAACCTCGCAGGTATATCTTATTGAAAGGTTCCCGAATGCCAACTCGAGCATTGTGCAGTAAACCCACCAGTCTTCGTTTTCACACAAATTGGGACATCAAACATGGAAGTGCATTACTGTCCTAAAACCGGACAAAACTAGCTCTTCATTGAAAAGGACTCCTCAAATCCTTAGCTATATAGTACTTGGCATTTTGACTTGATCAATGTACCAGTAACGCAGCAATCCTCGTTTCACTTGCATTATTGTGGAACTTTCTTAATTCCTCCAAACAAGTCCGAAGTATGAAAATTCAATGAATACATTCTTCACACTTAACCTTTTAAAGGGGCATGAAGGCATTTGTACAGTGGTAGCAACTGGTTTTCTGCCTTCCTCAATCCCACAAAATCTTCCAAACTTCCTTATGGATTTTGAAGAATTTGAGGTACATGTTATAGGTTTAGAGGGCATTTTAAGTCAGTTCCATGTAGATTATGTTATCATAAAAACAATGAAGTGAATATTTAACCCTAACTCCCTAGGCCTTTTTGCTAGGATGTAGCCTCAATCCTGCAAAATCCTCCAATTGGCCTCATGGAAAATAACATATAGCCTCAATCCTGCAAATTCCTTCTTGAACATTGTCAGTGGAGGGGCGACCACTGCCTGAATCCTGCAAAATCCTGCGGCAGTGACGGTCAATATGTTGAGGCTTGGCCAGTGACATACATGTAGTGGAGCAGTACGGAGGATTTCAAGCATAACCCAACACAGCAAAAACAACACAAGGTCCGGCCCAAGACTTTGACAAAGTGCATCCTATAAAATCACTAACGCACTTTTGCCATGTAACCTCAATCCTCCAAATTCCTCCACTTTGGCAAAGACGATTTTAAAGAATTCAGGGCGGTTAGAGTTAAAAAAAGAGTAATATTTTTCAAAAGTGGACTTTGGCACTCACATTTTTGTTTCTCCCTCTGCCGCTGCAAGTAGGACTCTTTACTCCGATACGTACGAGGGCTACTCCGATCGTTGGACTGCCTTGAGGCCGGGCTGGTCGTGGGCCGCTGGTTGGGCGAGTCCTTGTTGGCGAGTTGCAGTCGGTCTCGATGGTCAGCATGGTCAGTGTGGTCAGTGGGCCGGCTGGACATGGAGCCCTGGTTGCTGTCACTTTTCCCACTGTGACCCTTGGCGGGATATCTGTCCACAGTCTAGGGGTTTCCAACAAAGAGGATTAAGAAAACAAATGAAGTTTAGTGGCAAACTCAAAGTTTTGAAAGTTGTGTTCTCCATCCTATTTTCGAGTTTCATCTGCAAAGCTGATCTGTCTGTGCCCAAAACAAACCCCCTCTTTTAAAGGGATTCCACACGTTCAAAAATATGTTCTTTTTTTTTAATGAAGTTTTGTTGTGTATTATTACTATAAATATCTTTCCCAACTGTATTACTACAGATGGGCAATTCCAGCGTTATGAAAGGAAGTGTAATGTCCGTGACAAAGCCAATTAACCATATCTATTTAATGATTCAAGATGAAGATTCGAGAAATGATGCAAAACTCCTTCTGTGTAATCTCAATGACCATTACCAGATGATGGATCTGTAAGATTTGAAAAATACATTTTTAGGTTTATTCACCGAGCTCTGAAAATGTCATGGACATTAAAATAACACTGGAATAGCCCAGATACATCTTGCTAAAGGCTGATAAACACTTCGCGTGAATGCGAATGTACAGCAAATTTGAAGGTTCCGAAATGGTCGCTGTGAAATTCACTGGCACTGAAATTTGTTCAACTTTTGCTGATTCAGGTAAACTTCATGTGATGTCACAAATTTGCACCAAGCATGAACCAGCCTTGCATTGCAATACTGCAAAGTTTAATAACTGCATAATCATTTTTAATTGCATGATTATGCAGTAGCCTGTTTTTGGCTGTTCACAGGGAATTGAAGTGATTTTTTTGTATGTACTTGAATTGTTAACAGGTTTGATAAAATGCCAAAGATGAAATCATCACCCAGACATTTCTCAAGTGTGGAAAACATGCTGATCATCTTAAAAGCTGCAACATGCCATTTTTCTAATTAAAATAAAAACAGGAAGTGTTCACTGCTTCCTCACATGACAAAGAGGATCAGGAAACACTGTGTGTACATTTCAATCATTGAAGCAATACTGGAAAAAACTTGTACAAGTTAAAAAAGGAAGACGATTCTTTAACACAAATACACTGAAATGTATCATACTTACATAAACAACATGTTTAACAATCCACTTAACACACTCCAAAGGTTTCTTCAAGCTATATGTACATGTATGCAATTTCAATCCTTTCATCCACATGATAACCAATATAAGCATACATATAATTCCGAACTCAATTGACTTTTTTGCTAGAATCTTTCTGAATCCTCCAAAATCCTCCACTGTGAAGGAGTCTAATAGAACATTCTTTGTACAGTACTTTGAAAGGTAAGGACAACCAGGTCCATGTAGAGTAATGGTGGCTTGGGTTTGCCATCTCCAATCCTCCAACATTCTCTAGAACCTCCTGTGTTAAAAGGTAGAGTTTATCACTTGCGCATTTTTTTTTTTGAAGCAACAAAAGTGTCCACAATTTAAAGAAGGATGCTTAACAACTAACCTGATAAAGTTTTAGCTCATTGGATGCAGAATATTCCAAGAAAACAATATTCTAGGATCTCGATTTCAATTCAACAGTGGCGAGTTGTGTTTTTGAATTGCGCACGAAATCAGCATCCGGGACATGCTCTCATTCAGCCAATTGCAACTCTGTGATGTCATCCACTGAACCGATGAAATATATCAACCACGTGTGTGTGTGCGCCATGTCAACGCTTGTGCACACCCATTCACGGCTTTGCCAAATTAAAAACCAACTACGAATGAAAATTTCCAAAGTTTTGACGCATCATTGGAAATGACATTCTTTTGTTGTTTTCCTCAAAATGACAGCATGCCAGAAAGAACAATTTCACAGGGAGTTTTGTGCAATTACTATCTTTAAAACCAACTATGCTTTCCAACACTAATTTTGTCAGTTGTGTATTGGATAGCTGCAAATGATGTACTCTACCTTTAAGAGGAAAACAAATCTGACTTGTTAAAGAGCACCGGGAGAGCAACTTTAACAGAAACGAACAATTTTTGAAATAGACAGTTCATTATTTAACCCAAACTCCATTTGTGATGCATCAAGCTAAATGAGTTGTTTGTAGACCCTGGTCATTTTTTTTTTTTTTACATATTTTTCATTTTCCTGTCCAATTTAACTTGACTAAACAGCTCAGCATAGCAAATACATGTACCACAGCTTTTTGTGATGTCAGTGAGTGAAATAGTGGCTAAATAGTGGCTAAATAGTGGCTCCATAAAAAGGAAGGAAAGAATGTTGCATCCTGACACCACTTTCTTCACCATATATTATCTCAATGAAGGTCAGTGATCACAAAAATGTGGAAAAGACATGAATCTGGGACTGAGAAACATAAATTTCCAATTTTGTTAGAAAATACTATAAAAATGCATGGAACTCTCCATACACTTTGAACGCAACCAAAGAAGTGGCGTCTGGATACAACATTCTTTCCACATGGAATCTGGATATTAGACGTCTCTGAATGCTAGGCCCTGCTACAACCACTGGAAAAACTCAATACAATTTGCATTTAGTGGCTCTTTTGCAACTGCATTTTTGGTTTAGAAACACAGGGAAATTAAGATGGAAAATAACAAGATGTCTACTTTCCATGTAAAAATTTTGTGGAAAAAAACCCAACTTTATTATGTTTTCCATGTGGGTGGCAGTGGGGCCCAGCATATGGACGTGGTCTAGTAAATGGACCTCTTTTATGGGCAAGCTAACTCACAAGGCTTAGGAAGTAATTTTCTATGCATAAGATGGAATTTGCGTTGGGGTGATGTAAATAAGTAATACCTCTTGCCCTTCACTGACATATAATAAATACTGTATACTCAGTGCGATACCTCCCGAGTGACAGTGAGAAAAAGAATCACTCGGTTGGGACTCAAACACACGGAGTATACAGTGTTTATACATGTACGTCAGTGAAGGGCAAAATCTAATATTAACCCCAATTCCCTAGGTCTTTTTGCTAGGATGTAGCCTCAATCCTGCAAAATCCTCCAATTGGCCCCTTGGAAAAATAGCACAGCCTCAATCCTGCAAATTCCTCCATTATTTCTTGAATTTGGTCCTGCAAAATCCTGCAGCAGTGACTGTCAATATGTTGAGGCTTAGCCAGTGACATTTTGGAGCAGTGCGGAGGATTTCAAGCATATAATCCAGGCCCATATTTATGCATGGCTGGGCAAAAACAGCACAAGGTCCGGCCCAAGACCTTGACAAAGTGCAGGAAAGATTTCCATATACGAAGTTCACTCAACACCCTGTGTACAAACCCTATGAGATTGGACTGAAAAATTCTAAGAGTTTTCTAAGAAAATGCTTGTATTTTCTCACTGCTCAAATTGACTTTGATGACATGAAATTGCTATCTGGGGGCTTGTTAGTCAATACAGAGGAAAATTAGTGAACTTCGTATATATGGAAATCTTTCCCAAAGTGCATCTTACGAAATCAGTAATGCACTTTTACCATGTAACCTCAATCCTCCAAATTCCTCCACTTTGGTAAAGAGGATTTTGAAGGATTCAGGGCGGTTAGGGTTAAGTTACTATGGATACATGTAGTTCTTGGTCTTTCCTCGAATTCCATCTCTGGTGACCGCAATTGAAGTCCTACCTGGAGCGGTGTTAGTGGGTCAATTGACTGTCTTAGCCTAGTGGAAATTCCTCCAACTCCCACTTGTAAGTTGTCGTCTCACAGCATTTCAGCTCATCCATGGAGAAAGATGAATGCCTGGATTAGGAGTAGCTGTGTGAAATTGTACTTTGAGGTGCACACACTTACTTTCAAAATTGGATTGTTCCACTTATAGCACAAGTGGATCCATAACAATTACACTGCAAGTCTGAGTTTATCAAGTTAAAAATTATTTTCAATTAATGATGGCCGAAAATTTTTGGCTCAGATTTTTTTCATTTTGATCACTTGACTTTCATACAAGCCATGGCAAACACATGCAGTGTGATTTTGTATGAATCCCTCGTCATTATGGTCACATTATAATTTGCTGTCAAGCTTTTGGTTGAAGTTTGACAACAGTTTATGAGCACCCTCAGGCGTCTCCATATTTACACCTGAAACTCGTTCACACCAGCTGTGAAAACAATTGAAGACATGATGTACTACATGTAGACATATTGAAGACGAAGTGCAATAATCACAACAGTGCGTTTAAGAGGTCTCAAACTGCTTGTACACATTTTTAAGGCAAACCACTACATACAAATCTGCAAACTGCATAGTTTCTTCATTGACTACGCCAGTAAAAAGTCATATTTGTAAGCAACTTTTCCCCTTTTCAGCAGCACCATTTAAGTGATGAAAAAAATCATTTCAAGTTTACTTTCAGGTCTGTCCCAATTTTTTTTAATTTTTTTTTTTATAATTTTAACTTTGTGAGATTTTCATGGTGCAGGATTAGGCCTATGTGGGAAAAGCCAAAGCAAACATGATTTTTGTCTCTTGCCATTAAGAAACATCTGCAGACAAACGTGATTGGACTTGGAGTGTACATATTTCACTCTTAATACAAGGCCCCTTTGAGACACAGTTTTGTGATGAGTGCACTTAATCTGGGGGAAAAACATAAACAACAATAATTGCTTCAATGATTTGAATGACACTTTTTTCTGCAATGCTTGATTTCCATGTCTACGATGGAAATGAAGCATGTGCAGCCGTAAGACGGAGTAGAGAAGACATGTGCGATGATCAGCAGATCTTCCATCTTGAAAAGCTCCTTGAGTGAGTTTTCTCATCATCGGTGAATGACGCAAAGTCTCATCATCCAATTGGTAGGCTTCTTTCACACACCTGGAAAGGATGGGCTTCGTTCCTGTCGTGGAACCTGCAGAAAGAAAACAAAAGAAGAAAATGCATGTTAAACCCTTTTCATGGATTCCTGGACATAAAATATCCATCTAGTAACACTGAGGGGGTTTGTTAGCAGGCTTAAGTGGCCATGGTAGCTGACACTTTCCCCAGGCGTAGATGTTCATGTGACAAACATGACCATTTGTCATTTGATTTGGACTGGCGGGTTGCACATCAGTCCAAGATAAGGAAGGTTCATTTTGAACGGAGAACTTGGCGACAATTACCCATCACTGAGTCTCGGATGTTTGCTTGCATGCATTACCATCAATGCTAGTGTGTGTGGAGTGAGCTAGATACCGAAAAAACCGTGGCCCGAAATCCGAAAATTCGATTTTTAGATCACTCCACAACACATTGCATTCCATTAGGTGGGGGAATCGCCATGATACATACGGGTACGTTGTGACCTCTCGGTGAAGTTCGGTAAAGGCCGATGGTTGCCGAATCGTGACATGGAAAATTTATCGGCTAAGTACACAGGGTGTCCATCATATTTTAACGTACTTCCTCTGCACGTATTCTCATTAAATGCACAAATATGTTCCCGATCTGACATAGGAAACTATCTTTGCATATTTACTGATATTGATTTACATTCTTTTATTGTAAGCTATTTGTGTAAAGTAAATTACTTTGTTACTTTTGTTTCGAAGCACCCCTATTCGAAAAATGCTACATCCCGGTGGCATTTACTATTCTCTTTTCAAGCTCAATTTGTACAGTATGGTGCTTGCGTCAACTGTAGAGCATGGCGCAAACCGTAGTTGACAATCATTAACCCTCTAAAAGAGACTAGCTAAAATGGTCCGATCTTTCCCGATAATTTCCGAATTCCTAACATCGAGTGGCCATCGGACTGGAGTTCCAGCAGAGTTCAGGCAAATCTGGCGTACTTTTCGTTCAAGATAAAGGCGTTGATTCAGCCTAATGGAACTTTGAAAAAGATATTATGGAGGATAAGTAGAAGAGATAATAAATGGGAAGATTTGAGTTCTGTAGAATCTGAAGAAGCATCATTTAGTAGGGTGGTTTATCAATATCAGGTAAACGCATTTCCACATAGGCCTAGGCCTTTAGAGGGGCGGGGCGGGGCGGGGCGGGGGGGGGGGGGGTGGAGGTGTTCCAGTTTTGCCTCCATGGTCAGATGGTGTATTCGAAAAAATGTTGCAATGATGCCACTTTTTTTCTTCATATATCATCTCAATGAAGGTCAGTCATTAAAAATGATGATAAGACATGAATCTGGGACTCGACTGTGACTTTATCATGTGAGAAACATTTCCAATTTTGTCAGGAAATTTATGTTTATTGTTTTAACAAAGCAAATCCTCCTCTTCATGCTCTTGGGAAGAATTCCATACATGGACATCACAATTTTTTCCCTGCAGTAACCTTTTTTAGCAGCCATCAGAAAGCAATAACATAAACTTGTCCTAAAAAAGTCAAATTTTGCAGGGAAAATATTGAAGCATTTACTGAGAAAACACTTGGGATTTTTTCAGACCAGTCTCATACTCAGCTTGAGTAACTCCAGCTCCACTGCTAATGCGATAAGCATTGGAGCTGGAGTTCTCAAGCAACTCATATCATGTGTACACAGTGTCAAGTGATATGTCCACGTATGGAACTCTTTTTGAGGAATTTTTTTAAATAGGAAGTATAAAAAACGTCCATACATTTGTAAACCATTCAGTTGACCACCGACACATGTATGCAGTGGTCAACTTTTGTAAAAATAGCAACAGTGTTCAGTGAAATGTACCCAGAGATTATCATATGACCACAAATGTGCTGGTATCCATGATGCATAGTCCATCATGCATAAAGCAAATACTACACAAGAAAATGTATTTTGATTAAGTTATTGACTTAATTCCCTTTCTGTGAAATTTGTTGCCCTACATGTACGTGTATTCTTTCCCACAGTGATCTGACCGTGTTGACTAATGAATATTTGCCCTTGCTGCATGATCGTGTAGTCTCATCCATATGAAGGGATGGCGCAGAGTCAACGGAAAGCAGAGATTTGCCAAGGAAATGGGAAACTGGAGACGATTGCCGTTCGTCCTCCATAGAGGAGCTGATGATGTGGCCAGACGCATTGAAAGAACTATGTCAGTGAAGTGTCCAGGCTGATGTGTGGCAGATAACATCACTGACACTAGTGAAAGCATGTAAGATTTTTTTTTTTTTTCAGTAAATTTTAAGGCCGAGTAAAAAAAAAAGGCTTCTCGTCCAGGCTTTTTGGAAAAATTAATGAGGCGGCCCCCTTTTCCCCCCAAAGATGGCAGATTTTCCAAGATACCAGATGGATTCTTCCATTTTCTCGACTCTTTTGCTGGTACCGGTACAACAATTTGTCCAAACAAAGGAGCCGGCACCCTTTCTACGTACATGTAGCTACAATGTTGTTAAAATATATAGACAATATCGGTATATTGACTACATTTGCAAAATATGGGCACCGTGCACAAGTACCCCTTCAACGGCCAGAGAAGGAGAGTTGGGGGAGACCTAGACTGGTTCCTGGTCCATCCACTGCGTATTTCGAATGATCCAAAATTATTGGGGGTAGGGATTAGTCTGGGAGACCATCGCAAGTTAAATTTGAATGTATTCACGCGCCAACGACGCCTGACGCTCACGGCGAAGATGCTATGGCTTAGCTTTGTGCAAATTCAGGATAAATAGTCGTCCATACTTCGAACGCGAACCAGCATATTACGCACACACGGTGTCCTGTCCAAGGGGCTATCAAAAGTAGTAAAAACGCGCCCTCTTTTGTTGGCTCATGGAGCCCATACTGCAAATGTAGGAATTTTTAAAAGGGGGAAGCGGGCAGGAAAATGAAGTGGGGGGGGGGGGGCGAAAACTGGCTTATTTGTTTTACTTTGACTAACCAGAGAACCGGTCATAAATGTTTCTACATTGACTCAAACTGGGCTTATTACTTAGTCAGCATTTGAAAATTGGTTGATCCACTTTGCCGTGAATTGAAAACAGTGTGACCAAGTTGCTGATGCTAGTAGTATTGAATAACATAATGGGTTGTAAAACGATTTGAGAGGACAAATTTATGTAAAGTAGTTGATGTGATGTTTATAGCATTGGGGTCATGGTCAATTTATTATCTCCACCAATGAGGTTATGTTTTCATCATGTTGGTTGATTGGTTTGTGTGTTAACAAGATAACGCAAAAAGTTATGGACGGATTTGCATGAAGATTTTTGTAGGGGTGGTCCTTGGTACCAGTAGAAATCCATTGGATTTTGGAAGTGATCGGGATCTGGGTCTGGATCTAGGATTTTTTTAAAGGATTCTGCACCATTTGGGTGTACTGACAAGCATGTCAATAGATGGCGCCCTCCAACACTCGCAGTCATCGTGCTTTGGGTGTTTCCCATCCGGGTATTTCTCACGCCCCACCAAAGGGTCCCACATTGGCGCAATATGGCGGGGAGTTGTTTAGCCTTGGCACAGGTTTGCGCTCTCTGAGTGCTTTGTAGCCTAGAATTTGTGTAACATACCGGTATGGTGGGCATCTAGTGAAAATACAGTTTTCAGACATTTCTTGATAGAAATTTGGTTACAGTAAGGTCAACTCACATTTTAATTTAAAATTACCTCATTTCTGTTCTTTCAATTCTTGAAGATAAGAGAAATATATGCCGCAGTTTCTTAACTTATTGTTGGTGGTCCTTTGTAGGCGGCTGCCCTGCTTTTCAGTGAGATGGAGATCTTCTGATACATGGACTGGCTGAGTACATGTTTGCAGCTACGGGGCCTGAGTAACATGGATCTCCCAAGATAGCTCCACATACATTGAAGTCTTGTCACATATATTCAAGATAAGGTTTGTGTTTACATAACTTTTTGTATTTTCTGATTAAAGGCCGAATCAAACTCGGCGTGAACGTAAATTACAAATGTATTACGTCATGGCAAGTGTTTGTGAAGAAAATTTGCAAAAGTTGAACCAGTGCTAAGTTGAACACATTTCAACTTGTGGCCTTTGAGCAAAGACATAGACAAAATGAGAAACCGCCAACAAAGGGCTGAATAGCTCAGATGGGGGAGCACCGGAACGGCAATCCGGAGGTCGCAGGTTCAACTTTAAACTTGCATTTCAATTTGGCAAATTTTGTAGTGAATGTTTCCTGACGCCAAATTTGCGTTGCATTCGTGTGAAGTATAAACCGGCCTTCAGGGGAAAAAATAACCACAGTTGGAGACCTGCCACAATAGACTGATCCAGTAAGCCCTGCCACATGGTGCTTTGACCAATCACAGCCATGACTAATGTCCGACATTTGTGCACGCGTGACAGACAGCCATGTGGAATTGGAGAGGTGCAAGTATTGGTTGCCCACTTGTGCAGTGGGCTGGGCTTAACCCTCTTGCTATCAGAGCAAGAAAACCAATCCTCTTCCCCTGCCGTGCCTTTTACACAGCCTAGTCACTGTGACTAGTCAAATTCAGTCAACGGACAAAATCAGGCACAGCTGGATTATCAATCACCTAAAGTCAAAGCATAGCTGTATCAAGGTTCATGATCAGCCACAGACAGTCAATCTTGTTTCATGTAGGCTGTGAGCTCTTAACTGTTGAAAACAGTCACTTGATTGATTTTGACAGTAAGGACGACTTGACACATGTATGTTTGTTGGCATGGGAGGGTTAATGAATCAGTCTTTTCAGGTGGTGCAACCATAGAGAAAGGACACATGGTGCAACATACCGCACCAAAGCGCCCTGCCTGATACTCCCTATACAGCCCAAGCACTTTATGGTTTTATGGATTCATCAAGGAGTAACTACAGTTATACCTAGCACGATATGTGACAGAGGGTTAACCCCCCGCCCCCCCCCCCCAAAAAAAGATCTCACTGTACCCTATACACACCCTAGACTATTGCTGCCTAGCACCCTCCCCCCCCCCCCCCCCCCCCCCCCCCAGATAACTCAAAAAGAATTCCTGAGATTCTGGTAACACTATGACCAACACAACAGAGTAGGGGTTCCCGCTGTCACATATGTGCTACATATGACTACAGTTGCAGTACAATGTGCAGTTGGGTTTATAATATGAGTGCTAATAGGTTAATACGTGTGTATTTTTTCAGGAGTATGTGAAATATGCCAAGATTATACTGTGGCTGACTGCAATTCGTAGATCATTGGTCTCCAGTAAACCCAGCTAGCATCCTGCAGATATCAAGAGAATCCTGATCCTCACAGCATGCTGCTGCTGCTGAATGTCATCTTGGGTAACATCAATGGATTATTCCACATTATACACTGTTTTTCGTATTCTGCATAATACAATGACAACTATGTTTATTATCGTATTTTGTCCTTAACAACTTTAATCAGTGCTGTACAAGAGTTTGATAGAAAAAATAATGAATATAGTTAACTACCTTGCTTGGTTAGGACCCGAACCCACGACTTGCTTATTTGTGCAGGTATTAACTGCTCAACGGCTGAGCTTAGCTGATTTAGAATCTTATAAAGCAGTGGTTATTGCATGATAATATGTTACATCGACCTAAATTACCCAATTCAAATCATAAATTGTTTGACAATTCTTAAATACTATACCAAAACACGTTTTAGGGAGTTTTCTCCTGTGAATTTAATTGAAGGGTAATATATTCTTATTTTTTGGTGTTTTTTTGGTCACAATCAACACTGTTAATTGCTTCACTGAATGAAATACGCACTATTTTTTTTACAAGCTCACAGTTGAAGCCTTTGTACAATTTCTAAATCCTGGAGATAGTTTGCAGCTTTGACGACGATTGTCATTTTGCAAAAAAAATTTATCACTGAAAAGATTGTTCAGCCATTTTCAAATGATGATACCATGTACAGCAATTTTTTTTTCAAACGTGTTCTTGTAGTCAAAATAATGAAGGGTTATCACGTGTAATACTTTCATTTCCTTCAATATACATAACACACTCTTCTGACTTACTCAGAAGTGGTTAGGGACTAGTGTAGCTTCGGCTTCACCCCAGGATTTCCTTTCAAAGGCCATTATCTTCCTCTCAAAGGCATTATCTCATTAGAGATGCTGCCCACATCAACAAAGCCAACAAGCTGGCCAGTGCGGGTGTTGTAGACCAGGCCAGACTGGGTTTTCATCTCGTCAAAGGCAATAGTTATGTTCCTCTGATATTGCGGAAGGTTGGCAAGACCAATGTCCGGTAAGATTCTTTTAACCAGGTCTGGATTAAATCCAGTGAATGGATTCCCAAAGTGGCTGTACGGGTGGAGGTAGTTTGGGTGCGGGAGTCTCATAAATCCACTTTCTCAAAGGAGACTACAAATATGCAGATGATGACTTGCTATGTAAAGCAATGCAGAGACGTAGTATTGCTGAATGCCAACGCATTCCTCGACTTTTCAGTGCACTTTGTTTTTGTTGTTCCCAGAGCAGGTAAGCTGGGGAACCTGGCCCAAGGAATTTTTTGAGTGCTGCATCATTGTGTTTGATGAATGTCACCAATGCCTGTTCCTCTGTAGATCGAAGCAACACACCTTCTGCTGATATTAAAGAATCAATTTTACTGCTCATATGTTGTACATGTACCGGTAGCTTTCTGCTTAGATGCTGCTTTTCATTACTAAGACCGGCAGCCTTCTGGATATGTTCAGCAAGACTTACTCTGTTGTTTCTTGTGGATGTGCTGGTCAAAGTATTTTGTTGGGTCTTCAACCTGTTGTCGATAGAGAACATATCTCCTCGGTGCAGCTTGCATGCTGGGCATCTAATCGATGGCGTTGTCACCAGTAGTGCAAAATTTTTGTGGCGGACAGTGGTGGATGGGTACAGTTTCATACCAGTCACTACCTGTTATTGTGACTGGTATTTCTCCCCGCATGCCTTTCTTTGCTTCGGCAATGTCTTTGAAATCCTGATTGCCAATACATGTTTTGTTACCTGTGATTGTGTGAACGAGATAGGTAATGTGTTCTGATTCATTTAACAATGCCGAAATATCTTTAAAATGACGATGTTGGAACTTCACTTCTGCAAATAATGGACTTCCACAATCTTACACTTAATCATAGCTCTCCATCCTCAGTCATCCGCATCGCCCATGTGAGGTGCTGTCCATGCCACACTAAAGTCCATGAGCACTTGCAATATCATCAAAGGTAATAATTCACCATGACAAACACTGCAACCAGTTCTTACAAAATTATGGGTGTTAATGCTGCAGTTTACGCCCTTCTTTCTGATTCTGTCACCAGTTTTTTAAAGTTTTGACGCTGTTGTGGCAAACAAGCTTGGGATGTACGTTTTTCGTTGACAGTGTTGACATCTCTCTTCACGGCCCGTGACATGAGTTCTACCTGGGTGTCTTTACTATGGAGTGCTCTTCCAGGTTTGACTGCTCTAGGCTCCCCACAAAGTGTACAAAGATTTTGAAGCTCCTCTCCCATGGCAAAATTGACATATCCTGTAATTCTTTTCGTGACAGCCAGACAGATAAACCTGTAAGTAAGGGAACAAACTTCTGCAAATAAAACTAACTCTTACATGAAAAATATTTTTTGAAATAACATTTGCCGACAAGTACCGATTACTTGTATGTAATGTATTACTTGTTATTCCATGATAAAATCTACCTCAATTACTTGTCAGTTTATAAAAACTATCCAGAATTGGAATAGCAATCATCCTTGAAACAAACTAATCTTACTTACTGTTGAGAATCTCTTGGCACTTTTGACGAATGCGTACCCGGTCGCCAACTTTGCTGACACTAAGTAATTCAAACTCGGAGTCAATTAGGTTGACGGCTTCTTTCCAAGTCACCTGTAAAAACACATACATTGACAATAATATTCCATTATGGCAATGTGTTTCAACTAGTTTCTCAACTTCAACAAAACTGTGTGCCTGCATGTCACTGGGGAGTTTTCTTGCACTCAAGCTTATTCTATATATAATGGATCAACACTTCATTTCTTTTTGTCATTTGACTTTAAACTGGTTTGCTATGGCATCTAACTACATGTAACCCTTTTAATTCAAGAGAAATAAAATCCTCAATTTCTCCTGACTTGAACCAGGACACACTGGAGAAATGAAAATGACAATATTTATAGCAATTTTTCCTTTTAAACTAAAGCTTTGACAAGTGTAGTTGTTCGTGGGTCTTAAATTCAGGGGTGTGAAATCTCAGCTTTAAAGCTGATTTCAGCTATTTTTAGTTTTGGATTTCAGTTTTTTTCAGCTTTTTCCCTCGCTTGCTGTGTACAAAAGTATAGCAAATTTCCAAAGTTCAGCTTTTTTAACACCTTTTTCAGCTGTTTTCAGCTCTTTTTATCAGTGGTCACTCACACCCCTGTAAATTGGAAGTTGAAACTATTACCTGCATATTAAAAATGATAATAATAGAATAACAGGGACATCAAAGATATATGCCTTTAAAATATGTTTATTGACTCTGACGTCATATGTCACGTGATGACGTCATCATGACATAAAAAAAAATGTATTTATAAGACATCCCAGTCTAGGTATATTCCAACTTTGGTGAAATCATACTTTTCCCAGGGTTGCTTTGGATGGTGAATGAAGTCTGTCTTAAAAGTGACTGTTTTGTCAAGGGTATGTGATTGTAGTACACAATTGTTTTAAGCGGCATTGGCGCTACGACTATTCCTTTGTTAAGTAATTAAGAAAAACTAGTTTTTCGTGAGTGCCTTGGCTGCGCGGTTTGCCAAGAGCCCCGTTTTGTTTTGAAGGTACAACAGGAAATAATATGACGAATAATCATATGGTGTGATTTAGTGGCGTCATCTCACATCTATTTCTGGGGGGGATTTTGGTGCTTCTGGCAGAAAGGGGTTAACATATGAAAATGCTCAAGGGATATCACTGAGCACTCTCGTGTATTATGTGGAGGTATTTAAAAGCTCATGAATCGGCATAGGAAAAAACTGTATCCGGTAAATTCAGGTTCATCAATATAGCAGTCTGAGAATCGCCGGCGCGGACTATAAAGACTGAACTTTGAACATAACATATTCATTGGTTGAGGGGTTCATGCAGATTGGGACTAAAATGTAAGAGCAAAAGGGAGATATCTAAACACAGGGCAATGTGTGGGTATTTAAAAGAATAGGATAATATTAGGCAATTCTTTTTAAAAGATGTGAACATACCAGAACTGTCGAGTATGATGAAGAGTTCAGAGCCAAACAACCGTAGTACTTCTTGTGCTTGGCTGTCAAATGTGTCATTTTGACAGTATCGCCAGTCTTCACCGGACTCGTGGACGCGTGGTTCCATAGTGCCACAGGGATATCCCCGGGAGGATCTCTGATGGAATAACAATGATATTATGATGTGATCAGTCTTGTTTTGCGGAGTTTCGCACGTAATTAGAACAGAAAATATGGCGCCCTCCATACACCTCTTAACATATGATGAAAGAATATGACATTTGTAATTACAAACTGTGCAAACTCCACTTCAAGTTTATCCAGTACTTCTTCCATGAAGTGGAATCTCTTCTCAAAGGAGAGTGATGAGCATGTAACTTCCATCCTGTTCCTTGGATTAGCAACTCTTGCATGCTGAAGCACTTCATCATGTAGGGGAAATTTATTGATGACATAATTGCAGACAGCTACATACATGTAGTACTTTTTCACAGATGTATCATGGATTCATCCCGTTCCTTAGATGAGAACTGTTCTCCTGCACGAAGAAACTCTCTTCCATTCTTCCCAACAATGATTTCTTCATCTGCTTTTTGATTGCATTCCTTCTTGTAGCCACATGACTCAAGTGATGAAGTAGTAACAATCACTGCTAGTTTGACGAAGCCAAGCAAGATGCCACGGAGGAAGTCCTGCAATTTCTCATGAAGGAGGTGTACTTTAGGTGCTTCTTCTTGAAGCTCAAAGTTTAGTTTGTTGAACAGAGGAATTGTTTGCTGAGAAACAGTGCAGCTTATTGTAGTCATTGAGTTTGGCATGAATTCCAGCAGCTTTTTATACTTTCTGAACAGCATGTACCACTTTTTCCCTGCACTGACTTGGAAGTACTATCAGTTTTTGTTCCTGGTGATTTATGTGACTTCCTTGAAGTGCTGCCTTCTGTCCTAGAGAGTAAAGAGACTGTCTTTTCACTGAGCAGATACTATGTACCTGGTATGTATGTTCGGATTTTGCAAATACTTCTGTATTCTTGTTTGATTTCTGTATGAAAATCTGTACTAGTTGGCAGCCGCTTCTTGAAGGTGACTTAGTAATTGATAGTGTGTCCTTGCAGTAAACATCCATTCTGAAAAAGCAGTCACTGGTCTTTCTTAGTTTGATTGTTTTTTACAACTACTGGCAGTTCTGGTTGTTGGTGTTGCTCTGAGAAAATGTTCAAGTCTCAACTTAACATTTTGTGAAGTCGGTGATGAAATTGAAGTACATGCATACATTATATTTCACTCATTTATTTGAGATCACCTTTATTTTCATCCACTCCTGGAGACACAATGAGAACATTCAAATAAAACATATAATCCATCACACACAAAGATACTGTATGAATTTGGCAAACATCAAACAACACAACAAAACAGGGACCGAGAACACAGGAGTAACCTAAAGAAACCTGCCAATATGAAAAATTTGAGGAAAAAAATAACAAATACATTACATGTAAGTGATTAAAACATTGTTAACAAGCTGACAGGCACACACAGATTTACACC